CTTTAACTAGTGGAGTGATGAAGATATAATGATTAATAACTTGTGGTATGGTAAAGATATCACGGTTAAGAACTTATGGTATGATATAGATATACTGGTCAATAACTTATGGTACGATGAAGGTATAACGGTCAATAAATTATAATGTGATAAAAATATAGTGTTAGGTTGTTCAAATAATTCTGTGCTCCTAACCACAAAAAATTGTTTTTTAGAGAGCTCAGAAGTAATTGAACAACCTAATAATCTAATGGTAAACTACATACTTACTGTATGGTAAATAAATAATGATAAGTAACATGTAACCTAGTATGGTAAAGCTAAATAACCATATTAAGCTATCAATAACATAGTTATACGTAGTCAAAAGATTATCACTTAGTTTACAAACAAAAACCAAAGCAATGTAAGACTGATACGGTAGGCATGACAGAACAACTATTATTTTGACAAAGCTGTTTATGATAAAATTGTTTATACCACAGAACAAAGAATCTACGTATTATAGAGTGACATATACTAAAAGAATGTAAATGTAATGCCAAAGAATGTAGATTTAAAGTCAAAATACTTTGAATACAGTACAAGTGCTCTGAGAATGTAATTGATTGTAAACAAGTAATCAGATAATAATTCAACAACTAGTATTTTGATATCTACCACAGTTAAAGAGCGTTTACGTAGAAAAAAGTAGCAAAAACTTTCTTTACAACATAAAAAATGGCAAAAACTTTCTTTACAAAACAGAAAATGGCACGAACTTTCTTTACAACATAAATAATGACAAGAACTTTCTTTACAAAACGAAAAACGGCAATAACTTTCTTTACAAAGCAAAAACTACCAAGTGCTAATGTTATTACGGTTAATTTTGGCTAGGTGACAGTATTTTTGACTTTAAGTCGAGTTGGAAGAAAAAGTGCAAAAACTTTCTTTACAAAACAGAAAATTGCAAAAACTTTTATTACAAAACAAAAAGCGGCAAGAACTTTTTTTACAAAACAAAAAATAGCAAAAACTTTCATTACAGAACAAAAAGCGTCAAGAACTTTCTATACAAAGCAAGAAATGGAAAAAACTTTCTTAACAACTCAAAAAATGGAAAGAACTTTCTTTACAAGTCAAGAAATGGCAAGAACTTTCTTTACAATACAAAAAATGGCAAGAACTTTCTTAACAACTCAAAAAAGAATTTAAAAAAAATCAATTTTAAAGTTCAATTCGTACCTTTAACTTATTTTTAGTGAATCAAATGTTTCTTTGTTCTTCAACAACCGTGCTATTTAGTATCAAAACAAGTACGTTCATCTACGTATTAATTTTTGATTCCTAAGATCACAAAATGACGCTGAGTAAAATAATAGCTAAAACCGAGTTCAATATTAATATTCGTTTAACGCTTGTTTAGATACTTAAGCTTCACAAATCCTTTACGCAAATTGCAAATTAACAATTGTCAGAGGTAAAAAAAAGGATTCAAAAAGGATTTAGTATTGCAAATGTTCTGCAAATTAGTTATGGAATTTAATTAACAATACTTAAAATATTGTTATACATTTGTAAAATTCTTTAGGCTTACGATATAGCTTTCAAAAATAAAAATATATAAGTTTCAGACAAAACTAAATAAGTTAATTATCGTAGAATAGGCTAAAAGACGGCTAGAGCAACTCAATTTAAGGCCAAATTAAAAAAGAGTTCGAACAAGGCTTGGGTAATGCATATATAAGGCTAGACCAAGACTATGGCAGAATTGAGTCTGAGCCCGAGCTTAAGTCTGAGCCTGGACCTAAGCCTGAGCCTGAGCCTGAGCTTGAGCCTGAGCCTAAGCCTGAGCCTAAGCCTGAGCTTGAGCCTGAGCCTGAGCCTGAGCCTGAGCCTGAGCTTGAGCTTGAGCCTGAGCCTGAGCATAAGAATAAGCCTGAGTTAAGCTTGAGCATTATCCTTAATCTAACATTCAACTCCCTGTTGCTTATTTCCACCCACTATTCTTCTAAGACGATCTAAAAATAAATCCAAACATCTATGCCACCACCCATGATAATATATAATAATAACAGTGTGATAAAACTATAATATTTCCTTTTCATTGTAATCCGACTTTCACACATTTGAAATTAGTCCTATTATTTTTTTCATAGCGGATATCAAAGTAGTGTTTAATTATAGCAACAATTAACTAATTGAAAAGTACCCTTTTACTATTTGACAAAAATTAAATTTTCAAAAATTTAGCAAATTAAATTAAATTTTACTGCTATTTTTGGTTTTAAAATAAAGTGAAACACAGTAAACTTTTATTACAGTGGTAAATTTTTTACCCTACCCTACCCCACTTTACCCTACGCTACCCTACCCTACCCTACCCTACCCTACCCTACCCTACCCTACCCTACCCTACCCTACCCTACCCTACCCTACCCTACCCTACCCTACCCTACCCTACCCTACCCTACCCTACCCTACCCTACCCTACCATACCCTACCCTACCCTACCCTACCCTACCCTACCCTACTTTTCTTACCTTACACTACACTACACCCACCCTACCTTACCTTACTTTTACCTTACCTTACACTGCCTTTATCTTAAATTGTACTGCTTTTACCTCAAACTAATGTAAATTAAAACTTTTATAAACATGTCGAGGAAAGACATTCTCATCATTACTTAGACTCCTTATATACCCTACCACAACTGTCTATCCCTAAATTCTTGACTTTTCTCGAATTGAACACAACTTTCAGTCACTCATATTTTAATTTCAAAAAATCCGTTTTTAAGTTTACGCAAATTTCAATCCTCTTATTGGTTTATCTTCATTACAGTGTAGACGTTACTTTCACAAAAAGTTGTGTCATGTTTGAACAGTCTTTGTTAAAAAAGCGGTTAAACTTGCAATTATGGTATTATACAGGCTTCGGCATCAAAGATTAGTATCTTTAGTATGATTATATTTGTGGTAATGTAAGTTTCTGGATAATTCACGGGGTTACATAAAGGCCATATGTTAATATGCACTTGAAGTTCAGAGGACCACTACAACACCAGTGAAAAGTAGAGATGTCTTGGCCGGTTCTTGAGCAAATCGATGGCGGTTTTCAATTATAGGTGCAGTATGACATTAAAAAAAGTATGAGTTTTTTCGTTTTTTTTACTTTTAAAAATACAGTAGAACTCCTGTATAACAAATCGCTCGCAAACTTAAAATGTGTTTGTAATGCGGCAGTTTCGTTATACAGGAAGTTAAATGCACTGTGTAGTGGTAGACGGAGATTGAAAAGTTGTTCATTATACGAGATTTTCGTTATAAAAGAGTTCGTTATACAGGATTTTTCTGTATTTACTTTAATGATATTATTGCACTGTGCAAACTATTTTTAGCCATATCTTTTTCATTTTAAATCTTTATGCTTTATCAATTTTTAAATTTGATCAGAACTGGCTGGCACACCTAAGCCCAACTGCAGTGAATCAAAGGAAGCAAGATCTCAAAGACCCAGCTTCGCTCCCGCAACGAAACCTTTGGTTTGCGAACCGTGTAAATCGAGTTTGATGTTAACGCCAGCAGTAACAGTGTAAGTCTATTATGACAAAGTTTATAAAACGTTAGTTAGGGAACACTATACTTTTTACCGTATAAAAGTAGTTTTTACAATCACATCATAACTTGTCAATTCGATTTGTTTTCGTGGTAAAAAGGTTATTCGGCGAAAGCGTACATGGCTCTCTGAATTATGAAAAGTTGTGTTTTCGGTCGATTGTTGATTTTTCTGATTTCCTGGTGTTACAAGTTTGGAGGACTTTACTAAGCCTTAACCTAAGCCTAAGCTTTTTTAAGCTTCAGGTTTTTCATGCCTAAGAATACCATGTCTGTGTCTCCTGATCCCACAATTCAGGCTATTCCTACCAAACCTAATCTTAATAAGCCTAAACCCTCCTTATAGTCAATTCCCACCTTCAAAACCTACAACAATATTCTCCTATCCTCTCTACCCGCTTTTTTTACGTCGAGGCGGTTTAACGTTCTTTATTTTACAATACCCGTTTCGGTCGGGTCATCGATCAGGCAACGAAAAACATAAAAAACGATGCCACGTCAAAGCGGGAAACCGGCCGCTTTGTCAACACATCGACTATATAAACCGAGGTCGTACCGTGAATCCGAATTCAGAACAAATCTTGTTTGGGTTTTGATTCTTTAGTGGGTGTAAAAGAAGTGGTCGGTATAGAGTGGGTACTGTAATGTAGTTTGGTTATGATAAGTTATTGAAAGATATAGGTTGTGTACTGTAATATATTAACTTTTTTCTGTGATTTAAAATCTTTTTATAATAATATAATGAACTTTTTTCTTTAGGAGGAAATCTTAGTACTGTAATGTAGGCTCTCAATTGATCGTAATGTAAGATAGGCTAGATACTCCTTAAAACTTAGGGAAAAATTAAAAAGATAGGTTAGCCTTAAGTAGTGCCTCATTATATAACTAAATTTTATTTTACAAAAGCTTGAGCATTTTTTAACAAAGGGGGGGGACATTGACATGTCATTTTCGAGGAGGGGGGGGAGAAAATGTAATATAATTTTTTTTATTTTTGCTATTTTCTGCCCTTCCCAAGAGTTACTTAACCCTGCTTTACACTACCACACCTTACCTCATTCTCTCCTTTCTTACCTGTACCTTACCTTCCTTGCCTCGACTTCTACTTTACCCTACATTACCTTCATTTTTTCGTGTTGTACTCTATCCTACCTTCCTTCCCTTATCAAAATTTACCCTACCCTACCTCACCCCCCTTCCCTTACCTACCCTACTTCATCCCCACCCCCTCCTTCTCTAACTTCTCAGAAATTACTTTTTTCCTCTTGCCCTATCAATCTTATTACTTCATCTTACTCTATCAACCTTATTGTTATTTTTTCTTATCGCTCCCGCGACAACGATCACAACAATCTCACTGCTTGTTTGTCGACCTTGAAACTGTGATTCTTTACAGCAATGAACCGTTTAATCATCTTCACCGCATTGTTGGTCGCCGTCGCCGTAGCCGCGCCCGTTCCCGACGAGAAGGCCGAAACCGAAGATCTGCCCAAATACGTTGGCGGCCCCATCGCCAAGATCTACAAGGAGTTGAGCGACGAGCAAAAGAAGCAGGTCGACAAGATTCTGGAAGAATCCGAGAAAGACAAGAAGAAGGACTTTTACAAGAAGATCAACGCCTTCAACGACAAGTTGGACGCCAAGTTGAAGAAGGAGTTGGATGATGATAAGAAGCATTTCGAAGAGTTCAAGGACTCGATCAAGGCCAAGTCCGCCAAGCTAGGCAAGGAAGGCAAGGCTTTGTACGAGGAGTTGAAGAAGAACTTTGAGAACGAAGATCAGACCTTCGAAGCCGAGCATAACAACTTGGTTAAGATCATCAAGGCCGCGCCAAAAGAAGCCAAAGAACAGTTCGAGAAGGCCGAGATCCCACTGCCCAAAATCGACGCCTAAAGCGATGAAGTTTGAGCTATTGTAATAAAGTTTTGAGAATAATAGAGTTTGTAATAAATATAGATTAATTTTCTTTATAATAAATATTATAGAGTAAATTGTTGTTTTTTAAAGAATGTGTTTTTTTTCTTTTTTCGAATACCTTCTTAACCTAGGCCTTCATGGACAATATAAAAAACGCCATTTCTCACTTTTAACTCATCAAAAAATGATTAAAAAAACCAAAAAACCCCCAAATTTCCAGTTTTCCGCGCATTAAAACAAAATTTATTGTCCAATAACAAAGTGTTAACAAAAAAACGTGCAAAAGACGTAACGTATATAAAAATGTGTATTTAATATACCACTACTTCTTTTGTATCAATATTCGGTCAAGAAGTTCATAGAATATGTCATTGCACCGTGCAAACAATATAAACCAAGTTTGAATCATATCAAAGCAAACTTTTTCGATTTTTTTCCACAAAGTTCTATAAACCTTTCGACCAAATAAGTAAAAAAAACAAAACAAACTGTAATAGCAGATGTAGAATACTGTTATGAGGCGTAAAACTCTTTGTAGGACCTAAAACATCCATTCAAAAGAGGTGACCCACCTTATAAACTATATAAAACATCATGTAACAAGTAGAGAAAGACGTACTTTAACAAATTTTTTACTTTCCTTAAGGCATTTTGTATCAAATTTGCTGTTATTGTAAAGAAACAATCAAGAAATAAAGATAAACTAGCAAAAAGGTGAGCTTTTACTAATAAAAACTGGCAAAAAATTAAATTTTTATAGTGAAAACCAGCCTTTTCCAGTAAAAATTAGTAAAAACACCCCCTTTGCCAGTAAAAAATCGCATACCTAACAAAACAATTTATTTTTCTAACCCAAAACGCCATAATCCATCAACAACTTCACCTTATTTCTCCTGTAATACCTCTCTATTTCTGTTGTTTTTGGTCCTTTATCATCTGTACCAGCTTCTTGTATCGTACCATACACTGCTTTTTCGTTTTTCCTTCGACTTGTGCTGCGATTTTGTCCCATCTTTCTGAATCCTTGGCATCTGTAGCTTTTAGCGCAATTTCGAGTTGTTTTTGTTGCTCTGAAGTCCAGTCTTCTTTTTCCGATGGTACTGCTAATGAGGGTTCGGCGTTGATCTTTGGTATGTTGGCTTGAGCATTTAGGCCGGGTACGGTTGATGGTCCGGCTTCTACGTTGGCGAACGCTGCGCTGGCTTCCATTGACTTCATGATTTTGGCCTAGAAAGGCAAAAACAATATATTTCTCAAAAAAAAGTTTAAAAATTCAAAAATTTTAAAATAAAAAAAAATTTAGATGCTAAACATCAAGAAAAAGAACAAAAATAGTGCAACAAGCCTAAAACATCTGCAAGCCCACAAAAATAAAAAATCTCTCGACCCTCTCGCCTCCTCTACCAAAAACACCATCGTTCCCACTCTTACCTGTCTTATGATGTCCTTTTCCACTTTGGTCTTTTCCGGTTGTACCGTAACATGTTCGTTGATGTATCGTGTGACTTGTGTCCATCTTTCCACACTGCCAGCTGGATATAGGTTGCAGGCTTTGATGAGTAATTGAGCTTCTTCGTGAGTCCACTTCACTTGATTATTGTTAGCGGCCGCTGGCTTTTCTTCCTTTTTCTTGTAGATTTTTAGGTTGGTTTCGGTCTAAAAGGATAGTTTTTATCTTTAGTAAAAAAAGCCTCTAATAATATTGAGCAGGCTTTAAAAAAGTCTATAATAATATCAAAAAAGCTTTAAAATTACCTAAAAGATTAAAAAACACTATTTTTTTAACCAAAACCTCAATGAACAGGTCAAAAGAGGCCTATATAAACCTCCAAAAATCATATCTAAACCCTACCTTTTGCCCCAAAGCCCCCATAGCTGTGTCATAATCCTCAGCCGCCTCCAACTTCTTCAACACCTCTCCAAGCTGTTCAATATTGCAATTCAAGCAAACTCCTTCCAGACTCTCCATCATCTTCAACTTGTATTCTCCTTCGTCCGTCCAGAACTCATTATCCTTGCAAATCTCCCGCACCTTCTTTCTTTCTGCCTGCAATGCCTTCTTAGCCTTTTGACGTTGTTGTTGTTGCTTCTTGTCCTCCTCGATCTTTGCCAATCGTTCTTGTTCAAGCTTTGCGGCTTCGGCCTGTTCAGCAGCCTTCTTTTCTTGTTCTACTTGATCTCTGGCCGCTTTTCTTCGTGCTTTCTCTTCTTCTTTGGCTCGTTTGTCTTGCTCTTTGAATGCTTTTACTCGAGGGTCTTTGGAGTAGGCAACTTCGACCATGTTTGACAAGCTTTTTAGGTATTCTTTGCGAAGCTTTTCACGTTCAATCTAAAATTTTTAGATATAAAGTTAATAAAACTGCATTTCTTTCAAATTTTAGTCGATATACACCATGTAAATCAACATAACTCAAGTCTTCACACTCAAACAGCCCTAAAACTAAAAAAAACAAGCCTTACCCTGTTTTGTTTTTCGATTTCACGTCGTTCCCAACGATCTTCACCTTTGCTTTTGTCTTCTTCATCCTTGTACGAAAACTCTCTCCATGAGCTGAAATGAAGCCAGAAGTCGTAGAAGTCCTCAACTTCATCACGAGTCGAATCAATATCACCTAGCAATGGCACTGGTTGTTCGTTTGAGAACCTAAAATATGATTTTTATTGTGGTATCTATCTTATAATTGAATATTCCAAATTTCAAAGCAAAATATTTTTGTAAACGAAGTTTTTGCCATTTTAGGCTTTGTTTAGATCTTGTTTCATAAAAACCTTTATGTTACAGGGCTATATCATTAAACTCAACGCCATTCAGTTTATCATCCATCTTCATACCTAAAAACCAACATTAATATAAAAAAAAGCTTACCGAGCATGACGTTCAAAGAAGGGACCCAAGATTTGGAAAAACTTGTCCTTTTTGATAGTTTTTTCTTCAGGATAAGTATCATCAAACTTAGGATCAACAGAATCGTACGAACGACGCAGAGATTCATCCATACCCATCAGTTCATAGGCCTTTTGAATACATGCAAAAATAGTCTCGTTTCTGGTACCATTCTTGCTTGCTTTTCCTTTGTCCGGATGCCATACAAGCACCTTTTGGCGGTCTGTAAGGAAAAGTTATCAAAGCCATCAAAAAAATATTATTTTAGACAAAAACAAAGATACTTTAATACCCCTGACCAGAAATCGGCTTTTTTATTGTATCTTCATCTACATTTCTCTAAATTTACATTCCACAGAGGTAAAGCAACGTTTTTCGTACCTAAACTCTAAAAAAAACCAAAACGAATCAACTCACAAGCAGTCTTAATCTGAGCAGCAGTAGCCTTATACCTCAACTTGCTCAATCCCAACACACGATAATGATCCTGTTCCTTCCAGTTGTTGGGATCCAATTTGCTCATGTATTTATGATACTTCTCATCATCTTTGTCCATAAACTCGCTGGCCGGCACATTTTCGTCGTTCAAGTCAGGCGATTTTGATTCGCTTCGACTTGCGACAACTCCTTTCAGCACTGGCGATGGATTCAAGCCCAAAGCCAAAATGTCACGGACCAAATCACATTCATAAGCATGTCCGGCGGCTTCGATTTTGCGCATTCTTTGCTGTCTGAAGCCATAGATGGCGACCGCTTGATGATGAACGGTTGAGGTGGTCATTTTCCTAACTACGCGATATATACAACAATATCTAGAAGCTGAAAATGTTCAGCGGGAGCCCAAGCAATGCCTAAAAGTAGATTTAATCATAGAGCAAGGTTTGGTACGTATATCAAAAATTAGAAAAAAAATAATATTTGAAGTAAAACTTCTAACATCAAGCTAATAGAAGACTAAGTTAACTAAATTAGCCATAATTTCAAAGTTTTACAAGATCAAATTCCAAAATCTGACAAGGCAGATTAGTAAGAGCGTAATAAAGCCCGTAAAATATTATTTTAGGTAAAACTTCCAAAGAATCGCCCAGAAAATCAAAAAGAAGTCAATAATCCAATATCTAAAATCTTTACCTAAAACACTATCTTTAGCTTCAAAAACCATTCTAAAACCTATCATACTTTTAAAAATTATAAAGAATATATTATTCATGCTTAATATAATATAAAACCTATTAAAATATATCAGTTTATCTTGAATAACTTAAGCTTAGACCTAAAACAATATAGTATTTCAAAAAAATTAAAAATCAAGCAAAACATTCATGTTTTAAAAAATTTAGGACAAAAGACGCGGTAAAAAACAGGCCTAGTCTTCGCTACGATTGAAGAAATGCACTCCTAAAATTATTCCGAGACATTTTTTATTCGCAAGCTGCGCTCAGCCTTCAAAAAGAAGAGCTGCAGGCTGCGAGTGTCGTGTATACGATGTAACATGTTTTTTATTTTGGTATTTTAGCTGTGAAAAATATGTATGGAATGTAAAAATGTTTTTTTTGGTTTAAATTAAGAGTAAGGTAGCACAAAACGTGCATTAAAATAAGAGCATAGGAATTTAGCTATGACTGGATTAAGAGGTAAGGTAGAGTAGCGCTACAAAAAGCTAGAATAAGGCTCGGGTAAGACTCGTACAGTAAGACTAAAAAAAATCTAAAGCAGAGTTAGGGTCAAGCTAAGATAGCGGTAAAACAGGGTTAGGGCTTTGGGGCTAGGGCTTTGGAACTAAGGCTTTGGGGCTAGAGCTCTGGGCTAAAACTCTGGGCTAAAGCTTTTGGGCTAGGGCTTTTGGGCTAGGGCTTTTGGGCTAGGGCTTTGGGGCTAGGGCTTTGGGGCTAGGGCTTTGGGGCTAGGGCTTTGTGGCTAGAGCTTGGGGGCTAGGGCTCTGAATTCGAACTTTAAGCTAGAACTCTAAGGATGGTTTTTGGAGCTATGGCTTTAGAAATAGGGCTCTGGTATTAAGGCTCGGGTATGGTTAAGATCAGCAAGCTATAATACGCTTTTGTAGTGCTCGTTCAGGGCAGTATAACAGGTTTGGCAGTTGTTTTTTTTTCCTAAACTTTTGTTCAATGGTCATTTTCGTTGCATTTTTGACCAGTTTGCATCATGTAAGTGATACATTTGTGAAGCGAGTAAAAAGTCAAGAATAGTAAGACAAAATTACGACACACAGCTGTTTTGGCCATTTTTCTCGAATCAAAATAAAAGCCGAAAATTGAAATTCGGAGAAAAAAATAATTAGCGGTTCGAGTTACACGAGATCTTCTTGTATTTTGTGGTGTTTTTGAGACTGAATATTGGGTATGGGTCTTAAAATATTTTTTTTTATTTTTTAATATTTTTTAGAGTTTTGGACGTATTTTCAATGTTTCTATATACTTTTTGACCGTTATCTTTAAAAAAACATGTTTTTGATGGATATTCTTGTGACTGACAAGAAAATGTACTTTTCACCTTGATATACTTACTTGTTGTAACAATTATGACTTTGCTTTGATATGTTTACTGACTTTTATTGCTGTAATCTTTTCTTTTTGCTACAATATACATGTCTTTTTCAGTGTAATACGATTTTTTTATTAACCCCAGCCCTAACTCGGAGCTATAGCCCCAAAGCCTTAACCCCAAAGCCCTAGCCTAAAGCTCTAGCCACAAAGCAATAGCCCCAAAACCCTAGCCCTAGAGCCAAAGCCCACAGCCTTAGCCTCAAAGCCTTAGCCGTCTCATGCCCAAAGCCCTAGCCTCAAGCCCTAGTTTGTCCTAGTCCAGGGCTCTAGCCTTAAAGGAATAGCTTTAGGTTTAGTTCTAGCATCGAGCTCTTTCCCAGAGTCCTAGCTTAAAACCCTAGCTAGCTTTAAACCTCTAGCAATAGCCCTTGCTTTTGTTTTAGTCCTAGCGTTAGTCCTAGTCTTAGCCGATAACCCAGTCTTAACCACTCTAAGCCTTCTTTTAAGTTTTAGCCTATTCTCATGCTCGAAACCGTATACCTACCATCAATTTCTATGTTAGCTTGAATCGTGGTCCTCAACCTTGCCTTAATTCCAGCGCAGAACCTCAGTCCTACCTGGATACCCTAAACCTCAAGTAGAAACACTTTCCAAATCATTTTTCAAAATCATAACAAAACACCACGGTTATTTTGACAAATACCAAAAACAAGTTCCAAACAAAGTTTTATAAATACCGCGCATTCGAACACTGCTTACTTTCACGTTGTTAATACTTTTTGTTTTGTGTAAATTAGGCGAAATTTAAGTGACGCATCATTCGTTTTTGTCAACAAAGTTTATGCGAATGTGATTCGCGGGTCGGGTTCAATTGTTACTTCTGGGCCTAATGGGTTCAAAATTAGGGTTTTCAATGTTATTTTAGGTAAAAGTGCATGGTTTATTTAAACATTGTTTTTAGGCTTCATATACGTTTTTTGATAGGAAGAGGAGGTGGGGAAGCGGAATAAAGTAAAAAAATAAGAATTGGTGGGGGGGGAGAGTGATAAAGAGATATTAGGTAATAACTTAAGTTACTGTAAGAAGGGTATAATAAAACAGAGCAGTGTATAGTAAAAATTGGTAGAGTAAAGCAGTATCGGATCAGGTAGGACCGCGAAGAGCCGAGCAGGGCAAGGCAAGGGAGGGGAGAATAAAAAGTGGGACAGGATGAGGTGGGGTATGATAGGATAAGGATAAAGTAGGGTAGGGTAGGGTAGGGTAGGGTAGGGTAGGGTAGGGTAGGGTAGGGTAGGGTAGGGTAGGGTAGGGTAGGGTAGGGTTGGGTTGGGTTGGGTAGGGTAGGGTAAGGTAGGGTAGGTTACTGTAGGTTAGGGTAGGGTAGGGTAGGGTAAGAAACTGCCGTTTATCAAGCGTTTTTCTCACTCAAATTAAATCATATTGCTCTATAATCAATAACAACTTCCAGATGGACCCACCGAAAGTTCGTTTTGATCCGGAAGACTTTCTAGCGCCCAGCTATTGGGATCGCTTGAATCGCTCGTCTTCTGAATACAAAACTCAGCGTGGAACTTTCGCCGGTTTAACAAATAAAATGAGGGAAACGAGGATTGATGCTAAAGGTCAGAAACGTAAAATTTGATTTTTTTGGAAGAAAAAATTAATTTTTTGAGGTTTTTAGTTAGAAGCTTTAATTAAAAGAGGTTTTTACGATATTTTTGAAATTTTTGTTTAAATTTTTTAAATAGATTAGCCCTAGCCTATATATAGAGATGTGGCTTTAGAATGGATCAAAGCCCCTGAATTTGTTCCAAAAACAAAATTTATGAACCCTCAAGTTACAAACGATACAGGAACTGTCTACTTTAGTAAGTTTAAAATATTTTTTTTAATAATTTGAAAATTTTTAGTTTTTTTATAAATTTTGTAATTTAGATCAACCGTCGAGCTACTTGAACTACGCTACTCCACATAGCATGCTGACAACTTCTTTATCAACACCTCAATATGCTTATGTACAACCGGTTGGTAACAACTATTCTGCTTTTGTGACTTCAATCAATGGTATGTTTTATCGTTAAAATCGTTTTTAGGCTTAGACTTAGCGTTAGACTTAGGTGAAGGCCATCGATTCAACTTTAGGCTTAAATATAAACTTAAGAATTCGGATTTGTTAGGGTTAAGCTTAGAAGCTTAGTCTCAGTAGGCTTAAAATTTGTAAGATTAAACATAATAAAGTTAGGCTTAATAAGCTTAGGTTTGATAGGCTCAGGCTTAGTAAGCTTAGACTTAGTAGACTTAGGCTTAGTAGCCTTAGGCTTAGTAGACTTAGGCTTAGTAGGCTTAGTAACCTTAGGCTTAGTAGGCTTAGGCTTAGTAGGCTTAGGCTTAGTAGGCTTAGGCTTAGTAGGCTTAGGCTTAGTAGACTTAGGCTTAGTAGGCTTAGGCTTAGTAGGCTTAGGCTTAGTAGGCTTAGGCTTAGTAGGCTTAGGCTTAGTAGGCTTAGGCTTAGTAGGCTTAGGCTTAGTAGGCTTAGGCTTAGTAGGCTTAGGCTTAGTAGGCTTAGGCTTAGTAGGTTTAGGCTTAGTAGCCTTAGGTTTAGTAGGCTTAGACTTAGTAGGCTTAGGCTTAGAAAGCTTAATCTTAGTAAGCTTAGGCTTAGTAGGCTTGTGCATAGTAGGGCTAGGCTTATGATGATTAAACAGGCTAAGTAAGCTTATTCTTGTTATGCCTTAGCTTTGAATAATACGTTTTAAAATAGCCTAAAATCACTAAAACGTCTCCAATTTGTAGACATTTTTGTCTTTTTTCTAACTTTGAAGCAATTGTTTGAAACAAGCCTAGTTCCGAGATAGATGTGTTTGAAAAAGTGCGATAATAATCATGTTCGAGATTGAACAAGTCCCTCATGGCCTTTAAGTTTTTAGGGTCAAACGTTCTTTTTCACACGAAATGTCTTGACGTTTTTATTTGAAACTTTAATAGGCTACTTATTTTGGGTTGTCTTTGGTGGGTGGCTTACAACATTGTATAAACGGGCTTAGCAGTTTTAGGCTGGACGGGTTTGGGTTTATATTTGGTAGGCTAAGCTTTGGTTTAAGGCTTTTATGGCTAGCGCTTTAAGTTTTAGGGTTTTTGGGGCTAGAACTAAAGCTAAAGGTAGAGCTAGAGCTAGAGCTAGAGCTAATGGACTAATGTCTTAGCCTTGTAAGGCTAAGGCTAGATATTATGTCAGAGGAACGGAGTGTATAATTGATTTGTTGGGTCGTTTTACATCGAGGCAAATATTACAAAAATCATAAATGTTACATAAGAAAACGTTACGTAACCTCATTTTTTGCAATTTCTCTAAGGCTATTTAGCTATAACATGATCTTATGTAACGTCGAAGATTTTTTGTACAAACAAAACACTCTGATTTCTAGTATGATTAGGTGTTTTTTAATAAATGCTTAAAGTTTTACTTAATATTGAGCTTTTGTTGTAAAAATCTAAAATTTGTTAACAAATTTTTAATTTTAGCTGATTTAAACGGCCAAATTTCGGCAGTTATTTTGAAAAAGAAGAGAAGGCGCAGAAGAAGGAATAAGAACAACACTGGTAGTGTATACCCTGAAGAAGCAGAAAACGACGTAAGTTTTAATATTTCTAAGTACTTGTAGGGTAGGGAAGACTAGGGTAGTTTAGCAAAGGGAAGATTGGGGTAGTGTAGGGCACGGGATGTTATGTTTTTTTAGGGTACAGTGCGCTGGGATATGACAGGGTTGGACTAGAAGATGGATAGAAGAGGGCTATCACAGGGCTAAGATATTACCAATATAGAACTGGGATATGAGTATAGATGGGCTGACATAGGGTTATTAGGTTGTTCACTTAATTCTGCGTCTTTTTCCAAAGCTAATTTTTGGGTTACTGGGGCGCAGAATTATGTGAACAACCTGATACTATAGGGTAGGGATATTTTAGTTTTCAGGCATTTTTTTTGTAAAATACGTCTTTCTTTTTCTAAGTTCCTTTATAATAATTAAATATTTTAGATTCCATCTGACCCTGTGTGTTCTAAAGGCTCTTCTATACTAAAGCCTGCTGACATTATAAAAAAGAAACCAAAGAAAAGTTTAAGAAAATCAAGTTTGTCCAAGTCATCATCGCTACCTACGTTAACTATGGAGGAGTTCAAAGCGATTCCGGTCAGTTTATTTGCTGTTTTAGGCTTATTTTTTGCTTTTTGTGTCATTTTTAGGCGGATTATTGGGTATTTCTTTTAGAATTTAAGTTTTGTTGGATTTTTTAAAGTTTTAGGTTTATTTTGAGCCAATTATTTGAGATATAGCGTTCTTCGGGTATTTGTATGTTTTAGGCTTACTTTTTGTATTTTGCTTTATTTTTAGGCTTACACATTATTGTTTGTCTTACTTCTAGGTTTATTTTTTGGGTGTTTTTAAAGTTTTAGCTATTACTTCTAGGTATAGCTTTTTTAGCTTTTAGGCTTACTGTTTTCAACGTTTAGGCTTATCCTTATGCGTTTAAAATTCCCGACTTTAAGGATTTAACAAAAAGTTTTAACTGTTTTTTAACAAATTTGAGCATCTTTATTTAAAAAGTTACAGTAATAAGTAATAGATACACGTAATGTTTAGTGTGATATGATGAGAAGCTACTATAACATTGTGATAAGTGACTAAAAAACGATGATAAAAATCTATAAAATGCTGATAAACAAGCATAACAAAGCTTATTCAGTCTTGGCCTTGCCAAACACAAAGCCTGAGATTTTTCTGAGCAAAAAGCGTACCAGTCCAAATACGATAGCTAGTACTAATACAACTGAGGTAATGATAAACGCGATAACGTCAACATTGTAGAACTGTAGCGTGTTTAGTGTTCTTCCTGGCATGTCTAGATGCTTGTGAATGTCGAACTCAGCTGCCAGTTCACAGGCTTTGACTATTTTTTCTTCTGGCGTTTGGAACTTGTTTCTCAAAAGCTTGGCTAGGGTCTGGGACTTTTGTTTGTACCTAAAATTTTAAGGAATTGTAAAATACGTCATAGTTATTTTTGATTTCTCAAGTAAAGTAAGTAAAGTAAAAAATAGTTCCTTTCTTACAAATGTTCTCATGTTTTTAGATATAGTCCCATCTACTGAGAAATCGTTTTGTTGTTATAGAAATAGGTTCCTTTTACTTTAGAACTTGTTTTAAATACATTCTTATAACTGGGCTTGTCTTTTTAGAAATGACCCAAGCTTTTTTAAAAATTGTCTCATCTTTTTAGAAATAGTACCATCTTTTTAAAAATGGCCCCGCCTTATTAGATATGGTCTCATCTTATTGGAAATGGTCTTATCTTTTTAAAAATGGTCGCATCTTCTCGAAAAGCGTTTCATTTTTTAGAAATGGCCCCATTTTATTAGAAGTAGTCTCAACGTTTTATAAATGGTCTAATTTTCTCAGAACTGGTGCTATCTTTTTCGAAATGGTTCCATCTTTATAGAATTGGTCTTATCTTTTTAGGGCTGGCAACTTTTTAGAAATAGTCTTTATAAATAGAAATGGCCCCACCTTATTAGAAATGGGTTTATCTTATTAGAAATGGTCTCATGTTTACAGAATTGGTCCTAACATCATAGAACTGGTCTTATCTTTTTATATGTGGTCATATCTTCTCAAAAATCGGGCCCGGCTTTTTTAAAAGTCTAACTTTGTTAAACCAATAATTGGAAACAAAATCTTACGTTTCATTCTCAATAATTTCCTTCAAAGCCTTCTGAATCTCTTCCTTGGTCAATGACTGCTTATTCAACCTCACCGCCACTCCTTTCTTTACAATCATATCAGCATTCCTTGGTTGTTCCGCAAACAACGGCAAACATACCATAGGTACACCGGAGTAAGTGGCCTCAGTAACCGAATTCATACCGGCGTGAGTAAGGAACGCCAACGTTTTTGGATGTACCAAAATCTCACGTTGTGGCAACCAATTGCCGGTATGAATGTTACTGTAGCCTTCAGCTACATTATGAGAAGCGTTTTCGTACTTCCAAATGAATTGAACCTCAGGGAATGAGGCAAAGGCTTCGATGAAGGCCTGACGAATGTCCAATGGCATGTCAGCACTTTTAATCATTGAGCCGAACGATACGTAGATGACACCTTTGGTGGCTTTGTCAAAAATGTCAGCGAATTCCTTGTCTAGACTGCCAATTTTGGACATGGCACGACGCATTCCATAGCCGGCTACGTTAAGGTATTTGTGAGAGATTGGGCGAGGATAGTCGACGAATTCATCCGCGTTCACTAGGACAAATGAGGTTCTGGCTATTAGTTCCTGAAAAAACGATTTGTAAAATACGAGACACGTTAGGTTTAGGATAGTAAAAGGTAGAATAAAAAAAAATAGGGTAGGCAAGGGTAGAGTAAGGGTCATGACAGAGGCTATAGTAAATGTTACAGCGGGAGCTAACGCTTCGACTGGGGTGGAGTAAGGCTAGGGACTATAGTAAATATGAGAGTACTGGGACAAGGGCTAGATTCAGGCTATGAGGTTTTTTAAAAAGGGTAGGGTAGGGTAGGGTTACTTACCATATAGTCAGGATAGCCTGGGACAAGATGAAAAGCTTTACCAATTTCTCCATTAAAAGCCGGCATGACCAGATGTACTCCCATCACATAAGTGAACCAATTCTTTAGTCTGTCAATAAAGCCAGTCACTTTGGTCCCAAAAATGTCCGGCACAAAACTTGTCATACTAGGAATGCCCAAATTGGCTGACTGTCCGAGAAACATGGATGATCCAGAGATTGTGATCGTTTTGTTTAGGCCAATCTTAGCGAAAATGCCATAGCCACAAACGTCAAAGGATTCTGTCACTCCTACATCAAATTCTTCGTTTCGCAGTTGTTGTAGCAGCTCTTCGTCGTTAAGTTGGAATTCACAGGCTTGACGGAATTTTTTTCCGACCATTTTCATCATCTGAATTCGCTGAACTTATATTTTTTAAATTTAAGTTAAGAATATGACAGTTAAAAGTTATCTAATGACGAAGAATGAGACACGGTTTATAAAAAATGTCATTATGAAGTTATTTTGTTACCTAAAAAATCGAAAAAAATATTGATTTATCGAAAAAGCGCTTATTTTTTGAAGTCGGCATACCGTTACTAAAACCTTGATTTTTAGGTAATAAAAAAGAATTTTAAAAATTTTTAATAACAGGTTTAAATCGCATAAAAACTAGATTACTTTCATAGCATAGCATATCATATACATATCATAAAGAATGGCAGAGCTACGTCAAACGAAAAAAGTCAAAAATCAAAAAAAAGTTCGACTCCGCTTGGGAACCAAACGGACTTTTTCAAAATTTTCTTAAACTTCCTACTTGCTACTGCTAAGTTGGCTATAATAAGTTTAATAAAAGCTTTTTAACTAACATGGATAGAGTTTTAAGCTCAGTAACTTACATTAAGAGTATTCATAACACCGCTAAACTCGGCCACCCAAAAGTTTTTGGGCGCGTCAGTCCATTTGTTTGGGAATTCCCGGGTAACCAACTTGATGTCTTTGTGCGTATGGCCTGGTTTGGTGACTTGAGGGTTGATGTTAAGTTGGAGGACGGTCTGGAAATACACTTTTTTTAATTATTAGCAAAAAAAATTTTTTTGAAATTTTTGAACCTTCAAAAAAAATTAAAATTCTATTGGTTTTTTGACCTAACAATGTAAAAACAAAAAATTTTTTAAAATTTCAAAAGCCATGTCTATATAGTGCCATTTAAACCCCAATCCTCAAAAACAATTAAAAAAACCCACCACATCATGACCACCATAAGCAATTTCGTCAGCCACTTTACCAACCAACATAGCATGACTTCCACCAAACTTTGGGTTGTAAACCAAGTATTTGTAAGCGTCAACTGATGCACATATCAACAGTAATGAAAGTAAAACCCTCATTTTAAATGGCAATTAGTTTGAGGTTGTTTTCGTTGGTATATCACCTGGAAAAGGGCGAGAGTAAGCAAGCACGTTGTGGGAAAATATTTTTTTTATAAAAACTCAGCGCGTAAACAAGTATTTTTTTGATATTTTTAAAAGAAAGTTTGATAAGAATTTTAGTAAAAATTAATAGTTATAAACTGTAGGACCAGACCCGGCTGAATTGTTTGACAGCGGGTCGGCTAGACCAAGCCGGAGGAGATCTGAAAACAGCCGAGTTGAGCTGGATAGTCTATGCCCGAGTGCCGGACATAAATAAAGGCTTCAGAGTAGGGTAAGGTAGGGTAGGGTAGGGCAAGGTAAACTAAGGTAGGGTAAGTTAGGATATGGTAGAGTAAGATAAGGTAGGGTAGGTCCCACAACGAAAGATTTTACTTGCAAAAACTTGAAAAAGCCTTGGCCGTGTTGGATGGTGTTGGCTCCTAAATGAAAACTTTAGCGTAGGGTAGATCCCGAAACGAAAACTTTGCTTTCAAAAATCTGAAAGGTGTTGGCCGGCACATGTAGCCCAAGAGCCGGAACACAGGAGTTTGTGCCCGGTCCATCAGGGGTATAGGTAATTAAAAAACGACGCTTTTTCCAATCTGTTACCTAAAATTTTAACTAAATGTCTTTGATAAACCATAAAGTTTGAAAAACAAGCTAATTTGAATTTAAAATCTAATTATTGTTATAAACGAATTAAAAAAAAACAAGTAATTTCAAAAGGAAATAGCATACGCTTTGAAGAATGAATTAACAGGTTTTAAAAAACAAGCAAAACTAAAAAGGCATTGGTAAGTAAAGTGTAGAAAAGAGTTAAAACCAAGGCATAAGTGAGAAGTAGCGATTAGTAAAAAACCTAGGTACAGACGTTAAATCAACCTGTTTTTTTGTAAATTACAGAACATAAAATATAACACAAGATACAATTTTGTTAACAAAGTGAAGTTTTGTGTTCCATTCTATTGGAATCTTCCGTGTTGTAAACTCTTGTAAATGATAAGGAAGTGACAGATTATTTGCTGAATGATAATTGATCTTGGGCATTATCACACTACTAGGTTTAAGAAAGAAAATCAGGTAAATATAAAACGTATTATTACATTAAAGTAGGGTTATAGTAGAAAAAGATAGGTCGGTTTGAAACAAAGCTAAGGCAGTGTAAGATATAGTTATGGTAAAAGCTACAGTATGAAAATAACGTAAGGCTAGAGCATGATAAAAGTAGCGTTTGGGTAAGGCTATGGTAAAGTTACAGATGGCGAGGATAAAGCTAATGTAGAATAGAGTAGAGCTAAGGCATGGCCAGTGCAATGTTAGAATAGAGTCAATATAGGGCTAAATCAATGCTACGATTAGAGTAGGGAAGGCTTAAAGGTGGGCTAGGTTAATGCCAATGTATGGTTAAGACAAAGTTGCTCTTTGGGTAGAGTAACAAAAACTAGAGTATAGCAGGAGTAGAGCATGCCCGGGTAAAACTAAGGTAAGTTTAAATTAAGACTTGTATTGGTTAATATAAATCCTTAAAAAAGTTAGGTAAAAACCACGATGTCTTTAGTTTATATGCCTATTTAACACAATCTTAACCCCTGTAGAAAGAAACAAAAGTACTTAAAAGGTGCTGCTTAAGCATTAGACAACAAAAGTCAATTAGTTATTATTTTGCATACATTCTTGAGTATCTTTTATAACATTTTAGTACAAAAGGCAAAGCCAAATTAAAATTAATTTAAAAAAAGTTAGTACAATATACTATTACAGGAAAGTGAGCTTTTAAACAAAAAAAAATTTAAAAATTTGATAACAAGTTTAAAATATTTTATCAAAACTCCTCCCCTAAATACACTTATCATACACTTCCTCAAACAATATTTCAAAATTTTTTGAGATAGTGCCAAAACCAAGTTTGGTTTTAACCTCTTTAAGAATTGATAAAAACCCACTAATGCACATGTAAAGCAAGACTTCTTTTTGAGCTTGGTTCACACACAAAACATGACACAAATCATAACACAAAACATAAAGTAAAAGTTTTTTGTTTTGTCGCGGCAAATTAAACTTTAACAAGTTTTATAAAAAGTGTAACTATCACGTGGGGGATGGTTAGGAAAATGGTAGGCCAAGGTAGAGTAGAGGAGAATAAGATGGGGTAAGGCAGGGTAGAGTAGGATAAGGTAGGCTAAAGTAAGACAAGGTAGGATAAGATAGAGCAAGACAAGGTCGATTTGAGTTATGTGTAGGGTAAAGTAAGGTAGGGTAGAATATGATAGGGGAGGGTAGAATAGTATAATTGGAATAAGATAAAGTAAGATAAGATATTATAGAATAGAGAAAAATAAGATGATTAAGGTGAGGCAGTGTAGGCAAAGATGGAGGGAGTAGAGTAAGGTAACGTAAAATAAGGTAAGCTAGAGTAGAGTAGAGTAAAATAAGTTAGTTTAAGGTCGGATAGAGAGAAAAGATAAAGTAGAGCAAGATAGGGTAAAATAAGTTAAGGCAGAATAAGATAGAGTAGGGAAGGTTTAGCTAGCGTAAGACAGGCTAGAGTAAAGTAAGACAAAGTAGGGTATGATAGAGCAAGATCGACTCAATTAGGGAAAAATAAGGTAATATAGGGTAAGATAAGATAGGGTAGTGTAAGATATGAAAGGGTAGGGTACAGTAAAGTAGAGTACGGTAAAGTCGAATACGGTAAAGTAAGGTAGGGTATAGTGGTTTAGATTAGGGTATGATGTTAAATTGTAATCTATTGCATCAAAAGAAGTGTTAAAGATAAGCATCTAAAAATATTGTAGTCTTGATAGTTTTTTGACTATTTTGTTACTGATAAGAAGAACGAAGATTATCAATTTATAGTTTCGTCAAATACTGTGAGCAAGAACTAAATATAATACATGATAGATAAAAAAGAGAAAAAATTTGCAATTTTAATCTGTTTTACATCATGATACTAAAGCTATCTGTGCGAGAAACAACAAGATTTAATAATTTTGCTTTGGCAAATTGACTTTAAACTAAGTTGTATGTTGCAGTAATTAATGTTTTTATTGGCGACAAGTTAGATGGGGCCATTATAAGATCACTGGTCAACGAGACAGACTTAGAGTAAAAGTTTAAGACACTACACATAACACAACACACACAATATAATATAAGCGTGGGGGATGGGTAATGTAAATGATCTTACTTATATCACAATGTTTTACTATACTAAGGTCAATTTCAATATGACAATGAACCTGACTAAATTGCAGTTCAAAAGAAGAAATACTGCTATTTGTTTAGTACTATATGGTTGTTCTAACAAATGTTTTGTACAGGTATAGCAATAAATTTAGCGCTATAACTATTAGGTGCCGACATAAAGAACCCGCCATACTTTTCTTGTAATGTCCTGTAAAAAATGGCGGGTTCTTTATGTCTGCATTAATATATGGTACTACTGTATTATAGGTATAATAGAGTAAGATAGGGTACAAAAACGTTAGTGCTACAAAAACATAATACTGAATATGAACTATACAGTACTAGTACTATGACAGTATGGCACCACTGTATCATAGGTAGAGTAAAGCAAGAAAAATTCTGTGCCATAACAGTGTAGTACTACTGTATATGAAAAAGTAGATGCTATAGAACTATGTACGACTATGTAGTACTGTATATTGGATACTACTGTATAGTATTAAATATTGAGCACTACTGTATAGTACTGTATATCAAGTACTTTAGTACTAAAACATAAACTGATTATAACAACTACTGTGTTACTAATACTCACGAAACTAAGTGCTATGCTCATAACATTGCAATAAGCCACATTTTTGTTTTCAAAGCTACAGTACCCTATAAAAAATGCAAAAATAGATTTTAAAATCTGTTTGAATTGTCTTTTTTTTGCGTTTTCAAACTCGACGGAACTTGAACTACGTCAAACCAGAACTTGTTATATTATCTATCAATGTCATATTTGTATTTACATACCTGTTCGTGTGCTACACACATCGCTTCTGTTCAAACATAACCTTTTTTATATATACGTTTATGGCATATTTTGATCTTTTTGAAAGATTTTGAAATTATTTTGAAAAGAACAGTTGTTTTCAAGTTTACGGTACTGTAGTTTGTACTGTAGAGTTTAGAGTACTGTAATTTGTACTGTAGGCTTCAGAATACTGTAATTTGTACTATAGGATATTAACTTTTGGGCTTTAAAACTTAACTTTGAAAGAGATACTGTGGACTACTGTAACTACATAAAGAAAAATCGATAACTTTTTTAAGAAACAATTTTCTACTGTACTGCTGATGACTATGGTACTATAGCATAACAGTACAAAGTGTTTGTACAATACTGTACTTTTATCTATTTCTTGTTGTTTGTACTATATTATTGTACTTGAAATATTAGTATTAAAGTACGTACACTACGTAGACTTCAAATTACTATAGCGTTTTCAAAGCTACAAATACTCTTTATACTACAATTACAACAACTCATCACAATGACTACTACAACATACTCCCAAAGCCAAAACACATACTGTACTACCTACATGAAACTCATAGTACTATTGACTTTATCATACATAGCCAGCTCAATGGATAACTGCGTAGATGAGCCAAAAGCCAACTGTGACAGATCAGATATAAAGTCTGTATGTAATCACCCAATGTACAAACGATTGATGAATAGTAACTGCCGGAAAGCATGTGGTATGTGTCAGCCTGGCACATGTACAGATACGACTACAGACTGTTCTAAACCATCAATATCTGGTGTTTGTTCGCATCCGACATATAAGAGGTTGATGAGTAAGAAGTGCCCTGTAACGTGTAGTGCTTGTGATGGAAATGACAGTAATCCTAGTAATCCAAGCAATCCTAATAGTCCTGATAGTCCTGGTGGTGATGATGAATGTATCAATGGGGCGGCTGATTAGATATAGATAGCAATAGTGCTAATAAAAAACCATGAGTTCTGATGATACTAATGGTATTCTAATGGTGATGTTGGTACAACCGATTAGATATTTTTGCTAATTGTGCTATTGATTGGATACAAAGTGTTTTTTGATCCGTTAAACCTTGTTTTTGTAAGTAATATACTAGTTAGAGTACTAATCAAAATAAATTTTTATTATCTTGGATATACATGTTTTATAATAAACAGAAGTTTGGTCAGGATGAGGTAGCGTAGGGTAGGGTGGGTTCAAATTATGTATGTATATGCAAGAAAAAAGATTAAAAATTCCGAAGAAGCAGTTGAAAAAACAAAGCACTTAAGACCACTTTTAAGACAAGTGAGTAACACAACCTTTTAAAACGCTGTGACTTAAAACGGCATTTTTGCTTTTTTTAATAGAAAAACTGTGTTAAAAAGGAATTTCCACGTCCTGCACTAACCATAGGATAGGGCAACCTTAGCCCTAGTTTTACCCTACTATATCCTAGTCCTACTCTATTTTTTTTTCGTTTTTTCACGTACGTACCTACCTGTGGATTTTTTTCGGATCGGCTCTGGGGAGGAGTCACCCCGAACCACCCCCCCCAAACGACGTCTCTGATCTTACCCTATCTTTGCCTCGCCTCAAGACTTTTTTTATCCTAGCTTTTACTCTAGCCCTGCCTTAGCTTTATCGTGGCCTTGGCCTAGTTCTGTCTAGCCCTCTTTAGCCCTCCCTTTGGTTTACTATTTATAAGCCTTATCATACTCTAGTGTTTGCTCTAGCTGTTCTAGCCTAAACCTAGCTTTACGGAAGCTTTTTTCCGCCCTGCTATCACCATACCTCTGCTTTACAAAAGCCTTACCCTAGCTTTATCTTAGCCTTTACACTAGCTCTATTTTAGCCTTTATAATAGCTATGCGGTATTTACTGCTGTTTTTGATGACAATATTCAAACTCGAGTATTTTGTGATACTAAGCACCAGTTGCCACTGACGTATAATAGATTGGTCTCAAGGGAAATTAAGTTTTTTAAACTGTATTAAACACTTGCGAACTTCCGCCTCTCGCAGTTGTTTTTGTTTTCCAGTTGAGGTTTTACGATATTTTTGGTCGTGCTCAATATTTTAAAATTGAGATTTAGTATAAGTATCAAAACAAGTATAAATTTGCTCGAGGCTGAGGAAATTTTTTTTGGCTGGCACTATATAGTACAAATTCTTGAATATTTTTTGTGCTTAACAGTACTGTTTTTAAAACTTTGTTTTTGGTACTCATTACAACTTTTTTTAAAAATTGATGTTGTGGTACTATATAGTATTATGCTTTATAATTTTGTTTTTGGTGCTATATAGTACTAATCCTTAAAAAAAATTTTTTTTGTTTAATAGTACTAATTTAAAATTTTTTTTTGTTTTCTGTTTTTTAAATTTTGTTTTTGGTGCTATATAGTACTAATATTAAAAACTTCTTTTTCTTGGAGCAAAAAAACTTTTTTAGTACTTATTAGTTCTGCTTTTAAAATTTTATTTTTGATGTTATATAGTACCAATACTATAATTTTTTACTTTAGTATTATCTAGCACGCAAAGTACTTTTAAATTTTAAGGCGTTCAACAGTTTATATATAAGTAACAATAGCTAGTCGTTTCACAGTTCATAAATCACTTTTTGTGTGTCAAACTTAAAGGCCAAAGTTTGAGTTTTACTCACTTTTCAATTCTTTATTCAGTTTCCATTCTGGGTTAGACTCGAATTCAATTAGGGATCGTCTTGTCGGCCATGGCATCGCGGTTTCGCTAAGTGACCGGTCCAAATACGAAGACGCGTATAAACCGTCATTTTTCCGCTTTTTTGAACATATGCATTGGGAAATATGAAGTTTTTGAAAGGGTAAAATTGGGCAGGGTGTAATGTTACAATTGTGTTTTTTTACTTATATAAGGCATGGTAAATTAAGCCTTCATAACCTTAAAATAATGTATAAGTAAAGCAACCGGTACCTCTGTATAGTGGAGAAGGACAATGGCTAAGCTTATGTTAGGTTAAACTAAGCTAGGTTAGTGTAGCTTTAGGGATAGGGTTAGCCTTATAATAGTTTTAAACCTAAGTCTTAGGCTCAGCGTCTGCTTTAGACTTCGGCTCAGGCTTAGGCTCAGGCTCAGGCGCAGGCTCAGGCTCAGGCTCAGGCTCAGGCTCAGGCTCAGGCTCAGGCGCAGGCTCAGGCGCAAGCTCAGGCTCAGCCTTAAGCTCAGGCTCAAACTGAAGCTTCGGCTCAGTCTCAGGCTCAGGCTCAGGCTCAGGCTCAGGCTCAGGCTCAGGCTCAGGCTCAAGCTAAGGCTCAGGCGCAGGCTCAAGCTAAGCTTTAGGTTCAGGCTCACTCTTAGGCTTAGGTAGACTTAAAGAACGGGCCGGGCCTGACAATTAGGCTCGATCCAATTTCAGTTTTGCTCAGGACCGGGTCAGCCTAGTCAGTATTTTTTTTCGTGCTTACGGGCGGGCTTTTTTGGACCGATCGGGCTTTGAGTTTCAAGCTCGGCCCAAGTTTGGGTTAAAACCGGCCAGGCGGTCAACCTCAGGCTGGAGCTGAAGCTTAGACTAAGACTGTTACAAATAGAGCTAGGGTAAAACTGGATTAGGGACTATAACTAAAGCTTGTCTAGGTAGGCTTAGAGCGCTCAATATTTATAAAACTAAGAAAATACATTATGGTTGACTTTACAAACATTATCTTTTCAAGCTCACTGCCCCAAGAATAGCCAATCATAAAAAGCTGCATTTCGTATTGCCTCTACTATAATATTTTTTATTAAATTTCCTTTTTTATGAGCAAAAGAAATCTGGCCACTGGGCATGTTTTAATGTTGGGGACCTTTCAGCGGCCATTTGTTATGAGAAAGGGCTTTTGCAAATTGATGAGTAAAGGGCACACTGACGTTCCATCGTTCTTTCGCTTTTTGAGGGGTTTGAGTTCTTATATTATTAGTGGGTGGGTGTGAACTTTAATTAAATTTTTAAATTAGTTTTTGGGACTTTGACTTATTTACGCTGTTTTCTGTCTAATACTGAGCAAATTTACTTTGTTTTTCTCAAACGTACTATAATTTGCCCAAAGACACGATAGAAGTAAATTCATTAGGATTACAGACACAAATAGCACATAAACGGTAGGACATTAGAACAACGATTAGTCTAGCCGTTATTCTTGTAAGCCTGACTTTAGCCCAAGCTTTTATCCCTAGCCCAGAGCCCTAATCCAGTGCCCTAGCCCAGAGCCCTAACCCCAGAGCCCTAGCCCAAAGCCCTAGTCAAAACCCCTAGCCAAAAACCCTAGCCCTGAGCCCTGACCTAGAGCTATAGTTCTTGACCTAGTCCAGAGGTCTGGTTCCGATCCCTAACCCTAGTCTTATCCCTAGTTTTAGATCTAGTTTTAGCCTGTAGCCGACTTATTTGTAAAAAAGTTTGCCTTAGTTTTAACTCTAGCCCAACCACAGCTCACGTTTGGCTTCGACAATAACCACCCTCTAAGTCTTGCCTTTAGCCCTATTTCAACCCTAACCTGTTTTAGCTCTACGTTTAGCTATAGCTATGAGAAAATGTTACTATAAAATACATTTTTTTTTATTTTTTTTTAATTTTATTTTTACTCTATTTTGCTATTTTTAAACTTTTTTTTTCAACTCAAACTCCTCTAACCCTTTTCCATGCTCACGCATCCCAGTACTTGTCCCGAGCTCTCATTCATTAGAAAACCCGTTTTTTCTCTCCAGTTCATCCACTTTTCACGGCATTAAAATTCAGGAAAAAAAGGCTTGGAACCCATTTCGAAGGCCACGGAAATTGGCAACGAATGCACTTGAGAGAGTAATTAGCCACAAGATTTCAAAAGCTAAAAACATGACGGAGAGGGGGGGGAGAAGAAGAGCGCGGTTTAAGCATTGTTTTCGCGCGCTTTGTCCAATCTTCTATTATAACATAAGCTATGGGGCTACGCGGGTTGGTAAAATATTAAAAATTAGGGACGTGGTTTTGGGAGAGGAAGTAAGTTGAATGTTTTGGGGAAGGAAGGGGGTGGGGGAAGGAGGAGGGGGGGGGGGGGGAGTGATTTTTATTAAAAAGGGCGTAGGTTTTGAAACGAAAGACAGGGTAGAAAGGGATGAGAGAGAGTGAAGGCGGGTGGGATAGCGGTGTTAGGGTCAGGGTAGGGTAGTAAGTTGAAGCACAGTTAGAACTTGGACTGGTTTAGCCCGCGGACTTGTTTGGTCTGGAATGGACCCAACGGGTTTTTTGTAAACAGGACCAGACTAGACTTAAATTTTGAGGGGGTTGGCCCTAACCGAGCCCAAAATTACGGACTGGCTCGGGTAGAACATTATGCACAGTAGGTAGAACACGGCAAGGTACAGTAGAGCACAGTAAGGTAAGATAGGGTAGGGTAGGGTAGGGTAGGGTAGGGTAGGGTAGGGTAGGATAGGGTAGGGTAGGGTAGGGTAGGGTAGGGTAGGGTAGAATAGGGTAGGGTATGGTAGGGTAGGGTAGGATAGAGTAGGGTAGGGTATGTTTTTTGTAAAATACGCCTATTTTTAGTACTCTATCAAAAATTATGACAAATTGTTTAATTATAATATAAAAAATGTCTTTCACAAGACAAATTGGCCGATGAGAGCATGCGAATGACCACACAAGCCATTTTTTGTTCGGTTGGCAATAAATATTATCCTTTCCGCGCGTTCTTTTTTCATTTTTTAGCCAAAAAGGTTCAAAATGGAAGGGTTTCCAACAGTTAGTTTTAGTTTTGACGTAAATAACTATTAGCAAATGGTATTAGTTTTTATTTGAAGAGTAAACAAATAGCTTTTTAAACGGATTTCTTAAAATCTATGGGTAGGGTTAGGGTGAAAATAAAAGGTGAGGCAGGGTTAAGAAATAAAAGTGAAATAAAAATTAGAGAAAGATATAATTCAAGGCTGGGTAAAAAAGTTAGGGTAGAGCAAAAAAAATGTAGTAATGGAAAAAATAAGGCTAAAGCAAAAAATATATAGAATTTCTTAAAATTTAAATAGGTTTGGGTAAAAAAATTAGGGTAGAGTGAAAAAAAATAAAGAGCAGGTTAAAAAGTATAGAGGAAAGTAAAAAATACAGGGTAGAGTAAAAAATAAAGGTTGGAGTAAAAAAAATAAGGGCGTTATAAAATATAGGGTAGGGTAAAACGTAAAAGGAAGAGTAGAAAAAACATTTTAATGTAAAAAAAAAGAGTAGAGCAAAAAATGTAAAATAGAAAAGAAAATATAGAGTAAGATTAAGAATAAAAGCAAAGTGAAAAATTTAGGGCAGGGTAAAAAAATAAAAGGTGGGTCAAAAACTTAAGGAAAGGAGAAAAAAAATTTAGAGTTGGGTGGAAAATACAAGGTAAGGAAAAAAGTAAAGGTACAATAAAAAATTATGGTTCACGAAACAATATAGAGTAAGGTAAGAAATACAGGGCAGGGTAAAACATGTAGGGCGAGGGAAGTAATACAGAATAGGGTAAAAAATGTCAATATGGTTAAAAACACAGATTTGGGTGTAATATGAAAGGTAGTGTAGAGAAATGAAAGAGTTGAGTAAGATGTTGTAGGGCAGGGTCAAAATTTTCGTTTTTTTGGCTTTATGGGTAACTTTACCCAATGTTTTGCATTTTTATGGTAAAATACGTGTTGTGATTTTTCCATATTTTTTATTGTAGTAGCTTCTTTCGCTACCCGTCTTCTTTCTTCGTCTTCCCTTTTTCTTCACCTCCCCCCCCCCTTTTCTCTTAGCCCCCTTCCTTTAACAATCGGCCTTATGTTAAACCTAGCCATCTTTTTCTAAATCATTTCTATTATGATATATATTTTCCTTCAGATGGACCAATCCGTAGACTCCCGCCTCCTAGCCAACCAGTCCAATCACTCTAATTTGGAAACGAATGGAAACCTGCGCGGATCATGCCCGGATTTGTCAGACGATCAACTGCGCATGTGGGACGACATTCTCTACAAAGCCATTCAAAACGAACGTGACGCGCTACAGAACAAGGAGGAAGCGTTGAACAAGTTTCGGCGGAAAACGTTCGATCCAACACCACAGAGGGCGAGGAGTAACACGCCTATGACTACTTCTAGTAGGTTTTTTGGGAGTGGTTTTGCGGTACCGGGTAGAATAAAGCAATGTACGGTAGGGTAGAATAAGGAAATTTAGGTTATGGTCAATTAGAGTTGGCAAAGGCAAATTAGGGTACAATAAGGCAGGATTTGGCAGGATAAGATAGGGGGGGGGGTACATTAAAGTAGAATAAGAAATTTTTAACAAATTTTATGTTTTTTAGGTTTAAAAACTTGCAAAAACAAATAAAATCCTAAAATCCAATAAATTTTTTTTCAGTTTATGAGATATGCGCTCCGGTTGATGTGGAAGGTAATGAAGAGACGGATAATGTGCTAAACGGCTTGGACGAGAACTGTGACGAAAATGGGAATATATCACAGCCGAGTAGGTTAAAACGTGTTTAAAATAGCATTGTAGGACTTTTTTGAGAAAAAAAAATTTTTTATTAAATTTTGAAATTTTTTTAAATTTGAAATTTAAAAAAAATTTTTTTAATTTTGTATTGAAAAGGTCATTTTTACCTTAATTTACCCTAATTTACCCAACCCTACTCTATCTTGATCTAACTTACCTTATGTTACTCTACCTTTCCTAACTTATCCCTACCTTATCTTATTTTACCCTACTTTAAACTACCTTACCCTATCTTAATCTAGTCTATCCTTACTATAATCTGCGTTATTTTGACCTGCCATATCTCATTTTACCCTACCATACCCTATCCTACCCTCCTTTGCCCTTACTTTTACCAAAATTTTAAAATTTTGCAATTTTAGCCACATCCCTTGACGAAGCCTTTGATCTCCGCTCCAACTCATCATCGTCAAAAGAAAATGACAGTCAACGGAATTCAGATTCCTTGGCAAAGAAGCTACGGAAAGAGCTTGAAGACCTGCAGTTCAGGAACACTTGCGAATGGCAGACATCGACCGGTAAAGTGATGAAAATCAATGCCAACCCGCTATTCGATATGGAAGCGGACTTTCCTCAGAATCGCCAAAAGTCAGTAGAACATCGTCGTGGATCTTATGGTAGTGAGGGGTACGGTAATTACAGTACTAATAGCCATCATGATGGAAATTACGGTAGAGATGGCTACAGTCACCGTAATAATGCTAGCCACCGTAACAGTGATGGTCAAAGCTACATTTCATCAACTGGTACCTCTTCCAACAATGGTTCCAACGGTACTAGTACTTATGAAAAGAGCTCCGGTTTGTACCAAAATCAAAAAGACCAGTACCAATCTGAAAATTATACCAGCTTCCCCAACCCACAACATATGACAACATACGATGCACAAAAACACCCATTTTTTACCACTAGTCTATACCTACCAAACACCAAGTCTTCGGTCGAGAAGTGCTCGTTCGAAGAGGACTACTTTGAAGGTATGAACATTAGAGTAAATCCATTCGAAGAGTCTGATGACATAGCTTTGGAAGAGGCCGATTGCCCTCCGGCTACACGATTTCAACAACTTCAATGGGCGATTCAGAGACAGAAAGAGAGGTATAATGATCAACTTCAGATGCCGGAAAAGGCTTGTTGTAGTATCATGTAGATGTAGTGGGTATTAGTAGTACCGGCTTTTTTAAAAATTTTTTGTTTAAATAATTCTGTGCTCCTTTTCCAAGCAGTTTTTTCTCTTTTTTTCGTTTTTACGAGGAATTATTTAAACAACTTACAACTAGTACATTGTAGTACTGTAACACCTACTTGTAATCTATTATTTTAAGCCTAGAAGTATGAAGCATCGTTTTTTGCGAAGGTTTTGACGAAGACTAGCTAAAAATATTACAGTACACTATAATATCTTACATTTTTTAAAAATTTTTTTGAAAATTCTTGATTTTTTCTTGATTATTTACTTTAATATGCTACTCTAGATTAATTCTTGCCAAACTCTTATATTTTTAATTACTTTTTAATTGTTTTTTCGAGTGTATTACTTATGACAAAATTGTTTTTGACAATATTTCTTTCATTTTTTTCAAATTGCTGATTGAAAATGGGTATATCGGACCATAATGGTCATCATTATTATCGAATATGAAATAAAATTTTTGAGTTTTTGAAGATGTTTTTGAAAAACGTTTTTTTATATTTCCTTTTCTTAAAGGACCAGTTCGCCCATTCAAATATCAATTTATTTTGCTAGCAAATAAATCTCTACATGTTTTAGTCATCATACTTGACTTGTAAAGTAACCGGTTTAAGCTTACATGTGTTAGCTTAGTCCCAGCTTGTTCTAAGCCTTAGATTAGTCTAATCGTTATGAAAGCACCATTTATTGCAAACAAACAAGTATAATATACAAGTAACAAAATATTTTTTAATTTATAAGTTTTTAGCACCATTGTTTATCAAACTGTCTAAAGTAAATAGTTCCCTCGTCCACAGGTGATCTACACTTCACAACTGGAGTGGGCTTTGAATTTTTTCTTAGGAAACTAAAGTCTTTTTTAAAGGTTTCATTAAGTGGAGTTAACATCTTGATGAAGATCACTTCGTAACCGGCTGGAGCTATGTCGATTACAAATAGGTTTAGCTAAAAAAAAGAGTATTAGGCTTAGCTAAGGCTGTTTTTAGACTATATTTCACCCTACCGTACCCTACCCTATCCTACCCTACCCTACCCTACCCTACCCTACCCTACCCTACCCTACCCTAAACTTAAAGTAACCTACCTTCAACAAAAACAGCACTCTCCCAGTAATAGCCTGAGAGAAGTACCAGTCGATAAACAGCAACAAAGCTGTTAATACTCCAATATTACCAATTATCATAACACCCCAAGTAATGGCAGGTATCATCGCCTTCAATGCCATGATATTCTCCTGAAGTTGATACCTACTAGACAGTCCAGTGTTCATTTGTCTTTGGATCTTTCGATTTGTTTTATATATACTCCTCATTATTGGGAGACCAATCAATGTTATCGATCCCAAGGTGAACCAGCACCATACTCGAATCTCAATGTACTTGTACTGTGTTACACATGTCGTGGTGTTTATTACTGAAACTACAAATTATAATTGTTAAAGAAGCGGTAGTTTTTGAAAAATTACTTTTGACGATGTGTCACAAAAAATTTAAATGACTTTGACGAAATTTCACAAAAATTATTGATTTTTTGATTTTGACGAAATTTGCATAATGAAAGTCATTTTTAATAAAAAGAGCGTTTTTATAACAATAAAACTTTAAAAAAAACTATTTTTGCTATTTCGAACGGTTATTTTGACTGTGAAACAAAATGTCACAAAAATTATCGATTTTTTAAATATATAAATTTATTAAAAAGAACCGCATTTTTAGTCTTAAAAATCATTTTTGACTATTAAAAAAGTTATTTTCATTATGTAACGAAATGTCACAAAATTTATCGATTTTTTAAATACTACAGAAATAGCATATATAAAATAATTTTTTTCTAAAAATCGCATTTTGACAATCGTAAAATACCAAAAAAAAATTTTTTTTTGCAATTTTAATTTGATATTTTGGCTATAGAACGAAATGTCACAAAAATTATTGATTTTTTAATTTTTTAGAAATGGCACAGTTAGAACAACTTGTATTGAAAATTGCATTTTGGCAACCATACAGCAACAAACAACTTGTTCTTGCCATTTTATGTCGTTATTTTGAATATAAAACGAAATGTCACAAAAATTATTGACTAAAAACTTACTGTTAAACCAAGGTTTCCAATTGTAGAAGAACACCACAACAGCAAATGCAAATGCATATGCCAATGAAAATATGACATATACAACCACTAGCCGATCTTTTCGGTTTTCATAGTCTATATGATGTCTCGTAGCTACTAACCTCTCTACGACTAAGGCCATCATTGTCCAATCGGCTAGGCCAGTGAAGACACAGTTGATAAATGAAAAAATGTGACAAAAATAGAATGTAAAGTTGGAGTTTGGAGAGTAAATTTCGCTTACTTCCGGGAAGAATCTTGATACACCAATCATTCGGATCACTCCTACTACGTAGCACTGTAAAATACGATATATACAAAAAACAGACAAAAAATTAAAAATTTTTTAATTTTGAAAATTTGAAAAAACAAACTTTTTGCTGAAAAAGTTATTTTAAAACTGCCACTTACTAAGAACACTCTAAAATTGAAATGTAACGTTCTAGTCCTTAGTACAACGCTAAGAAAGTAAACTGATGTTACCGTTGCTGGTACAATATATATAAAGTTTATGAGTTGTAGAATTGCCACTGCTGTGTCATATGACATCTGAAGACAAACTATTAGCTTGGGTAGAATAAGAATATCTAGTACAAATATACCCAAAAGAGAGACTACTAAGCACGGCACGCTTCATCCCATCCCCAGCCTAAGTCTTAGCCTCAGCCTCAACCTCAGCCTCAACCGCAGCCTCAGGTTAATCTAGCGTAGAAAGCCCAACAAAACCCAGCCTAGTTAAATCAAGCCCTAGCCCCACCCTAACCCAGCCGTGTTCAGAACAGTTCATCACAGCCCAGTCCGAGCCTCAGACCCAGGGTTAAACCAAAGCTCGAAAAAATAGACACAGACCCTTTACAGGTCAAGTACAATAAAAAGCAAGTACATCATTCAAAAAGCGTGGTATTCTTGAAATGCGTAAGAAGAACAATGTTCATTCTTACTACAGTACAACTTCACAAAAATTTTTTTTGCACTAAAACAAAAAAAATAAAAAAATGTATTATTTTTTGGGAAATACATGCTTTTGAGTATAATACAATTTCAGTACTATGTAATTTCTTCGAAATACCGTAACACTACATTCTACCTTACTCTACCTTACACTATGTTACACTATCCCATTTTACCCTACCGTACCTTACTATTCTCTATATTGCCCTACTCCACTCTAATTTGCCCTATCCTACTCTACCCTACTCTACCCTAAGCAAAAAAAAATTAAAAAAATGACGTATTTTGTAAAGATCCATACTATAATAAGCATTTTCTCGATACACCTATTAGGCCCACCGTCACTCAATACAAATGACAGTATTATCCTACGTTTCTGTCATGGGAACGGAAAAATACAAATGCCAATTTAGGTATGTTGTTTATCAACAAAGACATAAAATCTGAAAGAAAACGTAGCTTTCTTAATTCTGTCAACAAGACTTTGTCTAATTACTAATACTCCTTCTCAGGGCCGGGCGCGAGGGGGGGGAGACGGGGGGGGAGGGTACCCCTCCCCCCCCCCAGAAAAAAATTTTCGAAAAAAGTTGTACGTGGTCCCCCCCCCCTGTGGATTTTTGGAAAAAAATTTTCGCAAAAAATCGGCACAGGTAGCCTACAAAGTCTTAGCCTCTGTGCCGATTTTTTCGACCCTGCCCCCAGACCAAAAGTCCCCGCCCGGCCCTGCTCCTTCTATTTAAATTTTACAAAATTAGTACTGTCTGTCAAGTCTAAATTACTGAGTGAGGTTTGTAACTGTTACAAAAATTGATTTTTGAAAAATTAAAAGAAAGGTTAAATACTAGTTGTCAGTAGAGTCCAAACAGTAATTACACGTTTTTGAAAATTTTTTGTACTGTGCTGACTTAAAATTTAAATAGTAGGTAGGTAAGCTTAAAAGTTTGTACTTTGATGAGTAAAGAATCTGCAAAATTACTGTAGTTATGCGAACTATGCAAGCTAGAATTGCAGCAAATTTAGAAAGAACATAGCTTGAGGTAAGAATAGAGTCAGACAAGTAAAGAGCTACGGTAAATTTCAAGTTACAAATATGTGCTCGTCATGTACCAGTTTATTGTGAAACCTCAAACTTGGGTTAATAAACCAAGAAAACAATACAAACAATAATACAAAAACGCGTATAAATTATAACAATTAAAATACAATTAAAATACACAAAAAATAAGAAATAAAAATAACAAACCGTCTTTCTGACGGATGACCAAACCCAAGAAATGGCCACAACCGTTTCCCTCTTCAATCTTGAGAAGGAGGGAGCCGACGGTGACTCATCGCTGCCTTCCCAAGTATCTCGGGAAGGCAGCGATTCGTCGTGCCGGCGACAAATAAGGGTATGGTTTACATAGGGCCTAACTATAATAAATTTAAGCCAGGGATTTTGTAAGAGTAAAGCAAAATTAGAGTAGGGCTATGATACGGCTAGATTAAAGCTATTGTAGGACAGGGTAAACTAAGGCTCAGGTAGAGATAAGATAGACCTAGGAAAAGTCTAAGCTAGAATTGAGAGTAAAGCAAAGTTAAGATGATGCTGAGAGTAGAGCAAGGACTAAAGTAGGGCTAAGGTGAGACTAGGGCTAGGCTACAGTTGGGCTAAGATAGATCTAGGATAAGGCTAGGATAAGGCTAAATAAGATCTAGGATGGTGCTAGAGAAAGACTAGGGTAAAAAGGTAATGCTATGATAAGGCTATGGTTTAAAAAAATAATAAAAAATTAGAAAAAAACGTACTACTCCACCAAGTAAACAAGTTCAACTTAACTTTTCCTACACGTCTTGTACCTACATACACCTTTAGAAATCAAATCCTTATTAATTCATTCATATACGAATCTTTCAATAAAGTCATCTTGACCTTAAAGTACACCAAACTCTAGAAAAAACGTAGAAGATGAACTCCGTTTCTTTCTTTGAAATAACAACATATTTCCTACTCTAACTTACCCTACACTACCCTAACTTACCCTAACCTGCCCCATTTTCTTTAAATTTTTAAAAACATTAAGCAATTTTTTAAATTTTCAAGTACGAATTTCAGCTGATACCCGTGATATTACAAAAAACCTTTTTGTAAGTAAAAACATTCGAAACACGTAATTGAATCACTTTTTTTTCGTATTAACAAACAAACTCGTACCAATTTAATGTCGTTCCAACCTCCTTTAATGACATTACTATGCACAAACCGGTCCCAAACAGATTTAATCAGCCACGTGTTACAAGTTTATGGCATCAAATTTTATTTAAAAGACCAGGCTTTTCATTCTTAATTAAAAACAGCAAAGACTAACTTGATTTGAAAAAGCTTGGACTATGTTAGCACTCATACTGTAGGACAAGATATAGTAGTTGCTATATTTAAGAGTTAGTTAGGTAGAGTAGGGTTAGGCTATAATAAGCATAGAAAAAGGCTAAAGTGTGGCTATGTCAGGTTTGAAGCTAGACTGGTGAAACGGCTAAGATAAAACAAGTTTAAGTGTGTGGTAGGACTAGTATAGCTAGTACGTACATGGTAGGGCTACGGTAAAAGTCAGATGTGGCTACCGCCAAAGGAAGATAAGAATAGTGTACGGCTAGGCTAAGTCTGAGATAAAGCTTGTAAAGCAAGATTACATCTAGGGTAAGGGCTACTAAGGTCGCAGTAGAACTATGTCATGACCACCGTACTAAGCTAGGGTAAAGGTAGACCTAAAATAGGGTTAAGCCAAAGCTGTATAAAACCAAAGTATTAGCATCAAGCACCAAATATAAAATTATTTGCACCACAACTCTTGACATGAACCTAAAATGACCGTATGACTGTTTTTCACACGTGTCTTTTAATAGCATCAACCGTAAACAGATACCATTATTAATAAACTCATTAGTAAAGCAACAAAAATAACCGAATTACATAACATTTGGAAATGACACAAATATGACCTTTTAAACATAAATCTGTATAAAACTCAAAATAACCACAATTATAAATGTGATATTACTAATATAACGTAATTGCAATATAATTAGAAATATGAGTTGACAAGTTGCAAATACTAGTTATATAGTAAAGAAATGCGCATTTTCGATGCAAGACGCGTGTTATACAACAAATTTATTATTAATTTAATAAATAATTGAATAAATAATAAATGCTACATTTGAACCCTGTCTTGCCATACTCTGTCTTGATCTGCCTTGCCCTTCCTTTACCCTGCATTTGCCCTGCCTTTGCCCTGCCTTTGCCCTGCCTTTGCCCTGCCTTTGCCCTGCCTTTGCCCTGCCTTTGCCCTGCCTTTGCCCTGCCTTTGCCCTGCCTTTGCCCTGCGTTTGCCCTGCCTTTGCTTTGCCTTTGCCTTGCATTTGCCCTGCCTTTGCCCTGCCTTTGCCCTGCCTTTGTCCTGCCTTTGCCCTGCCTTTGCCCTGCCTTTGCCCTGTCTTTGCCCTGCCTTTGCCCTGCTTTTGCTCTGCCTTGCCTTTCCCTAATCTCAATCCCAGTCCACACCAAATTAGTCTAGCTTAGTCTATTCTAGTCAAGCCAAGTGCAGTCAAGCCATTTTCTGCCCAGATCAGACAAGCTCACTTTAATCTAGTCCGGCCCAGTTCTGTCCTGTCTTGCAACTATCATATGGTCATGTTCTTTCTTTTCCAAAAATTATTATTTTTACAATTATTCTTCATCCCACAAACCATAAAACTACATATGCCCACAACCAAAATTCGAGAATTGTAATTTGTAAAAAGTAGTAAATGCTACAAAATTGGTTGCGAAACTCGAACCAGGAAATATCCGAAAAACAATGTAAAATTATAAATTTAATATTTCAATATTCACGCATATTCCGCTGAATACGTATTATTACTTTTTGCATAAAATAAAACTACAAACAAGTGTTGAGAGTATGTAGATGGCATGTTCTATTGCAACATAGAACAATGTGACATATATTGAAGTGGGATAGGGTTCAATAGGGAAGGGTAAAGTACGATAGAGTACAGTAGGATGGATCAGGTTTAATTAAGGTCACGTAGGGTAAGGTAGGGTAGGGTAGGGTAGGGTAGGGTAGGGTAGGGTAGGGCAGGGAAGGGTAGGGAAGGGTAGGGTAGGGTAGGGCAGGGTAGGGTAGGGTAGGGTAGGGTAGGGTAGAGTAGGGTAGGGTAGGGTAGGGTAGGGTAGGGTAGGGTAGGGTAGGGTAGGGTAGGGTAGGGTAGGGTAGGGTAGGGTAGGGTAGGGTAGGGTAGGGTAGGGTAGGGTAGGGTAGGGTAGGGTAGGGGTAGGGTAGGGTAGGGTAGGGAAGGGTAGGGTAGGGTAGGGTAGGGTAGGGTAGGGTAGGGTAGGGTAGGGTAGGGTAAGGTAGGGTAGGGTACAGTAATAAAATCTCCAAAAGTAAAAGTATTCTTTCTTGTGACAAAACATTTGTGCCCTTTGTGACAATCGAAACCTACGTTCATTTGTTCATTCTTCGACACAATAACGTAATGTTCTCATGGTCATTTACTATTAGAACGTTCTTTTCAAACACAAAGTTGTTTAAGTAAAGATATATTAACAATTGAAGAGTTTTGACAAACACAATATAAACAAAAAAAGCCAATTAAAAAAGTGGCCCAACATGTTTTTAGTTGTGAGTCGTATGACATTTTTGGATTAACATAAGTTAAGATATGACGTGCAGAATTAAGAACGGCAGTACCTAAGGCATAGTAGGCAAATATAGTGTAAAAGGTATATATAATAGTTAAAAAAGCATTTTTTAAACTTAGCCTAGACTAATACCAAAAATACTGTAAGCTTTGACAATTCTTCTCGTCCCTGTCTTTGTCCCTGTCCCTGTCGCTTGTCTTGTCTTGTCTTGACTTGACTTGACTTGACTTGACTTGCCTTGTCTTGTCTTGTCTTGTCTTGTCTTGTCTTGTCTTGTCTTGTCTTGTCTTGTCTTGTCTTCCTTGTCTTGTCTTGTCTTGTCTTGTCCTGTCCTGTCCTGTCTTTTTCTGTTTTGTCCTGTCTTTTCTTGTCCAGTTGTATTCGAATCGATTCAATTTGCATAAATTGAACCGTCTCAATTCGAATTTCACTTTCTCAATCAGTCTTCCTTTTCGCTCGACCGCCGCTCGGTCGTCTTCTGTAAATCGACGTCTCGCTTCTTGACCGCCGATCGTTCTAAGTCTATCTATTCTTTTTGTACGTACGCATAGCGTCGTATTTTATATTGTACTATCTGTGGTTGAATAAACCTATCATTTTTGTATTTTATCTGTATTATTGGTATTTGAACGCGCCGTTGAAAGAATCTAGAGTTTGGTATTGATAGTATTTTGATCTAGAAGTTGTACGAACTGAATCTTTTACACCAGTCCTGTCTTTTCTTGTCCTGTCAGCTTTTGTCATACTATCCCAAATTATTTGTACTACAACATTTATTATTATCCGAAAAAAAATACTCGTATACAAACGTAATTGTATTATACAATTCCCATTTTAAGATTCATAATATTCATAACAACAAAAGTATATCTTATATACAACAAAAATTATGCATATCTTTAACTCCTAATGATAAAACAATTTTTTAGTATCATCCGTAGATTTAGTACAGCGCATTTTCTGTAGCAGTAATCATATTAGTAAGAAGGATTGTACAAGTTCATCCACAAAACCCATTGACGTTGCCTTTCGTCTAATTGCCAGCTGATGACTCTGTCGCGCACTTCAATTAAGTACTCAAATTGCTCTCGAGTATAGAATCGAGCCAACAACGAGCTAGCAGTATTCCATACTGACTGTTCATGAACATTATTGTCATAAATAATGTCATTATAGGCAGTCAAAGGCATGGTTTTTAGAAGACGACTGCCAAAGTCTTTGATTGGCTTAACGTTGAGACGGTGAATGTCTTTGTGGTCGTGGATGTCGATTGAGTAGAGTGAGCTAAAATGACTTGTTTGGCGTATTAGTACTAAGAAAAAGCAAAAAAGTGATAATAAGGTTGACTTACTTCTTATCACCATTTTTAAATTGATTAAACTTCATAGCAAAAGCCAATTCACGGACATAAAAAGCTTGTTGTTTAGCCCCCAAGACTATGAAGTCACCATAGTTTTCAACAATGCCAGCTTCTATTTCTGACGTTGACATTTGGCGACTAAGATCTAAAAACAATAAAATCATTATAAGGTGGGTAGAGCGGGTTGTGATGGATAAAGTAAGCTGGATTAAGACAGTGTAGGGTAGATTATAATGGGCATGGTAAGGGAGTAAGCTTGATAGATGAAAGTTGGGTAAGTAGGGTAAGATAGGATAAGGTAGGAAAAGGAAGGGTAAGGTAGGATAAGAAAGGATAAGGTAAAGCGTAGGATAAAGCAGGGTAAGGTAGGGTAGAGTAGAGTAAGATAGGGCAAAGTAGGGTAAAGTAAAGCAAAGTAAAGTGAGATAGGGTAAGGCAAGATAACGAAGATTAAAGAAAGGTAGGGTAGAATAGAGTAGGATAAGGTAGGGTAAGGTAGGGTGAGACTCAAGTAAAATTTTTCAAACCTACTAAAAACCCTTTGCCATTTGTTCAAAGTCATAGCGACTGTGTTCATACTGTATTTATGCAGTTGTATCTCTCCCAAGTTGAGTACATCACAACAATTGTTATCATAAATTTTGATTTCAATTCCTTTCTCAATAGCTGGCAAATGACTAGCTAAATCCATTGGAATGTAGTCTGTGTCAGCTACTATTATAACAGTGTCTTCGTAGAGGTTTTGGGCTAGGGTATCTAAAATAGGTTTTATAATTTTAGTTTACAGTATTTCTCTACAGTACTACTTCTATAAGTATCTACTGTTACATATAATACTAATACTCGCCTACAGTACTTACCATTGCCACTATAAGCTATAACATAAAATGGCATGAGCTTAGCCATGTTTTCGTCATGAACATCGTTAGCTTCAACATATGTTACTGTAGCTTCTATTTGCGTAAGCACATTGACCAACATCTTATTTGGGCCTTCATGAAACAATTCAGAATCTCCAACCAAGCTTACAATCGACCGTACGCCAAGATTCCGCCATACCTGAGCAGCCAATATAACTTTTAAGAGCTCTGAAGACTCTGAAGTTGTACCAAATGCTACAAACACATTATCGACCGCTGGAATGGACCTTAAGCTAGCTCCTGAACCGTGTAGTTCTGCTGAGATGATTTGGTAGAATCCAACAGATAAAATGAAAGATACCATGACAAATAGGCCGTATATGTAGAGAATGGAACATAGATTGTATTTTGGAAAACCGCTGAAAATTAGTTACAGTATGGGTTGAAAAAGTAAAATGCGATAACTTACCCTATATTACACTGTCGTTATCTGCCGCACTGTATCGTACTGTGCCTTATTCTAATTGAAGCTACTCTCACTTAACATACTCAACATTACCCTACTCCACCTTACCGCATCCAACCCTATCGTGACGTTCTCTAACTTACCCTACCCTACCCTAATGTAAAGTTAAAGAAGTAAGCCTACCCTTCAATGTGAACATCGTCCAAAGTCTTTGGTATGTCACTTTTTACCGGCTGTTTCGCGACAATAGCTGTAACTGGCATAGATAGTGCCGTAGGGCCTAACACCATATTTGAGTACTTACTCATTTTTTATTTTTACAGTAATAATAGTACTACAATATTGGTCTTACAAAACAATTATTACAAGTTTACAGTATAATTTTACAGTATAGTACAATACTATACAGTACGTTCACAAAATACTAAATAGTGCGTTTAAAACAATACTCTTTTTTAGTACTGTAGTAAGATCGTACCAAAAAGTAAACTACAGAAAAATTTTTAAAAATTAGAAAAAATAATGTGTTTGTTACCTAAAACAATATCATATGCCCTTTATATAGTGATTGTTACGTTGAGCTGCTTGTGATTCATTACTTTTTCCGTTCCAGTAGCCAAAGTGACACTTTTACCCGACATTTCTCTTAATTTGCATTGTTTTTGAAGGTAGTTTAGACTATGTTTAAAGGCTGATTTTTCGAAATGTCGCCTTATCGGTAGTTCGGATCTGGTCTCGGCTCGAAATAACCTTTTTAAAAAATATGGACTTTTAAAGATAAGCCTTGGCTATATTTTAAGCCTAATTTAAAACCTAAGCTAAGCCTAAGCTAAGGCTACACTTATCTAAGCGTAAAATCAAGCCTAAACTTAGCCTAAGCCTATAATTTAACTTAAGCCTAAAATTCAACCTAAAAATAAGCTTAAACTTATCTAAGCCTAAACCTAAAATTAAGCCCAAAAATAAGCCTAAACCTATCTGAGCCTAAGCCTAAACTTAATTAAGCTTAAGCCTAAAATTACGCCTAAAATAAGCCTAAACCTATCTAAGTTTAAACCTATCTATGCCTAAGCCTAAATCTACGCCTCAACCTATCTAAACCTAAGCCTAAAAATAAGCCTAAACCTATCTATTCCTAAACTTTTCTAAGCCTACATGTACAGCGTTACTAATTGATGTATCACAAAAACGATCATTTTATCATCATTTAATCAAGAAAAAAGCTTTAAAAATTCTTCAAAAGTCATTTTTAATGACTTTATTAATCAGTTATTGATAAGTATAGGTTGTTTACAAAATGAAACACGTTTGGAAGGGGGAATATAAATATAAGGTCAGTGATCAATAAAGATCATTACACATTTTTAAGCAACATTTAGTAAGTAAGAAATCTGTAACATAGCGTTTTAATAAACTTTTTAAAATTTTTAAAAATTTTAAAATATGTTTTTAGTAAGACTTCAGTATGTCATCAATTAAGCTTCGCTGGGGATTGATTGGCTGTGGGAAGATCTCTCACGACTTTGGAAAAGCCTTGGACAAGGCTGAACATCCTCATGAGATTGTAGCTTGTGCCGCTTCATCCTTGGATCGTGCTCAAAAATTTGTCAAAGAACACTTTCCTAATGCTAAAGCTTATGGTAGCTATGAAGAACTTTTCAATGATCCGCTTGTTGGTAGGCTTACTTATGGTTGGGAAGTGCAGGGTAGAATAACGTAGCCTAGGGTAAGGTAGGGTAAAATAAGGTAGGGTAGAGTAGAATAAGGTAGCCTATTGTAAGGTAGGGTGGAATAAGAAGGGTAGTATACATTTTTTTCGTTTTTTATTTTTTTTTAATTTTAGACGTAGTCTACATTGGCACACACAATGAAGCTCATTGTCCATGGGTTGTGAAGGCAATTGAAGCTGGCAAACATGTAGTTTGTGAAAAACCGTTTGGAACTTGTGCTGGAGAAGTTCGTGCAACCATCGAAAAGACCAAGGGAAGAAAGACTTTCCTCATGGAGGTGGGTTTTGAATTTGAAAGTTATATTATATTGGCCAAAAAATGCAAAAAAAATTGTATTTTTAACTTTTGAAATTTTAGGCTAAAAATTTTAAACCAAGGGTCAGACCAAAGCTGATGCTAGTTTTAATTTTTTTAAAATTTTTAGAAAAAATTTTTTAAAAAATGATTTTGATATAATTTTAGGCCTTTTGGAGTCGATTCTTCCCTTCATGGAGATACATTCGCAACATTGTAGACAAGAAGGAATGGGGCGAGCCTAGAGTTGTTCAGGCTAACTTTGGATATCCTCATGTAAGTTACAGTTTATTTTACAAAAAATGGCAAGAACTTTCTTTGGAAAACGAAAAATGGCAAAAACTTTCTTTAAAAAACACAATATGGCAAGAACTTTCTTTACAAATTGAAAAATGGCAAAAACTTTCCTTACAATCCAAAAAATAGCGAAAACTTTCTTAACAAAACATAAAATGACAAAAACTTTCGGTTCTCATGAAGAATAACTCCCCAGCAGGTGAATAATAATTCCCCATGGATATGAGCTACAATCATTCCCCACTTATTCAAATTTTAAGATTTTTTTTTCAATTTCTCATTCTTTCATTTTGTTTGCTAAATTATGGTCGGACCGCGAACTTACGAAGAAATCACTTATGAAATTGCTAAAAGTAAAAAAAACAACCGTTGTGTCCCACTCGGTATTACTATCATGCTCCACTCGAATTGCTATCATGCCCCACCTGTATTACAATCATGCCCCACCTGTATTACTATCATGCTCCACTCGAATTACTATCATGCCCCACCTATATTACAATCATGCCCCACCTGTATTACTATCATGCCCCACCTGTATTACTATCATGCCCCACCTGTATTACAATCATTCCCCACCTGTATTACAATCATGCCCCACCTGTATTACTATCATGCCCCACCTGTATTACTATCATGCCCCACCTGTATTACAATCATGCCCCACCTGTATTACTATCATGCTCCACTCGAATTACTATCATGCCCCACCTATATTACAATCATGCCCCACCTGTATTACTATCATGCCCCACCTGTATTACTATCATGCCCCACCTGTATTACAATCATTCCCCACCTGTATTACAATCATGCCCCACCTGTATTACTATCATGCCCCACCTGTATTACTATCATGCCCCACCTGTATTACTATCATGCCCCACCTGTATTACTATCATGCCCCACCTGTATTACTATCATGCCCCACCTGTATTACTATCATGCCCCACCTGTATTACTATCATGCCCCACCTGTATTACTATCATGCCCCACCTGTATTACTATCATGCCCCACCTGTATTACTATCATGCCCCACCTGTATTACTATCATGCCCCACCTGTAATACTATCGTGCCCCACCTGTATTACTATCATGCCCCACCTGTATTACAATCATGCCCCACCTGTATTACTATCATGCCCCACCTGTATTACTATCATGCTCCACTCGAATTGCTATCATGCCCCACCTGTATTACAATCATTCCCCACCTGTATTACAATCATGCCCCACCTGTATTACTATCATGCCCCACCTGTATTACTATCATGCCCCACCTGTATTACAATCATGCCCCACCTGTATTACAATCATGCCCCACCTGTATTACTATCATGCCCCACCTGTATTACTATCATGCCCCACCTGTATTACTATCATGCCCCACCTGTATTACTATCATGCCCCACTTGTTTTACGAGAAAATGATTGTTCATCGGCCCCAAACTTTCTTTACAAAACAAAAAATGGCAAAAACTTTCTTTACAATCCAAAAAATAGCGAAAACTTTCTTAACAAAACATAAAATGGCAAACACTTTCTTTACAAAACAAAAAATGGCAAAAACTTTCTTTACAAGACAAAAAAAACGTTTTTTCCTTTCAGGAAGACGAGCTACGCTCTCTGGAACGTGCTGAAGGTCCATTGACCATGTATGGTTTATATGTGGTTATGATGGCTCATTACGTTTACAAAAGAAAGCCCGAGAAAGTGTCAGTTATTGGAGCAACAGACAAGAAATTTGGTAAGCTATTTTTCTAGCCCCTGCTTTGCATCACGCCCTACCCACTTGTCACCCTAAAACTGTTTCAGGCTGTGACGAATGGGCGACAATAGCCCTAGAGTACGGTGATGACAAACGTGCTGTCCTGTACTACGACTCCCGCACTTGGCTGCCTCAGAATGCGTTTGTATCATTCGACAAAGGTCATATCCAGATCCCACAATACTTTTGGTGTCCCGAGAAGATTGTTCGTTGGGAGGGTAAGACTTGGTATGACAATGAAGAACATCGACGAGAGATCGAATTCCCTCTCAATGACAACCGCTTCTTCAATTACAATCACTCGAGTGGACTGAGATACGAGGCTGATCATGCTTATGAGCAGATTCAGAAAGGTAAAATACGTCTTCTGGTAAAAAAAAGTTTTAAAAATATTTCTAACTTTTTTTTTATTTTTTATGTACTTCATTGTTAGAATTTTAAAATTAAATTTAAATTCCAGGTCACACTGAAAGTGAATTTCACCCACTGAGCGATACTTTGGAGATTGTTGAGACTTTGGACGAAATCCGCCGTCAATTAGGCGTTCACTATCCTCATGATGACAAATTTTTGTGAATTTTACAAGGGATATGTTGTCTTTGAATAAAACCTGATATAAAAGTGCAAAAAGAACTTTTTTAAGCTAAGGCAGCTAGGGCTGCTAAGGCTGCTAGAGCTGTAAAAGTTGGCGAGGCCTGCTAGGGTTGCTAGGATTAGAGGTGGGACTAGGGCGTTGCGGCTAAAACGCTAAAACTAAAACTGCGACTAATAAACCTGAAGCCAGTGTTGAGGCTGAAACCGGAATTAGTGCGCTAGAGCGATAGCAAAAACTTAGGCTAGTGCTGCGGCTTGGCACTGTGGCTGGGTCTGCGGCAAAGGCTAGGACTGAAGCTAGGGTTCCAGCTAGGGCAGAGGCTAGGGTTGATAATGCTGGTAGTGCTTACGGAGCAGTTAAAACTTAAGGGTCAGATTAAAGCTAACGCTGGACAAGGGCGGCCCGGTCTGGCTAAAATTTAGGTCGGGCCGAGCCTGACCAACGCCCCCCCCCCCCCGTTTCCTATGTCTAGCTAAGGCTAGTGCGCTGTGGCTAGGGCTAAAGATAGGGTTAGAGGCAGAGTAAGGCTAATGCTAGTGCTTAAAACATTATTTTTGCAGTTATATTTACTTGAAAATTAACTCTTACAAACAAATAAGGTTGTAAACCCATCATAATAACATCAATCTATTACACCGTCGTATGTGTAACAGATCGATTAGCGATCATCTTATCTTTGTTTGTTCGAAAAACATTCTAGAGCACTCTCCAAACATTTATTTTTGTTGATTAGATGGTTGATAAACTGTCAAAACAAAGTGCGATTCGATGTTTACAAACTGTTTCACATTGAATCAGCACTATAAATGGTTGGAGGGTTGATCATTATTGATCACCAAAATTGGTTTTAACCTTTGAAATCGCTTGGGTAGGGTCGGGTAGGACAGGGTAGGGTAAGGTATAATGGGGTAGAGTAGGGTAGGGTAGAGTAGGATAGGGTAGGGTAAGGTAGGGTAGATATATGCCGTTTTTCACTAAAAAATTTTAGTTTTAAGGGGCTAAGAAATTTTTTTAAAAATTTTTTTGCCAAAAAAGACCAACAACCAGATGATTAACATAATATTGTTGGTGTTTACAAATATCAATGTTGGTTCCATAGCGATTAACATACATTTTTTGAATAAATTACTTGTGTTTCTCTATATAAACAAGCTTATTTTATGTTTTTACATTATGCAAGCAATATGTTTTTGTTGTAAATTTCAAAAAAAATTAAAAAATGACGTTTTTTTATAGGATTTTTAAAGTTTTTTGGCCAAAAGTGCTGATTTTTTGTCTCAAAATAAGATTTAAATTTGAATATTAGCCTTTTTTATAGCGTACGTGCCGTTTTTTACTGTTTTCTGCTCACTTTTTGACCGAAATTACCTAGAAAATTTCAAAAAAAACTTTAAAAAATTAATAAACTTTTTAGTAAAGTATAAGAAATGTCGTCAATTAAGCTTCGCTGGGGATTGATTGGCTGCGGGAAGATCTCTCATGACTTTGGAAAAGCTTTGGACAAGGCTGAACATCCTCATGAAGTTGTAGCTTGTGCTGCTTCTTCTTTGGATCGTGCTCAAAAGTTCGTTCAAGAAAACTTCCCCGACGCCAAGCCTTATGGAAGTTATGATGAGCTTCTTAGTGATCCTCTTATCGGTAGGTCAATTTAGTTTAAAAACTGATAGCTCTAGTTTTAGCTCTAGCTCTAGCTCTAGCTCTAGCTCTAGCTCTAGCTCTAGCTCTAGCTCTAGCTCTAGCTCTAGCTCTAGCTCTAGCTCTTGCTCTTGCTCTTGCTCTTGCTCTTGCTCTTGCTCTTGCTCTTGCTCTTGCTCTTGCTCTTGCTCTTGCTCTTGCTCTTGCTCTAGCTCTAGCTTTAGTTCTAGCTTTAGTTCTAACTCTAGCTTTAGTTCTACGTAAGCCATACTCAAATTAGAATGTAATTTTTAGACATTGTGTATATTGGCGTACATAATGAAGCTCATTGCACATGGAGTGTAAAAGCTGTTCAAGCCGGTAAGCATGTAGTTTGTGAAAAACCGTTTGGAACTTGTGCTGGAGAAGTTCGTGCAACCATCGAAAAGACCAAAGGAAGAAAGACTTTCCTCATGGAGGTGGGTTTTACTGTTTTACATTGACAAAAAAAAACAAAAAAATTTTTTAATATTTCAAATTTTTCTTTAATTTTTGAAAATTAAAAAAAAATTGATATAATTTCAGGCCTTCTGGAGTCGATTCTTCCCTTCATGGAAGTACATTCGCAACATTGTCGACAAGAAGGAATGGGGAGAGCCTAGAGTTGTTCAGGCTAACTTTGGATACCCTCATGTAAGTTACTGTTAGCTGAACAAAAAAATCCAAAAATTTTTATTTTAATCATTATTTTAAATTAAAAATTTTTTTTAAAATTGTTGTTTTTTAATTGTTGACAAAACTGTAACGTTATGATAATGTACGTGATGTTAGGAAGACAACTGGCGCTGCAACGAGCGTGCTGAAGGTCCGCTGACCTTGTACGGTCTTTATGTCATCATGATGGCTCATTACATTTACAAGAAGAAGCCTGAAAAAGTGTCAGTAATTGGAGCCAAAGACAAGAAGTTTGGTAAGAAAACCAGCTTTCCCTACTATAACGTACCTTACTCTACCATACCCTATTCCCTATTCCTATTCTACCCTATATTATCCTACCTTACACTAAATTTCAGGAGCCGACGAATGGGCAACAATAGTCCTAGAGTACGGTGATGACAAGCGTGCTGTACTGTACTACGACTCGCGCACCTGGTTGCCTCAGAATGCGTTTGTGTCATTCGACAAAGGTCATATCCAGATCCCACAATACTTTTGGTGTCCCGAGAAGATTGTTCGTTGGGAGGGTAAGACTTGGTATGACAACGAAGAGCAGCGACGAGAAATTGTATTCCCTCTGAATGACAACCGCTTCTTCAATTACAATCACTCGAGTGGACTGAGATACGAGGCTGATCATGCTTATGAGCAGATTCAGAAAGGTAAAATACGAAATTTATTGCTCTATTGAAAAAAAAATAAAAAATATTTTTAACTTTAAATTTTTTTGAATTTTATGTACTTTATAGATATAATTTTAAAATTTAACTTTAAATTTCAGGTCGCAATGAAAGTGACTTGCACCCACTGAGTGATACTTTGGATATAGTCGAAACTATGGACGAAGTTCGTCGTCAATTGGGTGTTCACTATCCTCATGATGACAAATTTTTGTGAATTTCAAAAATTTTTCATTTTAATTTTAAATTTTTTGTAATTTTTTGGAATTACGGAAGCTTTTTCATGTCTTTACATAGTTTTTTAACGACCTATCTAATTAGTACGAACAATAAATTTTTTAAAGTTTAAATTTTTTTTTTTAATTTGAATAAAAATTAAATTTAAAAAAAAAACTGGAAATACCAAACAGACATAGTCTTAGATATTTATTGAAGATGAACAATAATTTGTATATACAAATTAATTCCAAAGCCAAATATTAAGTGTCACCAGGAGTAGGCCGGTTTCAAGACATGGTAAAACTTAAATCCACTGTTTAAAGTACTTTATTGTACCATATACTATGTTGTACTGTGTACCAAATTGCAATAAGATACTACACAGTACCGAACACTATACCTTATAGTACAGAACGCTATACAGTACCCAACTGTATACTATATAGTATAGTACTAAAGATTATATAGTGTTTCTTAAAGATGACACAGCACTACATTGTATATAGTACTGGTTAGTATAAACAGTAGATTATAGAAAGAAAGAGTGATAACTGAGTTAGTGTGAGCTGTTTGTGAATTGACCATTGCCGTAGGATTTAGATAGTGATTGTACTGTTGGTGTTGAAGCGTTGAAGACGGAAGAAATTCTGAAATTTTGAAATTAAAACTTCAATTTTGATTTGTTTTTTTGTAATTTTTTTAGGTTTCGCCCTAGCCCTATCGTTAGCACTGCTCCAGTTTGAGCTCAAGCCTTAAGCTCTAGTCTAAGTTCCAGCCTAAACTGTAAACTAAGTTTGAACTAGAGTCTTAACTTAAGCATTAGCCTGTTCTATTCTAAGTCCCAGACTACGTAAGAAAAGGCCTAAGTCCCTTAATAAGCTTTTTCCTACGCCATAACCTAAGGTCTAGCTTAAAGTTTAGCCTGAGCTAACAACTAATCTAAAACTTAAGTTTAAGTCTAAGCCGATGCTTTATCCTAAATTCTAGTCGAAATTTTAGTTTAAGCCTACGTTTTATCCGAAGGAATAGGCTAAGCTCTAGCCTGAGCCCAAAGCTCTAGTCTATGTTCCAACCCAAGCTTTAGTCTTAAACTTAGCTCTCGCTTTACCTTAAGCTCAAACTTAAGCCTAGTTTTCCCTTTACTTTGCTTCTATCATAGCTCTGCTTTATTCAAGCCTTGATCTTACCGACCAACTCTGCCCTAAAAAACATTTTTTAAACACCCACCGATGGAGTACAAGTATAACGATACAACTTGTTCTTTGGTACCACAATCAAGTCGCCCTTCTCCATGTGCATTCTCAACCACTCTTCCTCTTCGTATTCCACATCCATGTACATATCGCCTTCAATAACCATGCACACCGTGGGTCCATCGGCTTCCTGTTCTTCGTACAAATCTTCCAAAATACGAGGCAAGTCAGCCACATTTTCGTCGATGGTCAGAATGTCACCGGTGTTGACATTGTTCTCTTTCTTTACGGCACTCAAACGTTTTTTCATGGCTTGGGTGTCGGCTAGGTTTACCTGAATTTTGAGAGTTTAGAAGTTTAAAGTTTTAAAAATTTTGTGAACAAAATTATTTTTGACAAAAATTAAACAACCCCCTGCTCTTTTGTTTTGCGTGGAAATGGTAGGGTAGGGTAGGGTAGGATACGGTAGGGTAGAGTAGAGTAGGGTAGGGTATTCTTTTTTCCTGCTTAACATTTTACAATTTCTAAAATTTTTTTTGTCCACCCCCTTATTTTACCCCCTCCCCCCCCACTCTTTATTAAAAAAAAATTTAAGTTAAACCGGCCTCCCCCTTCTCCTTTATCATTTCTTCCCTACTCTCTCCCCTCCCCCCCCTCGTCTCATTCCCTTCCACCTCCCCCCCCCCTCTTTTTTACCCTTTCTTCCATTCACCGTACAGTACTGCTTTCTGAGCCTCAACTTACGAGTTATAGCTATACTTTTACAAAAACCAAAATTTTAGTTTTAATTTTAAATTTTTATTTTGAAAACTTTTTTTAACATAACATACCTTATAGTAAACAACACCAGCCTTGTTCCTCAAGTCTTCGACCGACAAGGGCTTTGGTGGGAAAACGTTGTGAGGAAGGCGACGGTCGCCAATTGGGTAGGATTCCATCTTCCAGATTTGCATGATGATTGCTGTGTTTGTAGATACTGTTAAATATAAAACATTACTTTAGCTTAGCCTTTTGCCACATTATTAATATATTACATTATTCACGTAATGACATAGTAATAAACATATTACAGTAAGGACGGAACATAGTAAAAAACATGTATTAAAACCTTATAGTAGATATCAATAAATAAAGATTACAAAAGTTACAGTATACGTAGTGATACAAAAATTTACTGCAAAGTACTGTAAATTATACTCAGTAAATTATATTCTCTAGATGACACGTTAAAACAACAATATTTAATGTGTTATGCATACTACCACTTAAAAATAACAACCAACCTCTAAAAACATAAGTCTACGTTTACCTACATTCAGCTTTCTTTTGCTATGATTGCTATGAACAATGACATTCCACAACAATATACATCACCTTACATATAAACAATCATATTGTGTTTATAACAGCAACCTTAATAGTGACAACTTTCTCTCTATATTCAATACAGTTGCTCCCTCAAAAATTTTTTTTTTGTTTTACAATAACAATATTAACCTGTACTATAAGTAGAAATTGAGCGCACAATAACTGAGAAGGCTTTTATATTCAAAAACAACTTTAGTTCACTTTTTTTGGCTGTTACCCGTTGCGATTATGCTTACACATGAAAAGAGAAATATCTCTTAAAGCTGGGCTAAAAGAGCGAGTGTTGTTCTAGGGTTTTTACTGTTGCACAAACAACAAGGTTTTCTAGTTAAAAAATAGTATAATAGTTGGTCAAGCTAGAGCAGGCGCATGCAAAGGTAAGGCGGGAAAAGGACAAGTAAAGGCAGGCAAAAACCAACGTAGAACAAGCAAACCCCCTCGCAGGACAGGTAAGGCCGAGTTAAAAGGCGCAAATGCTATGGTAGTGCAGGCAAAGGCCAAGGTAAAGCAGAAAAAGACCTAGATAAGGCAGATAAGGGCCAAGTTAAAGGGATACAAAAAAAAGTAGGACAGGTAAAAGCCAATTCAGAGCAGGCAAAGGCCACGGTAGGAAGGCAAAGTAGGGCAGATAAAAGCGAAGGTATGGCCAGCAAAAACCTTGCTAAAGGCTTAGCTAAACTTAATACAAGGATATGGTAGAAAAGTAAAGATAGGGCTATAATTGAGCTAGTTCTAAGGTTTGGGCACGGGCTAGGGTTAAAAAGAATTAAAATTTTAGTAAGAAATGAAAAAACAATATGAAAAAAACACCTTTATAGCCGTGAAATCACCGTAGCATAACGATAAACAACCTTATTATATGCAACAAACCGGATCTTTAATCTTATTTTTCTTCACCTAGCTTGAATACACATATTATCCTTCCCTGCTACCCTCACTTCTCCTCTAACCCACCCATTCCTGCACCTCCCCCCCCCCTCTTTCAGTTCACCTCTCACCTCCCCCCCCTCTCTTTCAGTTCACCTCTCACCCCCCCCCCACTACCACTTTACTATAGCCCAACTTTTCTACCTACAACTATACTCTTTATTACAGCCCTCTCCTATCTCCTTTTAAATTCCAAAAGTCTTTGCTTAAGCCTTAAGCGCCATTACTTTTTCGACATTCCTTGAAGCCTCCAAGTGTCATTATTTTTGCGATAAATAGCTTACTCTTTCCTCCGATAAAATCAAAAAAAGTATTACCTCAATATTTTTTGAGCCGATTCCTGACCTCTAACCGAATCCAAGCGGATTCGCGAGGATAAAGGAAGACGTGGAAATAACAATATTAATATCGGTAATCGCATCAGAAAGGGCTTTTTTAAATTTTTACGCTATCTTTTGTAAAAAATCTGAGTTGTAGGTACAGTGGAACTTCTGTAGAACAAATTACTGTATATTGAAAAATTTTTAAATGGCCAATTATATATGTTATACAGAAGCTCTACATTGTTCTGCAGAAGTTTTACATTGTTATACAGAAGTTACACGGTAAGAAAAAATTTTTCAAATTCTAAAATTAAAAAAAATTAAAGCAAAAACTTCATAATCATCACTAAAATTCAAAAAGTCAGCCCAAACTGAGCCAAGCCCAACGCTCTCGGGCCTTTATGCCCAAAGACTGAACAAAGCACGGCCCAAACGTTCCTTATTGTAATGTTTTTGCTACTTTTGATCACAAATTCTTGGACTGCTGAAATCCGCAAACAAAATATATCTTAATATCTAAAAAACGCACTTAAGAAACAAGATCTTTGGAACAAGTAACATTATTATTGTCATCATTTTTTTGGGGTTGAAGCCTTAGCCTAGAGTTTAAACTAGATAAAGCTAAGGCTAGCGTTTCAAGTAGGGTTATTGCTAAGGCTCTAGACTAGGGCTCTGGGCTAGGGCTCTGGACTAGGGCTCTAAGCGAGGGCTTTAGGCTAGGGCGCTGGTCTAGGTCTCTGGACTAGAACTTTTCGATATGGCTCTGGTTTAAGGCTAGGACCTTGGGCTAGGACGCTGAGCTACGGCTCTGGGCTAAGGCTCTGGGCACTGAGCTTTGGACTAGGGTTTTAGGCTAGTGCTTTGAGCTAGGGCTCTAGGCTAAGGCTTTAGATTAGAGTTTTCGGCTAGGACATAGGGCTTAAACCAGAGCTTGAACTAGAACTTAGGCTAGGTCTTATGTTAAGTATTACGCTGTGGCTTAAGTTAGAACTTAAGCCTAAACGCAAGCTAGGATTTAGCCTAAGTCTAATATACCCACTTAAGGCTTAACAACAAGAATTTTTGTTTAAAAAAAAGAAATTTTTTTTAAATTTTAAAAATTTTTTAAAAATTTGAAGTTTAAAAAAATATTTTTGTTTATGCCCAAAAGTTTACAAACTCAAATCAACATTCGTCAACTTTTTTCACGTCTTATATTCTGATGGGTTTTATCTGATAACCAAAGTACAGCACTTATAATTTGAAAGAAAAACACGAGTAATTGCCATGTGAAACCTAATGTAAAACACAAAACACAATTTAAAAAAAGCTTTAATTATTAGGTTATTAACATAATTCTGCGTCCCTGTACCCCACAAAGTTGCTTTGAAAAGGGGCCCGGAATTAAGTAAACAACCAAATAATTGACGTTTTTAAGTACTTATTGTACGTATAAGCCAAGGAATTTGAGATTTTTTAATTTTTTTTGGTCTTAAAATATATAGTATGTAGGAGCAGCTGCTAGCAGTAAAAAAGCCAAGCCAAACCTAATTTTTGTGATCTAAATCACTGGCCAAGACTTGCTTTAGACCCCAGTGATAAGACCAAAATTTGCCGCCTCTAGACATGAGAAACGAGCCGGGCCTGAGCAAAATTTCAATCGGTCCGGGCCTGAATGTGATAATGGGCTTGTTTCTTATGTCTAGTCGCCTCAGCTTGATCTCTTTCAAGTTTGTTGTGACACCTAGCTTGATCCATCAATTAAAATTTAAAAAAAAGTTATTTTAAACAGCACAACTCCAAACCAAAAATTTCAAAAAAAATGCTTAAAAAGCCTAAAAAAGTTACTTTTAAACCCATTTTGGTTAGTTCACCAAACACCAATCTAAAACAAACTCGACAACTTTTTTCAAGAACCACACAACGTCAACTAGCGCCTGACATAACCGACAAGTGTTATCTCAACTCCATCAATACATTTGTTAACTCATTCTACACGAATATTTTCTAGAAACTTCCAAAAACCAAATTGCAAAAAGTGTTTTTTAAATTTTAAAAAAGATGCCGCAGAGATACTAAAATTTAAAAAAAAATTCAAAGAAAATGTCAAATGTGATATAAGGAAGGCACAGAAAAGTTTAAAAAGAAATAGAAGTGTGTACCCTACCCTACCTTGCCTTAGCCTACCCTACCCTACCCTACCCTACCCTACCCTACCCTACCCTACCCTACCCTACCCTACCCTACCCTACCCTACCCTACCCTACCCTACCCTACCCTACCCTACCCTACCCTACCCTACCCTACCTTACCCTACCCTACCCTACCCTACCTTACCCTATCCTACCTTACCCTACCCTACCCTACCCTACCCTACCCTACCCTACCCTACCCTACCCTACCCTACCCTACCCTACCTTACCCTACCCTACCCTACCCTACCTATCTTCTTCACCTTACTCTAACGTATCTTACCTTTTTTTACTTTACTTTATCACACCTCATTCTACCTTAACTTATTTTACCCTTATCTTCTGCACTCTATCGTAATATATTCTACGCTATCATACAATCTATCCTATTGCACCTTATATTATTTTAATCTAACGTAGCCGACAGTTCTCTCTTCTTCTATCTCTTTTCTCTAATGTTCTTTCAAAGCAAAATCAGCAAATTTATACTCAGCGTAGCATTATATACGGTTCGTCGGCGTACGGTGCGATACGCATCAGCATGCAGCCTTGAAGAATTATGTTATCTTGGCGCGTATGTATTGAGGTAAAGTGAGAAAACAAATACCTGCGAAAGATGAGTATCTGAGTTTCGGGAACAAGTTTAAGCCAAGAGCGTGAAAAAAACAAGAATTTGAATTTATAAAGTAAGTTTTTGAAGAAAGTCGGCAAAAATATAGAAGTAAAAACGAGAATCTTGTTGCCGGATTTTACAGTTTTGTCATATGGAGGTTGTTTTCAGTTGTCATGTGCTATTATATTAGTTTAAACAAGGAGAGGTAGGGCAAGACCGAGAAAAGGTTTTGACTAAACATAAAGTTCAAGCGCAAGCCCACCCTCAGACACATTTGCAAGTTTACTCTTAGGCTCAGGCTTATGCTCAAAATCAAGTAAAGGCTTAGGTTCAAGTTCGGACTCAAATAAAAAAGTCAAGGCTAAAGTTGAGGCTTAGGCTCAGTCTCTCTCTCTCAAGCTCAAGCTCTAACTCTATCTCTAGCTCTAGCTCTAGCTCTAGCTCTAGCTCTAGCTCTAGCTCTAGCTCTAGCACAAGCTCAGGCTAAGACTCAGGCACCGACTGCTACACAAGCTAAGGCTGAAGCTTAATCTCAGGCACAGGCACACGCTCATCTTCAGGCTTAATCTCAGGCAAAGGCTAAACAAAAATTAGTAACACAAAAAAATTAAAGTTTGTAAAAATCCCAAAATAAAAAACATCACCAAACATCAAAAACATCCTCTTGAAACATATGAAATGAAAAACAACAAGAGCGAGGATTAAATACCTGTATGAAATTGTTTCGATTGCAACAACAATATAAAATAATTGGTTTTTCAAGCACTTTTAAACAAGTTTTGTTCAAAGAACTTTGACAATAAAACAAAAAAAAATTTTAATTTTCTTAAAAAATTTTTAGTTTGATCCAATAAACTCAAAAACAACAAAAACATTGAGGAAGTTTAGGTAATAATAACAAAAAACAATAATAACTAAGTTTAAGCGAAGAAACAACAATACTCAACGAAGGTTGACGTAGATAAGAACCATACAAAAACTGAAGTTGATTGATACTGTTTTGAGTTCAAGCAAAAGCCAGAGATCAACAATAAAAGACTCTCCGACTACTTTTTTTAATAAATGACCTTATACTTGACCTTTAAGTAAAGTTTTTCTAGGTAATCTAGAGGACCATCTTACAGTATTTTGAGGGTAACTGAACAAAAAATATTTTTTAGTTTAAAATTAAAGATTTAAAACGTTTTAAAAATGTATTTAAAAAAATAAAAGTAGTAGTAAAGAGACAGGGCCAGGTCCTATTCAGGGACGTCGCTACGGATTTTCTCTGGGGGAGAGGAAGGTCGAAAAAATTTTTTTCGTCCACAGGCTGCCTGTGGACCGATTTTTCAAAATTTTTTTTTTCGTTTTTTTCGTTGGGGGAAGGGGTTCCCCGCCCCCCCCCCCTCTATCCCCTCCCCCAAATGACGTCCCTGGTCCTATTAGTAAATTCAGGCTTGTTTCACACTTTTTGCAAGTCAAATCTTCCTTGCGGGACCTAAACTAGACATTTGAGGCTATGGTTTGAATCACGACTTTGAAGCTCCCATGTGCCGGTCCAACTCAATCCTTTTTAAACTTTCTTCGGCCTGGCCCTAGGACTTACATCTGACAGCCCAGTCCATCCCTTTTCAAATTCAGTTTGGCCGCTTAGCCCGGGCCCAATTCGGACCAATGCTGTGCCGAAGGGTAACCGGGCCGGCCTTATTGATCCTACTCTTAAGTCATAATTAAAAGAAGTTTATTTCTTTCAGAAGTCTAACAACATCAAAAACAGTATAGAATGTGTCTTGTGATTAAAGAGCCAAATAATGGCCTGAGATTTGTTGTCTGCTGAATTGTTGACTAATCTTCATGAAATTACACAAAATAACAAAAAACTTGAAATTTGGCAGAAAATGAAAAAAACCACAGGTAAGGTAGAGCAGGTTAGTGTACGGTAAGGAAGGGTAGAGTAGGGTAGGATAAGGTAGGGTAGGGTAGAGTAAGGTAGGGTAGGGTAGGGTAGGGTAGGGTAGGGTAGAGTAGGGTAGGGTAGGGTAGGGTAGGGTAGGGTAGGGTAGGGTAGAGTAGGGTAGGGTAGGGTAGGGTAGGGTAGGGTAGGGTAGGGTAGGGTAGGGTAGGGTAGGGTAGGGTAGGGTTGGGTGGAATAAGTCGTGACATAATAATTGCGTTTTAAATAAAGTAATACCCCGCAGAAAAATAAAGCAAAATCCCAGCACTCGCAGTCATTTGTTGGGTCGTTTTACACCGAGGCAAATATTATATAAAACCATAAGATTACATAAGAAAAAGTTGCGTAATACGAATTCTTGCAATTTCTCTAAGGCTATGCTATTATATCATAAATTAGGTAACATGGTACATATTAGATACATGTTACGTAATTAATAAAGTTAACCTAAACAAAAAACTAATCCTAAAGTTACGACTAAAACAAAGCCTTATTTGGCCTAAGCCTTAGCTTAATTTTTAGTCCAAGCCTTAGTCTAAGCCCTAGTTTAAGCCCTAGCACACCTAAATTAAAGGCTAAGCCTGTAATTTACCTTAACACTAATGTTCACCATGTTTCGCGCATGTTTTTCTCCAACTTTCAACCAACTGTGACGTTATCATCGTGATACTACAAATAATTATGTGCAAACATTGACAATTTCAGTCTCGCAATGTTCAACAATCTAAACATGCGTGTCGTTGGGCAAGTCGCTGTAGTAATTGAACAGCTGTCTGATTCGGTTGTGCACCATGAGTAGAGGCTACAACTGCGTAAACACCATCGGAATTTAATTTGACTGGATCCGTTTTGTAAGTTATTTGGCTTGGGGGTTGGGACAAAAGTGCGGTCACACAATTTTTTGAGAGGATCACCCCCCCCCCCCCCTCATCTTTTCGGACCATAATCACCCCTTATCACTGGAGATGATTCTTCAAGTTTTTTCAAAAGATTATTCATTATGCTTCCGCTTATGTTGAATTGTGACACGCATTATTGTAGCATTCACATTACTCATCATTATATTTACATTTTTGTCTGAAACGTTTTTCAAACTTTCAAACCTTTATACGTCTAGTAGCATTTTAGCTGTCATTTTCATTATATTATTGTTTTCTTTAGCCAAAACCTTATAATTTACCTTGACTCACGTTAAAATGTTGTTTTTTTTAACAAAATCACGTTTATTATACACGGTTCAGAATAATGATAGTTAAATTATGCAAATTACCTTATTGTTTATCTTTTCAAAAACACGTTTTTTAAACAATAAACCAGTTTTTTATTGCTATTTATAACATCATTTATAACTTGTAAATAATATTATAGTGTCATAAAAGTTTTGTCGTCAATTAGCACAGCTTGAAGTGTTAAAAAGCGACAAAACTTTTTTTTTACATTTTGTAATCGACAATTTTTCAAAATTTAAAAAAAAAATTGCGTATTGTGATAAGGTATGGCCAAAAAAAACTTATTTTTTTACCTTTCCCAGCCCATGTCAAAATTTTTTTTAAAAAAAAAAAAATTTTTAGAAAGTTGAACGTGGTCCCCCCTGAGGATTTTTTGCTACACTACAAATCTTAATGCCATTTCAATTGTTGCCCCTTGATTTTATAGCTTTTCAGATGCAAAACCTTCTCTTAATCATCTACCGGTCAATAGTGATACTTGGGATATTCAGTGCTCTGGCTATTTTAGTGTTCAATTCGGATTTTGTTGATGATTATGTGTATCAGTCCAGTTCGCTGCGAATGAAAAGCCAATATGGCCTTGTTGATAAGGGAAAACAGAAAATGGTCACATTGGATCCGGTCGAAATCGAAAAAGAGCATTTTCGGTCGATAAAAGGTAGCCTAGGGTTGGGTATTGGACTGGGGTGGGCATGGTTGGGTGGGGAAGGAATATTTAAAGGCTAGAGCGGGGTGAGGAGTAGGGGAAAGTAGGAGTAAGGCAAAGAAGGTATATGAATAGAGTAGGTCGAGGTAGGGTTGGGCAGGGTAATTCACCCCCATCCCCCCCCGGCTAGCAACGCCCCTAACTTCCAAACTCCCAGGCAAAACAGTCAGGCCAGCCAATGAGCTTCGTGTGGAAGATTTTGCCAATTCAACTGAACTGAATGAGCTAGGCCTAACTAAAAACTTATCCCGGGTCGAAGCCATGGAATGTCGGCTACCAGACTTGGACCCATGGCACGAAAAGGCTCTGTCCTATATTAACAAAGGCCGTGATCGTATGTATGGATGTGTGGTTACCTACACACAAGGAACTTTTTTGAAAAATGGCAAAATCGAAATGACTCCAGAAGAGGCTGGAAATGGCACTTCTTGCCTTTTTAGGTAATATTTTGGTTTTTTAAAATAATTTTAGGTAACATTATTAAATTTTTTATAATATTTTAGGTAACATTTTAAATTTTTAAACTATCGTATTATAAAAGCGTCAAAAATATAAAGAAGTCATTACTAAAACTTCAAAAAAGTCTTGTCTTCAACCCCCTTAGATTCCAACCTAAAATAACAACAAAACTTTTTAAATTCCAAGAAACGATATCATTGCAGATGCTACTACCCAAAAGACGATTACGAATTTTCGTTTGGAAAATGGCAAAAACTCAACGTCTTACCAGACTGTGATATCATGGAAGTGAGTTGTAAACGACCAAAAGAACCGGAATATAGCTACAACACGCTTCATACCCAAATTTATCGACAATAGTAAGTTATATTTATCATAAAAAATTAGGAAACCAGGAAAGTTTTAAAGTAAAACAATATAAAAGTAGTGGAAAAGATAGCGGCCAAGACAACGCTGTGAAATGGCTCGTTCTTCTGTTTCAATATCTTCGTGATGGGACCAAATGAAAGTTCTCGCGACAACTTATTCTTGGAAATTTTCTTCATAAATAATATTCTCGGCGATTAGACTCTATTTCTCCTTGAATTCCTAATGAAAATGTTGTCTATACAATGTAAAATACGAACAAATTGCTGTAGTGCTCCAAATTTTAGATAATTTTGCACATTTATATTGTTATTGCCTAATGTTCTTCAATGTTTGGTATTATTTTGAGACCGTCTTCTTGGATCAACCTAAAACAATGTCGGAAATGGAAAGGTAAGTTGTTTTTTATTATTTTTTTGTTTTTTAGGTTTAAACTCAGTTTATTCAACGAATGCGGAGGTCTTTCTTCAAGTTGCGCCCATTTTTCCCGTTCTTCAGCACCTTGATGTTGTTTTAGCTTATTGTTTGAGGAAAACTCAGGTATTGCAGCCAGTTCCGGGATTATGAAGATGGACAATACATAGGTAAATCGTTTTTGAATAGTTTTGAAGATTTTAGGTAGCTTTTTGATGTCTTACAACATGCTGAAAGAAGTTTTGCCTGGTCTAATCTAAAACAATATCCAAATTCGATTAGTAAGTGATTTTTTATACTATTTTTGTTGTTTTAGGTAACAAGATGATTATTCTAACGAAATTGTTTGGTTTTCTTCATGTTTCATCTTATTTTTTACGCGGTTTACCATCAGCATATTGTTTTAGCTTGATTTTTAGGTAACCAACACGAAATATTGAAGCAGAAACCTAAGGATTCTTGACGTTGTTGCTGGTTTTTATGTGTTTTAAAGTATACGAAATTTAAAATAACAAAGAACTTAGTGAATAACCAATTTTTACAGCCACTACTTTCAAACCAAGCCCACTGCCGCCCCAAAAACTTCAACTACCCCTCCCGACCGTCTTGATCTCCTCAAACCGAAACGCTTAAAACCCGAGAATCCTCAGCCTGATGTACATATGATTATATTTGACTCTGTATCGACTACACAATTTATGAGATCTATGCCGGCTACCGTGCACGTGCTACGCGAAGAAATGGAAGCAGTGGTGTTTCCGCATGTTAACAAAGTTGGAATTAACAGTAGGCCGAATGGTTATGCTTTACTGATGGGTAGGCAGGCCTATGACATGGAGAAGTCGCCTATTAATGATGAAAGGAAGCCTAAGATTAATATGTATGATATGTGTGGGTATTACCTTGAACAGGATCAGTTTATTGGATTTGACTTTAAAAAGAAAGGTTATGCCACCTTGTTCTCTGAAGATTGGGAACTTGGTGTGTTTAATTGGCCAAATTGCTTTGGGTTTGGGAAGCCGCCGGTGGATCATTATATGAGGTGAGCTACTTATATCTTTACCCCTACCTGTACCTACACTTTTATCATTACCCTAGCCTCTACAAACTACTCTAATGGCTTTTTCTAAAATGTTAGAAGCTTCTCACAGTACAAAAAACAAAACACTAGCCTTTTTCTAAACAACTACTTACAGGCCCTTCCACCTTCGTCTAGAATCCGGTAGATACCGTGATGAAAACTCAACGATGAAGAACCATTTGTACTGGGAAATGTGTCGAGAACCACATGAGTACCAAATGGACTACTTGAAAGATTTTATTGATGTTTATCCTGACAAGCCCAAATTTTCCATAACTTGGTTCACCTATCTTGCTCATGACGACGCTAATGGACTGTTCCATGTGGATTTGTATTTTAAAAGGTTCTTCAGGGATTATAAGAAAAAGGTGAGTTTGGGGGTTTTACTTCATGTTTTAGCGGGTAGGCCAGTTAATTGAAAAAAAAATTTGAGGGCGGGGTAAATTATTTTTTAATTTTTGGGGTTGTGCAATTTCAAAAATTCAAAGCGTTTTTTGATGAAGAAAGTTTGTTTAAAAAAATTTTGGGCGGGGTAAATTTAAAAAAATTGTTTTGGGGGTGGTTCAATTTAAAAAATTTTTTTTTGCATTTTTATGTAGAAAACAGGTCAAGTAAAAGTATGGGGTACGTTAAACAAAAAATTTTTTGGGCGGGGTAAATTTTTTAAAAAGATTTTAGGGGGTGGTTTTTCTTTTTTTTTATTTCTGGGCCGGTAGTTAAGAAAAAAGCAAAAAACGACATTTTTAGTTAAGCAACTCCTTTTTATTCGTAATGGGTGACCATGGCTATCGATTTGGTGGTATCAGAAGAACAAAGCTTGGTGAAGCTGAAGACAAGAATCCATTATTGATGGTTGTTGTGCCAGAACATTTGCGACAAAATGAAAATTTGATCAAGAATATGAAAAATAATGCAAAATATTTGACAACTCACTATGACACTTATGCTACTATGGTCGATGTGGCTTATGTAAGGGGGTTGCTCCTCTTTTTTTGTTTTACTCTTCTCATCTTCTTAAAATGTTAGTCTGATCATTCTCATTCTCTTTTGTTTTTTTACTATCTTCTTTTTCTTCTTCTGCTTCTTCTTCTTTGTCTTTTTATTCTTCTTATTCTTCTTCTTCTTTCTCCTCTTCTTTTTCATCATCTTCTTCTTCTTTGTCTTCTTTTTTTTCTTTTTCTTCTGCAAAGCCTAATTTTTTAGTTCTATTTAGTACTACTGGTACTAGTTTTGTTCGGTACTACTGATACTATAATACTTCAAGTTTTTTATATTACGATACCTGATCCTTTCAGAACGCCCCAAAATTTGAGCACAACTCATCATTCAACGGTCTAAACAAGTCAGCAATACCATTAAATATTGATGGTGAGAGTTACCTACATCCTTTCAAGCTAGACAAACCTCGAAATTGCCATAATCAAAGAGTACCATTCGACTTTTGTAATTGTCAGTTGGAGCAAGTTGACCGAAGCAACGAAACCGAGTTTGGGCACAGGATAGCCGGCTTCATGGTGGATAAAATGAATGAGGCTTTGGTGAAACACAACCATACTAGTTTGTGTGTTACCTTGAAGTTGAACAAAGACTTTCCAGTCGAATTGGAGGAGTTTGAACCTGATTTGAGGTTCAATGCTTTTAAAGTTACTTTTAAGGTAAGGCCTTCCCTTATAAGGGTGTTTTGAAGGGTAGGGATTCTTACAAGCAGGCTATAACAGCAAACTATTGGGTTAGAATACTAGGGTAAGGTAGCGTTAAACTATCGTAAGCTGAGTTATTGTAGGAAACAGTAGAGTAGAGGAAGGTAGTGTAGGGTACGGTACAGTAGAGTAGGGTATGGTAAGATAGGGTATGGTAGGGTGAGGTAGAACACAGTAAAAGAGAGTATAGTACGGCAGGGTAAAGTTGACCACAGAAAAGATAAGGTAGGGTAGGATACAGTAATCTAAGATAGAGTAGGGCATTGTAGGGTAGGACAAGTCATTTTAAGGTAATTTGAAATATTTTAGGTCTTACCAGGGAACGGTCACTTATGGGGCTTTGTTCAAATGAATGGCGACAATAGAAATGACAAAAACGTGACATTCTCATTGATCTCGGAACGTTTGGCGCGGTTGGACGAGTACGAACCTACGGCGTTTTGCAGTAGCAGTCCTTATGTAAGTGTGCTTTATTGATAAGACCGGACTTTTTCACAAAAATTATCTTGCTTTGTTCTTCCTACATTGCCTACCCTATTCTACTGTACCCTACCCAACTTTATCCTACCGTATCCTACCTTACCCTACTTCACCCTACCTGATCCTACTCTTTCTATCGTATTTGTCCTAAATTTATCCTACCCCACCTGACCCTACTCTACCTTCCTTACTTATCATAGCGTACCCTATTATCCTACCCTATTTTATGTTTTAGGTAAAACCATACTGTTACTGTATAGCCAACTTTTCAAAAACCTCATCAACAACTCAAACTACAACAACAACAAAGAAGAAATAGATAAATAAAAATAAGTTAAGACTTTGTATTATAAAACCGTTGTTATTATGGGTATACTAGAGCTAATATATTGATAGTATTACTTATAGCCACAAAAATTTACAAGTTTGGTTTAAGAACAATGATATTATCTATGGTTTTTTTAAATTTTTTTTAATCAAAAATTGTTATATACAGGTTATTAATATACAAATAAAATGCGAATTGTCATTATAATGGTTCAAATAATGAAGGATAAGTAAGCATGATAACTTAAAGTCACCGCCGACCTCCAAAACGCGGTAAAGCGCATGGTATCAAGCAACAACAACATTGTTCATCACATAGGGCTTCGCCTGAAAATTTTGTATTTATTTTTAAAAAACCAGCCATACCCCAGCGCTACACTAGCCTAAACAACTGTATCTTACCTTACCCTAATTTACTGTTCCTTACCCTACCCTATTTTACCCTGCTCTGCCTTGCTCTACCCACCCTACTGTACCCTACTCTACCCTACCCTATGCCACTGTACCCTATTATACCTTATCCTATCCTAACATATTCTAACTTGCCTTACCCTATCCTACTGTACCCTATCCACCGTATCCTACGCTAACTTATCTTACCCTACTCTACACTACCCCCAATAAACCTACCAAGTAAGCATCCACAACATAGAGTCAAAATAGAAATGAGCCAAGACGTGTTCGGGTCGTCCCATCTACTCCGCGGCCTTTCTTGATAGATCACCTGGGGTTGGGGTTGAGGATAGTACTGACCTTGTGGAGGGTATTGAGGGTACGATGGATATGGATTTCCACCTGGGTATTGGGGGTAGGGTTGTTGCATCTAGAAAGGCATTGTGAAGAGCTTTTTTTCAAAAAATTTCAAAAATTTGAGTTTTCAAAATTGTTTCCCTCAGGCGCTCAAAACGTTAAATTTTGTTATTCAGACCTGGCCAGCAAAAAAAAATAACAACCTAAAATACGATTAAAAAACGCCTCAAAGCAAACCTAAATTAAGATTTTGTAGCGAAAAACAAATCTCGCCCGGTTGCTAGGCTTATTATAGTCCGAAAAATATTGTTTACAAACTACAAGCTTTGCCAAAACATTTTCAAATTGAAAAAACTATAAAAAATAAACTTACTTGAGGTTGATAAGCCATTGAATTTCAATATAACTTATAGTATAAACAAGAAAATATCAAAAAAAAGCTAGATTTTTATATAAGTGTCCCACTTCTTTTGGATCAACCTAATATTTTCTCGTTTTCTTAGCTGTTTCCAAGCCAATATTGAGTTAGTTTACAGCTTTTAAGCAGCCAACTGTGTGCTTATACCTTAGAAAAAGACTTGGTTTAATTAGAAGATATAATTGAGTTCAAAAACGTTTGAAATTTTAAATAAAATTAGTCAGAAACCTTTCAATTTCAATGTGAAAACCGCAAAAACTTGTAAAAATTTATTTTTCGCGCATTTTGCTTCTGATTCATCTTTTCTTTTTTTCGTTTTTTTCAAAACCGCAAACAAGAAAAGGGTTGGAAAGGGTAGAGAAAGAGAGAGTTCAATAGAAACACACGTTTTCACGTGAAACGAACACTCACAACAGCCTACGAAACTACATATAATACAAATTGAAACAAGTACAAAGGAGAAAAAACTATTCATGAATACAATTTGAACTCATCTTCAATTTTACTTTCTAAGAGAGTGTTATTTTCAATTGTACTTTATATTGAGTGTTATTTTAGGTATAGTTCAGTTATATATTAGCTAAAAGAAGGGTTACTTCTAGTGTACCTTAATTGGAGGAATGTTTTAGTTGTACTTTGCAGGGAGGGTCATTTTACTTGTATTGTAGCGGCAAGATTACTTTCAACTGTACTTTAAATTGACAACTCAAAATGCTTATTTGAGTTTTAGCTTATCTGGAAGATTATTTTAAGTTGTACTTACTTTGTTAGGGCCGGGCGGGGACTTTTGGTCTTGGGGCGGGGGTCGAAAAAATCCACAAGGGGGACCGCGTTAAAATTTTTTCGAAACTTTTTTTTTGCCCATCCCCCCCCCCAGCGCTCGACCCTGCTTGTACAGTAATGGAACTGTTGTTTTCAGTTCTATCGTAAAGGGGGAGGGTTACTTTTAGTTATATTTTAATGTGTATCTTCAGTTTTACCTTTACAGAGAGGCTTTATTTTTAGCTGTACATTACGGGGAGGGTCATTTTCAGGAATACATTAAGAGTATATCCAATTGTATTTGCGTAGTTTGTTCCAAATTTTTGATGACATAATTTCTTTGCAACTGAGCAAACATTATATCACGACACGACCACCTTTTAATAATATCCACGTCTAACATAAAAGTTTTTTTGAAAACATGAATACGCTCGAGCAGTACATCTACAATTATGTGTTAAAAAGTGTTCATTTGCATAACACGTGAAACTCTTTTAAAGTCGTTCAACTTGTACTTTTGTTTAATCCTTTCTTATTATTTGCGCTTTAATAAGACATGGTCGGGTTCTTGAATAGGAAGGTCAAAGGAAAGGTCAATCGATTATAATGTCACAATTATGTTCAATCCGTTTTAATGTTTTTACGCCTTAGCTCTAGACTTAGCTCTAGCTCCAGTTCTAGCTTTGGCTTAGCTTTGTCTTTAGTTCTAGTGCTAATCCTAGCCTTACCGTAACGTTTCCCTCGATACGATAGCAATCTTTATGTTGTGCATTTTCAGTGCAAAACGAAGTAAATTACAAATTTTGACCAATTTTAGCCATAATAATAGTGAGGTTAAAACAATGAACCTATGTTTAGGTTGCCATGGTAGTAATAATTAGTTGCACCGTTTTGTTACTTCAATGTTGGACAAATTAATTAGGTTATTTTACTTTTTTTGACCTATGATAATTGTTTTTTTTGCAATTGTGAACTTATTTTGTTGGGGAGTCTTCCCACGTTATCAATATGTAAACATTACATGTTGTATTGGGTTTAGATTATGCTATTTTTGGTAAAAATTTTTTTTATTGAAGTTTGGTAAGGTAAGGCAACCTAGGGCAAGGCAAAGCTATTATAGTTCGGGACGGAGCGTGGTAGTGCAAGGTAGGGTAAGTTAGAGTAAGGGTAAGGTTGGGTAGAACAAGGCAAAGTAGGTTTTTGTATGTCAATTTTAAAAATAATTTTTTTTATTGGTGTATGGTAGGGTAAGGTAGAGGAAAAAGTAGAATAGAGGGTAGGGTAGGGTAGGGTAGGGTAGAGTAGGGGTAAAAGGCATAGACTGACCTTTCTCTAGCTTGTGTCTATTGAGTTTATCGAAGGCCTTTTGTTCTTTTTTGGTTTATTTGTCTAGAATGGACGTAACGTGGTTGGAAACCTTTTTTTTAATGTTTGAACTCGAATGTGTAGAATTTTTGAAAAAATTTATTTTTGAACTGTATTGGACTCGGGTGGTTTCAAAAATGACGACAAAAAGTTTTTGAATAAAAATGTTATGTCATTTGAAAAAGTTTTTCTTTTTTTCATTACAAATGCAGGGCCTTCAGGCCTTACATTGAGCTCTAGCCTTTAGGCTTGCATATGCCGGCCCAGTTTTTTTCCAATTTGTTTTACTCGGGCCTAGTGATCTACTGATTCTATTTTCAGGTTTAGAGGAAGGGGAAAGAGAGGGTGGTTAGTGGTCAAAGCACAGGGAGGGGGTATGAAAGCGCGATCTAAAAGACAAAAAACTTTTTTTGCAATTTTAGAAATTTTTAAATTTTAAATTGTTTTTTTTTTGTTTTCAGATGCTCGAATCGAGGTTAGTAATCCATGACTATAAGCACGATCCAGAGAATACTAATTGTTGTGCAGTTTGTGGTGCAGATGCATGTGGGCTGCATTTTGGCGTTACTGCTTGCAGGGCTTGTAAGTTACTTTTATTGTACTTTTTTTGTTATTTTCTGTTTTGTAAAGAAAGTTTTTGCCGTTTTTGTTTTTTAGAGAAAGTTTTTGCGATTTTTTTTGTAAAGAAAGTTCTTGCTATTTTATGTTTTGTAAAGAAAGTTCTTGCCATATTTTGTTTTGTAAACAAAGTGATTGCAATTTTTTGTTTTGGAAAGAAAGTTTTTGCCATTTTTTTGGATTTATAGAGAAAATTATCTATATTGTTTTAGGCGCAGCATTTTTTCGTCGTTCAGTAGCTATGACTAAGAACTACAAGTGCAAACTACATCACAATTGTCCAATACATAAAGGTAACTTTGAACTTTCAAAATTTATTTTGTTAGGAGAGTAAAAATGACTGAATTTTGTAAAATTTTAATTTCAAGGGACTTTATTATGTGCTTTTAATTTCAGATTCCAGGAATATGTGTAGGGCATGTCGATACAAGAAGTGTGAACGGTTAGGGATGCAGAAGACTAGTAGGTTTAACAAATTTTTAACTTAAATATGTCTTTTCTTTGCCTTAAATACTGTTTCCAAAACTGTCACGGCGTATTTTACTAAAGTTTTAGGATTTCGATGTACTGCCTACTCTTTTAGCCTTTATTTAACCATACCGCACCGTACTGTGTCCTTCATCTAGCTCTACTCGTGTCTTGTTAGCCTTAGCCTTAGTGTTGTTTTAATCCTCTAACTTTATCCTAGCCCTACTCTAGCTCTTCTTTAGCCTTAGTTTAGTTCTACCCTAACCATATCCTAGCTCTATCCTAGCCTTACCCCACCCCTACACTAGCTCTATTTTACTTTTACCGTAGCCCTATCTTGAAATTAAGCTTCACTAGGCTACTTCAACATTTCAAAGCCAAAAAAATAAATAAAAATATATTTTTACTTTTTAGACATTCAATTCTACCGAGAACCATTCGGCCACCGAAAGCTCTTGAAACCGACAATTAAGAAACCTATTCCTCTGTCACATGCCTCTACATCTACCTCAACATCAAACGTGTTAGATAGGATGAGTGAAGGCTACCAAAAGTACCACGACAATCAACGATCTCTCTTCTTTGCCTTATATCCAGAAACAATGTTTCAGGATCCGGATACAGTTTGGCGAGAAGTGCCAATTGTGGAGCATGTTCGTTTCGAACGGTCGAGTATACCATTGGTACTGGCTATGTTAAAGGAGTATTTTAGCCCGTATGACAAGTTTACTAAGGATGAAATGGTAAGTCTGAGTTTGGATACAGTATGTTATACTAGGGTAGGGTAGGATAGAGTAGGCTACAGTAGGACACGGCACGTTAGGGTACGGTAGGGCTCGATAGGGTAATTTAGAGCTCGTTAGGGTAAGGTGGGGTAGTGCTGGATACGGTAGGGTAGAGTACGGTAGGGTAGGGTAGTGTACTTTTTTTAATACAGTATTGCAATACAGTACAAGAACTGTTTAGGCTGACGTACTACGAGATTTTAGCTTCTTTTTCGGCCGAATTGACCAAGCGTATTGGACGACAAGGTATTTTCCAGGAATTGATGACAAACGATATGTATTACATTTTGGACAGTATGTTAACGTGGATAATATGGGAAGGTTTTACCAGGATGACCAGAACCCGAAGCAAGCTGAATTGTAAGTTTAGGTAATTTTCTGGCCGTTTTTTGTTTTGTAAAGAAAGGTTTTGCCATTTTTGATTTTGTAAAGAAAGTTCTGGCAATTTTTTGTTTTGTAAAGAAAGTTCTTGCCATTTCTTTCTCAAACACTACTAAAATACACAACTCTAGGTTTTTTATGCCAACAACCCACAGATTTGTCCATCTTACGTTAAAATTCAAGAAACTGGCAGTTGATATAACTGAAGCTGCAGGAATAGTAGGAGCAGCCTTGTGGAGAGAGGCTATGCTACACGCTGACTTTAACATCTCTTTCAACCAACTACAGCTAACTATGACTGAACTCAATAATTATTGCCGGAAAACCTACCCTGATAATCCTAGTCGATTTGGATTGCTAATGCTTATTCTACGGGATATTGAGGTAGGGTATTACTCTAGCCTAACCTTATTCTTACTGCAGTTTTAGTCTATTCTGACCGTATCATTAAGTTTGTCTTATCCCTTCTTGCCTAGACTTGTAGATGAACTAGGCCGAGCCTTAGTCTGGGCTTTGGCCATTAGATCTACGTATGCTGGCTGTGCCAAGGTTTCATAAAGTTTTTCCTTGGCTTGGGCCCGTTTGGCTTTGTTTAAATATGTTTTGGCCTGGCTAGGCCCTTTTTAATTTTGCTTTGGCCCACTCCAAACTATTTTGAATTTGCTTTTGCTTAGGCCGAGCCGGTCTTTTTTAAATTTGCTTTGACTCGGCCTAACTCGGCCGACCTAGTGGGACCCCTTTCTAGACATAGGGAACGTGTCCGGCCTAACGCAAATTTAAGTCAGGCCGGGCCTGAAAATCAAGGCCCGGCCCGTTTCTACGTAAAAAAATTAGGGCCGAACCGAGCTTGAGGAAAATTTTTATCGGCCCGGACTTAACGTTCAGGCCCGGCCCGTTACTCATGGCTACCCTTTTCCAAGCTATTTCTATTATACTAAGAGTTACCACTAGTTGAGGCTTTGACTAGTGCTGAGGACACTATAAACCTAACTAATTAAAATATTGAGGTCGCGTTCTACTATGCTTTACTTTAATTTTATCTTTGGTCTAGCCAAACGGCTTCTTAATTTTAAGAATGACTTTTTCAAATTTAGGAGCTAATACAAGGCTTAAAAGAAGCAGTGACAATTGGAAGGCTTTCTAACGACCATTATAAGAAGGCTTTGGAGTCTATCCTTATGGTAAGGAGCTTTTTACATTTAAACAAGTTTTAAAATAGAAAAAAATTTTTAAAAAGTTAAAAATTTTACATTTTTAGATCTTCAAGTAAAGACTAATTACATCTTACTTCATCTCATACTAGCCATACTTTCAAGTTCATTAAGTTTCAAGAAGTTTGTTCCTTGGTACATTACAATGAAGTTACAATGTATTTAAATATTTACTTTACTATAAGTTATTGTTATCATTATAATTTTTATTTTTATTGAAATAATAAACACTAAAATACCTCATACTATGTGCCTCTTGCCTTGCCTTGCCTTGCCATGCCTTGCCTTTCCTTGTTTTGCCTTGCCTTGCCTTGCCTTGCCTTACTTTTCTTGCTGCCTTGCTCTAGTTTAATCTACTATACCCTACTCTATCTTACCTTACTTAACATTTATCAATTCTTCTGCTCTACCTTACTCTACCCTACCCTACAACATGTACAAAGCCTTATTAACGATTTAGATACAAATAATATTATTATATGTATAGGTACCACTCCTGTGTCCTAAAAATACCAAAGCAATGACGCAGTTTTTCGTTTGCTGCACCGCTTATCATTGTCATAATTGTGACTCAAAAAACAACATTGTTATCTAAATTTGGAGCGAATTTCCCATCTCAAAAGTCATAAAACTGGCTGCTCAATGGTGAATACCTAGTCTTGTAACAATGACTTTTGTTTTTCTAATTTGCAGTGTATTTTACTATTTGTTATTGATAACTAATGTTAATAGCAAGGTTATTCAAATACCATTGGATGTAGTGGATTACGGTTTTTCGTCAAGCTTTAATCATGATCAAGGTATGGAGACGTATTTTGAAGAGTTTGGGCTTAAAAATGAAGGGTTTATCAGTGATTTTAATGTGAGAAAACAGTGAAAAAGTCGCAATTTTACACGAAAAATTGAAGTTTTATAGTTTTACAACATAGGCCGGGGTATATATAGACCGTATACAACAAACTTTTTGTTGACGTTCTATTGTAAGAAAAATCAATATTTATGAAGGTATGAGTTATTGAACTTTTATAAGTGTTGTTAAACTTAAAGCTTAGTTACTTTACAATTTTTTAGATGAAATATCGTTGATTGGACGACATTTTTCAAAGTCTATAAGGAATATCAAGCTAAAATATGGAGCTAATTCTAGTACACAATGGTTATATGGATATCAAGACACTATTTATATAGGTAAAAATTTTTTTAGCTTCTAGTTTTGCTTTGCAGTTGCTTAACCGTGGTTTTTTCTTTAACTTTAGCCTTCTCCTAGTTTTATTCTAACCATTTCCTAGTCCTAATCCAACCTCACTTTACCTAGACTTAGCCTTACCCAAGCTCTGCCTCATCTCCTATCCTAGGCTTATTTTAGTCTTGCTTTAAAACTTACCCTATCTAGCCTTACCGTAGCCCTGATTTAACTTTATTTAAACAGTACCAAGCCTTACATTAGCCTATCCTAGCTCTGTTTTTGCGACTACTATAGACTTATCCTAGCCTTAATTTACAGCCTAACTTTTGCCACATTTAACGTTAGCATAGGTCAGCCCTAGCCCTTGTTCTAGCCATTTAAATGGCCTAAACCTAACCCTAATCACGCCCCTTTTATTCTAGATTATATAAAAAACTTGTTTTACTTTCAGGTGAAATAAAAGTAGGTACGCCACCACAAACGTTCCGAGTAGTGATAGACACTGGTTCCTCCAATTTTTGGATTGTAGACAGCTCGTGCAAAGAGCCTCAATGTGCAGTTAAAAATCGATTTGTATCAAAAAATTCTTCAACATATACAGCAGTCAACAAACCATGGAATATAAAGTACGGTACTGGAGACGCTAGTGGTACATCTTGTACTGAAAGTATAAAACTAAATGACAATTTTACTGTACAAAACGCGGAAATGGGCCAAGCTGTATTCATTGCCAAGTTCTTTGAAGATCAACCTTTAGATGGCATTATGGGCTTGGGTTTTCCTTCATTGAATAAGTATGGAGAACCTATTTTTATCACAGCGTACAAACAAGGACTGGTAGAGAAGCAAATGTTTACTGTTTGGATGCATACTGTACCTTTTAACTCTAAAGTAAGTGACTCAACCCTACCCTACCCTACCCTACCCTACCCTACCCTACCCTACCCTACCCTACCCTACCCTACCCTACCCTACCCTACCCTACCCTACCCTACCCTACCCTACCCTACCCTACCCTACCCTACCTTACCCTACCCTACCCTACCCTACCCTACCCTACCCTACCCTACCCTACCTTACCCTACCCTCTACCCTAATAGGGTCTACTTCACCATGCTCATGTATAACGTTCCGTACCTTACCATGTCTTCATCTCACACTACCCGCCTTATCCTGCCTTTTTTCTATCATTCTCTTCTTCTTCTTCTATCATTGTATACCCTACATTATCATTATTTACATCTCCTACGCTCTACTATACTATGTTTTACACTACCATGACTTATACTGCAGTATCTATTTCAGGGCAAAATAGGAGGACAAATAACGTACGGAGGCGTTGACGAAGTAAACTGTTCACCACAAATATCATACGTACCTCTCAAAGAAGCAGCGTATTGGCTATTTACGACAACTCGCTTTACTATCAATTCCAAATCAGTACTTGGAGATTGGAGAGCAATATCTGACACTGGCACATCGCTAAACCTATTCCCAACCGAGATCTTTGACCTGATCATAAGTGAAACTCAAGCAGAACCCGATGCAGATCAAAATGGCATGTACTACGTACGATGCAACAAAAGATTCTCGTACAGCTTCGAAGCCCATGGCAGTGTATTCAAAATTGACTTTGACAACACGGTAATCAAGATAAGAAACTACTGTTACTTGGCAATTGAAAAGATGGATAACAAGGTCAGTGACGGCATGCCAGAGATTATATTTGGCATGCCATTGATTCGCCAGTACTGCCAGATATATGACATGGAAAATGAGCGAATTGGGTTCGCTTTAGCTAATGATGCGGGTGGTTTGGACTTGAATTGTACTGTGTTTTTATTGACTATTGTACTTGTGTATATAATAAAGCAATGATAATTTTAAATATTTATCCGCCCACAGTACTAAAAATAAAAAAAATGTCTCAGAAGCGGAAAACAATGCCCAGACCACATTTTTGTAAGAGGATTAGTGTAAGTTACTTATGTTCAGTCTATTAATAAGTCGAGTTCTGATAATTGATAAACTTTTAGAATTTATTAACAATGAGTAAGCTTAATAACGTTATCACTCTCGTGACGTATTAGTTTTTAGTTTTTCTCAAGTTCCTACTGTGTTTTTTGTTTTTACGGTAAGTCAGTCTAAGAGGGGGTAAAGAGGGATGGAAGGATGGAGGGGGGGGGAGTAGGTCAGAGTAGACAGAGGTTTGGCGGGGTAGAAAGTGGTAGCGCAGAAAGAAAAAGAAGAAGATGAAGAAGAAAAATAAAAAGAAAAACGAGAACAAGATAAGGGTTAAGAGCCAAGGCCAAAGCTATTTCCAAGGACTAGGGTCCAAGACCAAGTTAGAGTTAGAGCTAAGAATAGGGCTTTGCGGCTAGAGCTTTGGGGCTAGGACTTTGGGGCTAGGACTCTAGACTAGGGCTTTGAGGCTAGAGCTTTGGGGCTAAAACTTTGGGGCTAGGGCTCTGGGTTAGGGCTAGGGTTTTATGCAAGTTAATATAAACAATGTTGAGAGTACGTATCACTACTTTTTTATCTTCAAAAGACATTTTTGGGTTTTGTTATCAAACAAAAATGCATAGCATTTAATCAGCTACTCACAAGTTTAGCTATCAATACAACACATGGTTCTTCTGGTCTGAAAAGATAATTTACTACTTGATTTATTAGTTTTACAAGTTGCGTTAGACATTTTAAAAAAGCCTTTTAAATTTTTTTAAATGTTGTTTATAGCATGGTACTCTACAGAACTATATAAGCTTTAGAAAACTAATAATACTTGATCTGATATTTACTACGGTTACCATGCTTTCACAAAGTCTTGTTTTTAAATTTAAATTATTATACCCCAAAGTCCATTTTTTTAGTCCAGTTCTATAAATAAGAAGATTAGAATTTTTAAAACATTTATGAAACTGCTGTTCAGTCAACTCTGTATAGCTATTTTTAGAAAAAAAAGCTTAGGTCGCAGACTTGATCAAAGTTTTTTGAATTTGTAAAGTATAGTACAACTGTAGTACATAGTAGTTAAGGTAAGGCAGTAAAGCAGTAGTAGGTAGGGTAAAGAATTAGAGTGGTAAAAGAATGTTGGGTTAGAGTAGATCACATTAGGAACATTTGGGGTAGGGTAGGAAAATAACGAAAAGAAAATTGTTGTAGGATAGGGAAAAGTAATAAGAGTTCAGAGTACGACAGAGCATAGTAGGGCATAGCAGAGCAGGACAAGGCATAGCAGTGCAGGGCATAGCAGAACACAAAAAGGCATTGCGAGAGCAGGGCAGGGCAAAGGCAGGGCAAAGGCAGGGCAAAGGCAGGGCAAAGGCAGGGCAAAGGCAGGGCAAAGGCAGGGCAAAGGCAGGGCAAGGGCAGGGCAAAGGCAAGGCAAAGGCAGGGCAAGGGCAGGACAAAGGCAGGACAAAGGCAGGGCAGGGCAGTCTTTTCTCTTTTATTAGGATTTTTTTTAATTTGATCCTGATTTTTAAAACGTTTTTTTAAAAGTTATTTTTTGAGCGGTTTCCTGACCTCTATGATCAAATGGGGTTAATGTTTACTTGATTTACATAAGTCGACTTATTTTTTTGTAAATTTAAGCTTACAGATCACTTTAGGGTATCTTGTGGTATTTAAAGGGTTTAAAGTACACATTTTAAGGTTATTTTAAGTTTTGTCATCTTTTTTATCTCATTTTTGATCATTTTTGTTTCTTTTTTAAAAATTTATCTTTTGGCGGGAAATCCAAACATGAATTTTGAAAAATCGGTTTTTTGGCCGCGCCAAAACTATTTCAATATAAAATTGAATACTATTTATACCAAAACTTACTTACAATCTATCTTGCAGAGCCATGGACTCACTAGACCGCCTGCCGGCGGCCAATCACTATGTTAGGACAGGAGAACAGCAATCAACCAAACGGCCATCGATTTTTGATTTAATGCATGGTCAACCACAAATAGCACCAGTTCAAAATGGGTTAAATGGTGGGCTGAGGGTTGATCGAACACCAAGTTGTCGAGTTTCGGTTGTTAAGTTTGATGAGCCAGATGAAAAGGAGAAGAAACAGCCAAAAAAGTTTGGCTGGATCGAGGGAGTGTTTTTGAGGTAATTTTTTAAACTTTTAAAAAATGGTTAAGACTAAAGACGTATTTTACACTACTTTTTAATTATATTTTATTTTTTATACCTATGTTTACGTTTAAACTCCCTATTCTCCCAAAAAGTACCTTCTGCGAACATGTGCGGCATCTAGGGCGCAGGCCTTATTTTCCCTGTCTCTTCCTGATCCTCCTTCACCGGCCAAAATACTGTAAAACCAACAAATACTGCAATTCCAGATGTGTTCTAAACATTGTTGGTGTAATATTGTACATACGGTTATCGTGGATCACTGGACAAGCTGGGATTTTATTTGCGCAACTAATAGTGCTATTGGCATCGACTGTAACAACCATCACAGCCTTGTCGTTGTGTGCAATATGTACGAATGGTGAAGTTAAAGGTGGAGGCGCTTATTTTTTGGTATGTTTATTAGTTTTTGTTTTGTTTTTTATGATCTTTTGGTTATTTTAAATTTTTTGATTAAGTTGAGGTTTTTGGTTAGATGTCTATAATAATATCGTTTATAACTTGACGGAAATTGTATTTAGCTGTTGGATATTGTACTTGAAAGATGCGCAAGAATCATATTAACATTTTCAGAGTACTAATTTGTTTAAAGAATGTTCTTTTAGCCGGGTTTTTTAAAGATATTGTAGTAGGTATCGAGAAACTTGATGTTTCATTTCTAAGATTGTTCATAATTATTTTCCTCTTGAGATTAACGTTTAGATTTTAGGTTCAGAATATGTATCATAGCTTTGTGGATCTTTTGAGTATAAATTTAGTACACTCAAACGATTTTCTTCGTCTAAATCCTAACGATATTGTTGTAGATATCCAGATCATTGGGGCCGGAATTTGGAGGGCCGATTGGGATAATATTTTCATTGGCAAATGCTGTTGGTGCTGCTATGTACATTGTTGGGTTTGCGGAGACTTTGAAGGACTACATGAAGGAACAAGGATTCACCTTTCTGGATGGGGACATCAATGAGATCAGAGTTATTGGTCTAGGTAGGCTTATATAGTATTTTTTGATATCTCATTTTAACTTTTTTGTATTTTTGATGGTAGATATTTATTCAATAGGTATTTTTCTTTCTTCTGACATTAAATTAGTTTGAAGTCACATTTTATTACGTTTGAAAAATTAAATATTCATATTATAGTAGCCTGCACGGTCTTGATTTGCATTGTAATGGTTGGAACTGGCTTCGAAAGCAAGCTACAGATGGTTTTATTGGCCATAATGCTTGTCAGTTTTGTTGATTACTTTGGGGGAACGTTTGTGCCGCCATCTGAAGACAAGCAGAAGAAGGGCGTCACTGGATATTGTTGTAGGTATATTTACGTTTATTTGGCTTTTTTGTTTTTTAGTGGTATCTCAAAGTTATGGAGGAGTTTGGATAGTACAGACAGAGTGTTTTACTCAGTCTTAAAGTGCTGTAAATCTGTAGTCATCTGTTTCTGTGGGTATCAAATAAAGGGATGGCAATTGATTAAAATATATGTTAATATAGCTTGGTAAAGCCCTTATTTTCAGTAAAAACCCTTCAAGACAATATGTTTCTTCAATACCGTGATAATCATAACTTCTTCTCCGTCTTCTCGATATATTTCCCAGCTGCGACGGGTATTATGGCTGGTGCCAACATCTCAGGCGACCTAAAACGGCCAGAAAAAGCTCTACCTTTAGGCACTTTACTAGCCATTGCGTTTACTACCGTACTCTATTCAATCGTGATTTTTGTAGCCGGTTCTACCGTAATTCGCGATGCTGACGGTGTTACTATTCCTGTTGTTTTAAGTGCTGTTAATGGTACTATAAGCGGGCTGGTGGAAGAGAATGTTGTTGGACTAGCGACTGGAAGTTTGAGTGGTCAAGCTGCTATGGGTGGTATAATGAACCCTGCAGAAGCTATTCTATTTCGTAGTGTGGCTTCAGAAGCTGGTAATATTGGTAGTAGTGTAGAAGTGAATTTTTTGGATATTTTATACGAAACACCGGTGTTATCGTCCTATGTTAAGCCAAATTGTTCTTTGCACAACTCATGCGAATATGGATTGTTGAACTACTTTCAAGTGATGGAATTGAGCAGTCTGTGGGGACCATTAATCACTGCTGGCATTTTTGCTTCATCGTTGAGCTCTGCGTTGTTGTCATTGGTATGTTGGGGTTTGATGGTAATTTATCTTAGCTCTTCTTGCTTATATCCTTAATTTACTTTTGTTCCAGGTCAGTTCAGCCAAAGTTTTTCAAGCCGTATGTCAAGATGGTATCTTCCCATATGTCAAGCGGTTTTCTCAAGGATCACCACGTGACGGAGAACCAAGACGAGGCTACCTGCTTGTCTACATCATAGCAATGTTGATCATTCTTATTGGAGATCTGGACCTAATAGCACCAATTATATCAAACTTTTTTCTCGGGTCATACGTACTGGTTAACTATGCTTGCTTCGACAATTCGTTTGCTCAGAATCCGGGCTTTCGACCAGGATTCAAGTACTACAACAAATGGGTATCACTAGCCGGGTCTATCTTGTGCGTTACTGTCATGTTCATCATCTCATGGTTGACGGCGTTGATCACATTTTTATTTTTTGGACTGCTGTTTGTGTATATATTGAAACGGAGGCCTGGTATGTTGTGTTAAGTTGGGTTTTGCATTGAAACTGATGGCTTTATAACATTTTTCAATTAAAAAATATTTTAGGTATGAACTGGGGAGCCTCACCACAAGCCCATTGCTACCGTAACGCCCTTGCCTCACTGACCCGACTAGATTCAATCGAACATCACGTCAAGAATTATCGACCACAAATCATGTTAATGACCGGAAACCCGATGGAACGGGGGTGGATTGTAGACTTTGTCAGTAATATCACTAAAGATACTTCTTTACTACTGTGTGCTAATGTTATTACGGTAAGCTTTGGTTAGGTTTCAGTGTTTTGCGGTTTTTGGATGGTTTGGAAGGAAAATTGCAAGAACTTTCTTTACAAAACAAAAAATGGCAAGAACTTTCTTTACAACGCTCAAAATGGCAAGAACTTTCTTTACAACACAGAAAATGGCAAGAACTTTCTTTACGGAACAAAAAATGACAGAACTTTCTTTACAAAACCAAAAAGTGCAAGAATTTTCTTTACAAAACAACAAATGACAAGAACTTTCTTTACAACGCTCAAAATGGCATGAACTTTCTTTACGGAACAAAAAATGACAGGAACTTTCTTTACAAAACCAAAAAGTGCAAGAATTTTCTTTACAAGACAAGAAATGGCAAGAACTTTCTTTACAACACGGAAAATGGCAAGAACTTTCTTTACAAAGGGAAAAATGGCAAGGATTTTCTTTACAAAACAAGAAATGGCAAGAACTTTCTTTACAAAGGGAAAAATGGCAAGGATTTTCTTTACAAAACAAAAAATAGCAAGAACTTTGTTTACAAAAAAAATGACGAGAACTTTCTTTACATGGCTTAAAATGGCAAGAACTTTCTTTACAACGGGAAAAATGGCAAGAACTTTTTTTTAATTTTGTTTTTTATGGATTTTGTTGCTTATTTCACGACTTACTGTAACTTTTGTCATCATTTTTAACTTTAGAGAGTATCAAAAGAAGAAAACCCGAGTGTAACTCTTCAAAACCTGAACGAACACTATCAACAATACCTAAAAGATCAAAAAATCAAGGCATTCTTTGTGAGTACGATAAATGAAACGATGAGAGAAGGAGCCCTTCAACTGATTCGAACGGCCGGTTTAGGAAAAATGAAGCCGAACGTGCTGTTCCTGGGCTACAAAGAGCATTGGCTAACGGAAGGAAAGGCTTATATCAAGGAAGTTGAGAACTATGTTCAGTGTATTCAGTAAGTTTTACAGTATTCTGCTTTACTCTAGTCTTACAATACGCTACCTTACTTTAGTCTTACAGTATGCTACCTTACTCTAGTCTTACAGTATGCTACTTTACTCTAGTCTTACAGTATGCTACCTTACTCTAGTCTTACAGTATGCTGCCTTACTATAGTCTTACAGTATGCTACCTTACTCTTCTCTTACAGTATGCTATCTTACTGTAATCTTACAGTATGTTATCTTATTTTAGTCTTACAGTATGCTGCCTTACCCTAGTCTTACAGTATGCTAACTTACTTTTATAATGATGCTTGAACTTTAAGTACTACTGTTATTCAATTACAGAGACGCATTCGACGCCAAAATGGGGGTGATCATCCTCCGCCGAAACCAACAACTTCAGCTGGATTCCTTCTACACAAACCAGCCCAAAGACGACTCACAAGAAATGAGTATAGCCACAATCGAATCACCAACTTCCAGCTTCAAGAGGAAGATCAAAAAGTCCACGATCGATGTTTGGTGGTTGTACGATGATGGAGGTCTGTCACTACTAATACCACATTTGTTAACCTACCCAAAGTCATATCTGGAGCAGGGGAAACTAAGGTTGTTTACGATATCCTACAGTAATCAAGTGACAGAAGCTCAGAGGGATATGATGATATTGATGAAGAAGTTTAGGCTAAAGTTTAAGGATATTATCGTACTGTCGGATGTTGGCATGAAGCCTCAGCATAGCACGTAAGTTTTGTTGGTACTAGCTTGGGACCTTGGAATTGTTTGGGCCTTGAAATGATTTATGGTATTAAATTAGGCTTGGAAGGGGTAAGGGTGTCTAATAAAGTTAATCTTTTGTGCGGAGTAATTTTTGGAGCAGGGGGGTGGTGTGACCCTGCCCAATTTTTTTTGGAAAATTGTCTTTTTTTAAAAAAAAATTAAAAAAATTTTTTGTTTTTGTTCTTCCCTCCCCCCCCCCTTTATCAAAAATTACCCCGCCCATTACTCCCTATTATAAAAAGACCTTATTCCAGCCTCCACGACTACAATGTCGAGCTAAAAGACTTCAGAGGTGAAGAACGAGGCATGATAACGGATATCGAATGGAAATGTCATGAAAAGAAGACCAATAAACATTTGAGGATATCAGAGGTACTACAAGAACATTCGAAGAACGCTGATTTGGTCGTACTGTAGGTTGATTTTTAACTTTTTTGGGAAAACTTCAGGGATGTTGGATAGTGTTAGAATAGTAGGATAAGGCAATTAAAAAAAATTTTTTTGGGCGTGGTAATTTTTCAAAAAAAATTTTTGGGGGTGGCTATTTTTTTATGGTGGATATATCTTTCCTATTAAAAACTTTTTGTTCAGATCTATGCCAGTACCCAGAAAGCACATGTCAAGCGTGTTGTACTTGTCATGGCTTCATCAGCTCACCAAAAATCTCCCACCAACTCTATTAATAAGAGGAAATCAGGAATCGGTGCTGACTTTCTACACCTAAATGTATTTAGTTTTAAATTTAATAAAGTATATAGAAGTTCAAGGCTGTTTACAGTGCCGAACTGGGTTATCTTGGCTTAAAGATTAAGAGGTGGGGAAAAAAGAAGTAAAGGCAAAAAAAATTGTTTTTAGAAATGGTAAGTCAGTTTTAAGCGGTGTGTGAGGGGGAATGGGGATGAATCTACCCCGTCTCCAGAAAAAAATCTCTACTGACGACTCTGTATATATAGTTAAAAAAAAAACAAATTTAAAAAGCTTATTTTATTTAAAAAAACAATCATTTTGTTATGATGTAAATCTTGTGTACACAGCTACGCGATATGCATAAAATTATCTGAATTTAACAGAGTTCAGTTGTTATTGCAAAGTATTTTTAATTCAAAAGTTTATAGAAGAAAAATTATGAAAAATTAAATGTGGTTTTCAGGGCCGGGAGGGGTACTTTGGGTTGAGGGTGGGCGTGTAAATGTGCCGGGCCGTGACTTGGGTTGCGGCCCTTAGCACACATTTGTGGGCCGGCCCTTTTCAAATTTGGTTCGGCTCTTAGTGGTTCTTTTTCAGGGCTAGCTAGAGACAGGTACAAAAAAAAATAAAAAAAAACTAATAAAAATTTTTTAATATTAGCAGGAAGGATTTTTTTTTCATTTTTTTTTAAAAATTAACTACAGCGAAACCTCTATATAACAAATCGCTAGGGGAATTAAAATTTGTTCGTTATGAAGAGGTTTCGTTATAAAGAGGTTTAAAATTCACTGTGTCATGATATATAGCTGGGGATTCAAAAGCTTTTCGTTATACAGAAATTTTGTTATATAGAGGTTTCTTATACGGAGGTTCCAATGTACGTTTGGATTTGAAAAAAAATTTAAGGATTTTTTTCATACCTCTCATAGGCTTACAATTTTTTAAAAATTTCTTTGATGTTTTACTCTTTTATAATACAATCTTACTGCATCTTGCGAAAAATCATCGTCTCTGTTTCCTCCTTTCTATCTCAATTTTCGTAACTTAGATATCTGTTATACGTATATCAACATGAGGTTTAATAACCTAACGCGACAAAATAACAACCTTCCCAAATTTATGACCGATAAAACGCATGTCCTTTTTCAGTGATATTACCTTTACAAGACTATATTTATAGGTTCTTATAATAGCTCTTCATTGATTTCTCCGATTTTGTTACCTTTAATTGCAATTTGCTAAACTTTAAACTTTGCGATTTATTTGTGTTTATATAATAAACGAGGGGTTTTCTAGCGTTTCGAGAGCCAAGTGTTTGTAACCCGAAAGGTTGTGTTCGGATCGCGCTTATCTGTTGTTTGATGTTTGCTCAAGATTTATAATTATCGGCTTTGAATGAAAATTCGATCATCTTATAATTATTTGATTAGGCATTGTTGGGGCGATCGTATTGTTTCATAAATATTTGATTGTTTTGAGTCGGGGGTTGGTAAAATGATTTTTAAGTTTTGGGTAGGGATTTTAAAGTTTAATAAAATGGTGGGGGGTGAGCTTGAGTAGCGTACACGAGAACTGGGGTAAAGATAGTCTACTATATAGTAAGGTAGGGAGTTGGGGTAAGGTCTATTATATAGTATGATAGAGTACGGTAGGGTAGAATAATGCAGGACAGGGCAGGTTGAGGTAGAACAAAGTAGATTAGGGCAGGGCAGGGGTTGACAAGGCCGGTCTAAGTCTAAGTAGCGCACGGTAGAGTAGGATATAGTAGGGTAGGGTAGGGTAGGGTAGGGTAGGGGAGGGTAGGGTAGGGTAGGGTAGGGTAGGGTAGGGTAGGGTTGGGTTGGGTTGGGTTGGGTTGGGTAGGGTAGGGTAGGGTAGGGTAGGGTAGGGTAGGGTAGGGTAGGGTAGGGTAGGGGAGGGTAGGGTAGGGTAGGGTAGGGTAGGGTAGGGTAGGGTAGGGTAGGGTAGGGTTGGGTTGGGTTGGGTAGGGGAGGGTAGGGTAGGGTAGGGTAGGGTAGGGTAGGGTAGGGTTGGGTTGGGTTGGGTAGGGTAGGGTAGGGTAGGGTAGGGTAGGGTAGGGTAGGGTAGGGTAGGGTAGGGTAGGGTAGGGTAGGGTAGGGTACAGTACGGTAAGGTAGGGCACAGTAAGCTACAGTAAGAGTTCTGTCAGACAGTAACGTTTAAAAAACTTGATGATATACTGTATTCAAATTTAAAATCACTTCCTACTTCCAGCTTTTAATGATACAACACTGCCTAGCCCTAACCATAGCTCTTTATTGGGTCAAATACTCCTTATGTCAAGAAGAACAAGATATAATAGTGACTACAGCCGCTCCTACAGAGTTTTTGCCAGAGTTTAATGTAGCTTCAGTAGACAGTTTTGATCCATTAGCTGAGGATTCAGTAGCACCTAAGCTGTATAATGAAGTGGCAGCGAATTCTAGCGACATAGTTCAGGACTTCACTGATGAGCAACTAGCTAGAGGTGAAGAGACGAGCAGTTCTATGCCGAATGTCAATACTACACTGATTCATGTTCATGTGGTAAAGTTTTTTGAAAATTTTTTTTAGTTTTGAAATTTTTTTTCGAAATTTTAAAAAATTTAATTTTTTTTGAAATTTTGAAATTATTAAAAAATAAAAAAACTATAGACCCCCAATCTAAAAATGACATTTCCACAAAAATTTCAGCTCTGGCGCCACGGTAACCGAGCACCAGAAGAATTTCCAGCCAATATAGGCAACGACATCAGATCGACCTGGATCGGTGGTGAAAACGCCCTAACCAAAAAAGGAATAGAACAAGCTACTCGTCTTGGAGAGTTACTGAAAGAGCGTTATTATCGACTACTTTCTGGCTTGTATTACCCTGAAAAGTTTTATATCAGAAGTTCTGACAAAGATCGTACCTTGATGAGTGCTCAAGCAGTTTTTAATGGATTGGTCAGTAATCAGGACTATGGCAGTGGATTGAAGGTGTTTCCTGTTCATACTGTTGCTAATGAGAGGGATAATGTAAGTATTTATTTATAAAGACGAGTTTTAGCATTGAAAGCTTGATTTTTGCGATATTGTGGTAGGTTGAATAAATAATGAGGTATATCTCTCCAAGGAAACTCTAGGTTTATCTACCTTTTTTAACAATGACTAAGACTAAAATAAGGATTAATTTGATACCTAATTCAAAGAACTATGTTTGCTGATTTCTTAGATATAGCTTTGGTTCTCTCCGATATTGTTGTAGGTGCGTGAATGTAAAATGAGGCATAAAATTCCCCAGTCAATTTGTATGTTTATTACGTTTATTTTTATACATTCATCAAATAAGGATTAATTGATACCTAAAGAATTTGTTGCTAATTCTTTGAGGTATACCTCTAAACTTTCTGATATCGTTTTAGGTGTTCAAAGATAATTTTAAAATTTAAATTTGACGTGAAGCTTTAAACAAATGTCTTAATATTATAAGTAATGATTTGTAAGACCTTTTAATTATTATTTGGTATATAATTATGCTTTGTTTAATTGAATAAAGGCTTGCAATATTGTTTTAGATGATTGAGGACGTTTATAAAATTAAAAACCAAGGTTATACCTAAAATTTGTGGCCTTAAATGTTTGATGTATATAATTTAAAACTTTATTTAATATTACCTTTGTAAAAAATTTAATTTTGCTTGAGCAAGTTAATATATTTTACAGTTATTCAACTTCAACATTGAATGCCCAGCTCGCCAACAAGAACAACATCGTGTCTTCACCGTTCCAGAGTATGGCTTCCCATCTTTAGCTGAAAAAACCTCAAACTTTGTTAAATGGCTACAACAACAGACTGAACAACCTAATCTAACTTATCAAGATGTCTACAAAACTTGGGATTTTCTATATTACACTAGAGCTGATGATAGGACATGGCCAATCTGGGCTACCGATGAGGTTTATAATCAATTGGAGATGATCAATAACAGGCTTAACTATGGTCTTATGGCGACGCCAAAGCTTCTCAGGCTTAGGTCTGGGCCAGTTTTGAAGGAGATGAGTGAAAGAATGATGAATATCGCCAGAGGCAGTTATAAAAGAGAAGAAAAGTTCTTTGGTTACTCAGCTCATGATCATACTTTGGCATTTCTGTTGAAGATATTGGGAGTCAGCTTCTTGAGATGGCCTGAACCGACGAGTGCATTGGTTTTTGAGCTTCACCGGCGAGAAGATAATGAACATTTTGTTAAGGTGAGGATGGTATACGGTATATTTTAGAGCGTTGGAATGGTAGTATTTATGTACTGCAAGGTAAAGCAACTGGTAGGGTAGGGTAGGGTAGGGTAGGGTAGGGTAGGGTAGGGTATGGTAGGGTAGGGTAGAGTAGAGTAGGATAGGGTAGAGTAGAGTAGGTAAGGTAGGAAAAAGCACGGTAAGGTAGTGTAGTGTAAGATAATGACGTTTTAAAACAACGTATACCTCGCAGTAACATGAAGCTATATCCCAGCACTTGCAGTCATTTGTTAGGTCGTTTTACACCGAGGCAAATATGATATAAAACCATAATATTACATAAGAAAAAGTTGCGTAATACGATTTTTTGCAATTTCTCTGAGGCCATTAAAATACATCATCAGTAATGGCGTTAAATTTTTGTACATTGAACGGCTTTTGCAATGGGTATTATAAGAGTATGGTAGGGTACAGTAAGAGGTTTTTAAGGAATTATAGGCTGGGGTAGGGTAATGCGGTTAAGGTTAGGTTAGGGTAGAAGATACTATAAGGTAGGGTAAAATACGACGTCTTAAACGCTACGATTTTAGATATTTTATCGAAATTACACAGCCGAGAGCTTTCAAGAGATAAGACTTCAAGTTTGTCATGGTGATTGTCATTTACAAACCTTCCTCGCTTATCTACGGCCGTTCATAACGAATAATTGGGCAAAAGAGTGTGAATTTGATGAAAAGCGTGACAAAAGTTCGCAGAATTTTCCAATTCTACTGTGTAAGTTAGGGTTTTACAATGTTAGTTAAGGTCACTTTTACTATTAATTTGCTTTACAGTACATGAACTTACTGTAATTTACTATAGCTAAAATTTATAAAAATATTTTAAATTTTTCAGACGTAGCAATAGCCCAATCAGTTCTACTACTAGGTGTAGCTGTACTATTCGCTGTTATGATCGCACGAGCCTTTAATCGAAGCCGAATTGTGAATCCGTTGGAGAAAATTGACTATTAATAATGTTGTTGTACATAGTAATAAAGCTTTAAAATTTTTTTTTTAGGTTTTTGAAAATTTTTAGTCAATAACATGGTTCGCGCAGGCTGCAGGAAGCAGTTTTTTTTTAAAATGGCAAGAATTGTATTTACGAATTACAAAATAGTAAGAACTTTCTTTACAAAGCAAAAAATGGCAAGAACTTTCTTTACAAGACATAAAATGGCAAGAACTTTCTTTACAAAACAAAAAATGGCAAGAACTTTCTTTACAAGACATAAAATGGCAAGAACTTTCTTTACAAAATAAAAAATGACAAGAAATTTCTTTCCAGACACAAAAAAGTTAGTGTAACCAAAATAGCCATAAAAAAGTTAAATTGCTTAGTTTACCACTGTAATTTCTACGTAATAGGCTTATTTTAATTGATTTCGTACAAACAAAAACCAAATCAAATATGACTTGTTTTTTACGACATATGCGAAACGGCTTTTCATGGGAATACGAAAAGGTCGCTGTGAATCAGATGTTTGAATGGCTTAAAGCGGTTTTGTGATAAAGTCACGGTTTTGTTTTGCTATTGGGATCTGGGAATATGAGCAATGTCATAGTCTAAAAACGTATGGCCATTATTATATTGTAAAGAAAGTACTTGCCATTTTTGTATAGTAAAGAAAGTTCTTGCCAATTTTTGTTTTGTAAAGAAAGTTCTCGCCATTTTTTATCTTGTATTTGTTATTTTAAATTTTTTTAAAATTATTATGATGAATATAATTTTAATGCTGAACTTACAAAATGTTGTTTTTTTTTGTTTGCACAGCCATTTTTCGACTAAAAAGTATATTTAAAGTCGGCGTTCTGGCAAGGTCAAATGAAATCTTATGAATCAATGCCATTTTCTTTGGTGGCTTTTGTTGACCACAGTTAAATTTGGGTTTTTTTAGGCTTTTTTAAGCCTAAAGCTTTTATATTTGATCATTTTATTGGACTGTGTTTTATTATTTTGTCATAAAAAGTCTTGTCGTCAATTTGCACTGGGCTACATTGTCAGAAACGACAAAACTTTTTTTAAAAATTTTTTTTTTATTTTTTGGTGTTTATAGTTACTGTACGGTAAATTCACGTTGAAATCACACCGCTCATTATATTATTTCCGTTTTGCGCATTAAATTAAAAAAACAGAAAAGAAGAAGAAAAAGAACATGACGGTGTTACACGTTGAGGACGCTATTATAACACAATATATCCGAGTGGTTTTGCGCGTGTAAACAAGAAAAAAATAGAGACGTCTTTATATATTGTTGACCAGTTTCTCTTCAATTGTTTCAAGTAAAGGATGGTAATATGAGAATAGAGTAGTGTTATCAATGGGCTGTGGTTTGTAAGCAGGGGGCTTCAATTTTGGTCTAGTAGAAGGTTGAGGTAGTTTGTGGGTGAAAGAGGGCCTTAAAAAGTATAAGCAGAAAATGATGATTTTAGCTAGCTTTAACTCAAAGCTCTAGCCCACAGCCCTAGCTCAGAGTCCTAGCCCCAAAGCCCTAGCCCCAAAACCCTAACCCAGAGCCCTAGCCTAGAACCCTAGCTCAGAGCCCTAGCCCAGAACCCTAGCTCAGAGTCCTAGCTCAGAGTCCTAGCTCAGAGTCCTAGCTCAGAGTCCTAGCTCCAAAGCCCTAACCCAGAGCCCTAGCCCAGAACCCTAGCTCAGAGCCCTAGCCCAGAACCCTAGCTCAGAGTCCTAGCTCAGAGTCCTAGCTCAGAGTCCTAGCTCAGAGTCCTAGCTCCAAAGCCCTAACCCAGAGCCCTAGCCCAGAACCCTAGCTCAGAGCCCTAGCCCAGAACCCTAGCTCAGAGCCCTAGCTCAGAGTCCTAACCCGAAGCTCTATCCCAGAGCCCAGACCAGAACCTACACTAGAGTCTTTACATATAGTCCTAGGTCAGAGCCCTATCCTAGAGTCCCAGCCCCGTCTCAGAGTCCAGAGACCTAGCCCAGGCCCTAGCCCTGAATTTTAGCCTAGAACCTTAGCCCAGAGCCCTGACCCAGAGCCCTAGCCCAGAGCCCTAGCTCTAGTCCGCCAGTCATACCGCTAGTCCTAGTTCTGGCTAGACATGAGGAACGGACCGAGCCCAAATTGGAAGCTCGGCCCAATCTAAATTTTTTTCAAGACCAGTTTGGCCCTTTGAAAGCTTGTTCCTCATGTCTAGTCCTAGCCCTAGCTCAAGCTTTAACTCAAGCTGTTGTCTGAAGTTACCATGCCCTACCTTAACTTATTTTGTTCTATTGTTGTGTTTTTCATTTTTACGTTACTTTTTTTTATACCGTAGCCAGGGCCGGACGCGAGGGGGGGGAGGGGGGGGAGGGGGGGGTACCCCCTCCCCCAGAAAAAAAATTTTTTGAAAAAAGTTGAACGTGGTCCCCCCCCCCTGTGGATTTTCGGAAAAAAAAATTTCGCAAAAAATCGGCACTCCCTGTGCCGATTTTTTTTGGACCCCCGCCCCCCAGACCAAAAGTCCCCGCCCGGCCCTGACCGTAGCTTTTTCTAGTTCTACTTTAGCTTTGTTCTAGTCTTTTCGTGGCTTTACCTTACCTATAAAAAGTTTAGCTCTAGCCCTATCCCAACCTCAGTTTAATTTTTAGCTCCGGCTACCAATTGCAGCCTTCTCAGATTTTCCTTTATCTCTGCTCCAGCCACACAAATCTTGCTTTAAGTTTACAGTATCTTCAAATTCCTCAAATATTTTCAATTTTTTCAAAAATTATGCGTAAATGTGATGCGGCGATTTGGAGCGCGCAAATCGTTTATTTCCCTCGAGGCCGTCAGCAGTTTGAGCCTTGCTGGGGCCAGCTGTTGCAAACAAGAAGATCGAAACACTTTATGCAAAACACGCGCCCCCTCCTTCGACTTTTCGCTAAAATACCGTGGTATTGTTCGGACGCGTGAAAATTAACCATCTCGGCCTTCAAATAGTTACCGCCGCTTCTTCGTTAATTTGTTACTTTTTCGTTTGAAATTGTTGTTGGAGGGGTGGTTTTGGAATTTTGGGAAGGGTTTTCTTATCTTTTACGGTATGATGAAGCAGGATAGCGTAGGGAAGGGTAGAAACGGCTAGAGTAAATAATTACTTTTTTTTGAGTTACAGCGTACTTTTGGGTAGGGTAAGGCATTTTTTAGCAAGCGGTTGTAATTTTGAAACAATACAAAAACAAGTTAAGTAGGGGGAAGGGGGCTTTAATAAAGCCTGTGTAAGGTACAGTAGGGCAGAGAAAGATATATTAGGGTAGGGTAGGGTAGGGTAGGGTAGGGTAGGGTAGGGTAAAGTAGGGTAGGGTAAAGTAGAATAGAGGAGGGTAGAAAAACAAGAGCTAAAGCTAGCCTTTGTTGACTGTAACTTTCTAGGACAAAGAGCCTTTTAGAGCAGCGTATCTAACTTTGTTATGCAATGTTTTCAAAAGCTGCTTTCGAAGTAATTGGACACAGAAATTAGTTGGTCTAACTTTTTGTTTTTTATGACTTATTTTTTCTTTACGTACTATATAGCATCACCTTTAAATTTTTTAAGTTTTTTACACGTACTATATAGTATCATCCTATATTTTTTGAAATTTTTTTTATACACACTACATAGTATTGTGCTTAATTGCATGTATTATCCCTTATAAATTTTCAAATTTTTCTTTACGTACTATATAGTATCACCGTTACTTTCATATAGTATCACCTTCATTATTCATACTATTCAGACCTAATAATGCCCCAATTTTGTTGTTCATCTCGTGGCAGAACGCATTAATTAACATTCTTATTAATATTTGGAAGAAGCGTGTGTTCAACTCCATTTTTGTTCGTTTTTAGGGTCGAGTGCATCAAATAATACTATCGGGTTGGTGAAGAAGATGCGCGAGTGAAGAAAAAACAAAAAAGGATGTTAAGTTTCCTGCGACGACCTCCGGATCCGAAGCAGGAAGACAAGAGGACTCAGATCTTTGGCTTCGTTCTTATCGCCAATTTACTGATAATTGGCGCATGTCTGATCGTTTGGAAGGTTAATGCTATCAGTGACGTAAGTTGGGATTTAGGATTTTTTAGAGTTAGTTTTAGGCTTAGGCTTAGGCTTAGGCTTAGGCTTAAGCTTAGGCTTAGGCTTAGGCTTAAGCTTAGTCTTATGCTTAGGCTTAGGCTTAGGCTTAGGCTTAGCCTTAACCTTAACCTTAGCCTTAACCTTAGCCTTAGCCTTAGCCTTAGCCTTAGCCTTAGCCTTAGCCTTAGCCTTAGCCTTAACCTTAACCTTAGCCTTAGCCTTAGCCTTAGCCTTAGCCTTAGCCTTAGCCTTAGCCTTAGCCTTAGCCTTAGCCTTAGCCTTAGCCTTAGCTTTAGCCTTAGCCTTAGCCTTAGCCAATTCAAATTTTCAGGTGAACATAGCCTGTGCCATTTTAATTTTCGCAGCATTAGCCGGACTGGGAGTTTTATTTTGTATGTCATGCCTTTTGTTTTGTATGGTCAGTAAAGAGGATGCGGATCGTAAGCTTGACATACAAACCGTATATCCAACACCAGAGTTCACTTACTTTAATGGTACTATGCTCAATCAGCTGAATGAAGAAAATGGCAAAGATGCTTTTCCTGGCAGTGGTAAGGACTTTGTTTACAAAACAAAAAGTAGCACGAACTTTCTTTACAAAACTTAAAATGGCAAGACCTTTCCTTATAAAACAAAAAATTGCAAGAACTTTCTTTACAAAGCAAAAAATGGCATAAACTTTCTTTACAACACAAAAAATCGCAATAACTTTCTTTATAAAGCAAAAATTTGATAATTAGGTAACAAAATTCCCTTTTTCAGTATTCTCAATGTTATCCACAGCGCCAGCGGACTCCAAGGCGCAGAGCTTGGAAACGGTCTCATCAAACCACTCAATTCTTTGGCCCAAAAACAAGCCTCCGGCCGCTTTGAGCGCCAACAACACAAACAATCAGTCGGACTATCTACGTATTTATTAGCTTATGACGTGTATTACTATTTTTTTAATTATTTTAATTAATATTTTAATTTTTAAGCACTATATAATGTTAAAAATGGCAGAAAAGAAGGATAGTAAACGAATTTTTAGGCTTTGAGTTATAGGTGGACGGTTTTTTCGCTATAGCTAGAAGGGGGGGGAGGAGAGATTAAAATATTTTTGAATAGTCTTCAAAAGGTCAATACCTATCTGTTTTTTAAAATATCTAAGATTTTTGACCCTTCCCTACCCTAATATGGCTTTTAAAAGCTACCCTTCTCCCATACCCGAGAATCTCGACCCTGACCATTTCAAACTGATTTTTTTGTAAAAAACCCACGCCCTATCCCAAACAATCTCACGCCGTTTCAAGAATAATAATTATTTTATCATTTAGGCACAATTGTAACATAATATTTACAATAATAAATAAATTAAGAACGAATGTATCTAGAGTGCTATGATGATGTATGTTGATATCGTTTCTTCCCGTGTTTCGGCTTCATACCAGTGAGGTTTCGTTACATACACAACTGAAAACATTAAATTATGATAATACGCCTTATTTTGGATTACTGTATAAAATTTTGGAATATTGGTTCCACTGGTGCTGATTTTATAGCTTTTTTAGTCGCCGTAGTCCTGAGCTTTCAAAAATCAAAACAAGTTAAAAAAAAAGTAAAATACGAAAGCTTGAGTCAATAGTCTAAATACAAATCAAACTTACACTTACATTTGAGATTCCCGTCGTATCGTATTCGAGTCGATTGAACCATTCGTATGGCGTGTCAGTTCGACAGTGATGGTCTCGTTGCCCATTGAGCTTTTCCAACGTTTAGAGCGGTTCTTTTCTCTGAAAATAACATTTTAATTAATTTGGATCACATAGAAGTCAATATTTTGCCATAAGAAGCCAAAAAACATCATTTTTTAAAGTTTTGACAAATTTGACGAAATGTCACAAAATTATTGGATTTTTTTATAATGTGACATTCCGTTCCAAAAATTGACTGAATTTAAAAACCAAAATCAACACGTTGTATTTTACAATTTTTTAAATATTTTTTATCTTTTTTGTCATAATCAATAAGTTTAGTGACATTTCGTCACACTAGTAGAAACTTTGTGACATTTCGCCAAATCAATAAAAAATTTATAACTTCATGTCACATCAGCTTTATATTACTTCAAAACCACATAACTTACCGTGATTTGTAATTACTGTGTAACAATTTCACAAAAACTGCTAGTATTGGAAACTGTAGCATGTACAGTCCGTACAAAAATGCATCGGCGTACAAGTACATGATGGCCATGTCACCATTTTTACCCCGCAAACCCGTAAACTCGTCTACAACTTGTAGAACATAATTTGGCATGTTTAGTAGTAACTGTGTTGTCGCCAGTACTAGACATCGTCGTATTGCTTGACGACGTCGACGATGAGCAGCTTTCATTCCTTCTTCCGATTGAATTTTTAACGATATTGGTATGGATCCCATTCGGGTTTTGGCTGCTACTGATTGCGTAGAGATTGTTGTGAACCTGAAAAAGGTTGGGGAATGAGTAAACATGTTTTAAGTACATAACAGTCAGTCGTAGTAACTATACTAAGCTTAAAAGGCAAGGCAAGGCAAGGCGAGGCAAGGCAAGGCAAGGCAAGGCAAGGCAAGGCAAGGCAAGGCAAGGCAAGGCAAGGCAAGGCAAGGCAAGGCAAGGCAAGGCAAGGCAAGGCAAGGCAAGGCAAGGCAAGGCAAGGCTTTTCAAGTGGTATGAATGAGCCACTTTATTTATGCCCTAACTTTTTTAACAAACAGCCACATCCTTAATTTTTCTTTTTAATAATATGCCATTATGTCCATTAACTATGCCATAAACACGTTTTTTCAAATTTACAATATTTCGAAAGTTACAGTACTTCTATCGCAACCTACTTTGTTGTGATTTTCTAATTTTTTAAATTAAACTTTTAAAAAACCTGATATCACAAATATTACTATCAGATCAACGTATTTTACATTTCAATAGTACACAAAAATCACATGTTCTATAACTTTTGCTATTTGATCTTTGATATACTAGCCTTACCACTTGCTTTCCCGTGTGAACATAAGAACAGCAAAGTCGGTGAGAACTGTAATTACGAATGGCACCATGTAGGTCCACAAACTCTCAGCAGCCGCAATCCATTTGTACAACTCGGGATTGATTAATGTTAGGTCGACTGAACAATAGGTCGCTTCCATATTGTCACCCGTACTCGGTATACGGTGCTCTGTCATCACCATTGGAGCCCATATCTGAAAATTGCAATATTTTTTTTTAATTGATAATACAAAAACTAATTTTAACTTAAAAAGGCAGTTTTTAGCTAGTTTTTGAAATTGGACGAAATGTCACAAAAATTATTGGAAAAAATATTTTGTAAGATTTCGTCAAACATAAATCATAAAAACATAAATAACGTCTTTTAGCACAAAAAACTGCCATTATAATGAGTAAAACAAGTTTTTTCATTATTTTATAACTTGTAACGAAACGTCACAAAAATTATTGGAAAAAATATTTTTTGACATTTCGTCTCTAATTTACAAAAAAAAACTAAAAATAAACAAAATATCAATGGTTTTGCTTATCGAAGCCTTGGTTTTTCAAACATAAATACTACGTATAACATAGTAGATTTGTAAATAGTACGTATATTATAGTAGCTGCACTTACCTGTGTCATTAAGGACATGAAAATGGTAAATATTAATAGTTTTTTCGAGTCGGTTAAAAATAGCAAATGCCCTTTTTTGGACCGGTGAATCGAAAAGAATATGTGGGCAAAACGTTGAGTGAACATCATGACCCATAACCAGTTGACACAGCACATCGTGGCATTGGTGAGGAAGGCGGTTAGGCGGCACATGAAACTCCCTGAAATTTTAAAATTAATAAAAAATTTAAAGAAAGTGTTTTTAGTATAAAAAGTCGTATTTTAGGTTTTTTACAATAGCTAACGCTTAAAAATGCGGTTTGATTTGCTAAAAAGAGCGCTTTCTCTAAGCGGATTTGAACTTTTTTTGATTTTCGACATTTTCAATCTAATGTAACTCTTTCACAAATTGAGACAAAAACTTGAAAACTTCTATGAATAATGTATTTTGTATGCTTTACTAAACGAATTACCTAAATTTTCTAAAAACATTTTTTTTTATTTTAAAAAATTTTTTATTATTCTTCTATAGAGTCTCGTTGAAACTACTGTAATATCGAATTAAACTTAAAACTTAAAAAGTTATTTAAACTACAAGATAGGCAATAAAACGCTTTACTATGTCACCAATTGTTGTGTCCTTAGCTATTTTTTGCAAAAAGTTATAACAAAAACTGTCAGCCTACCATTCATGAATTTGTAGCTATCCGAGAACAAATTACAAATAACCGTAGTCAAATTGATCAAATCCAACACTATCATTGGTGTCAGAAAATGAAAGTAGTTGCTCTTCTTGTACTTTGTCAACATTGTATATAAAGCATACAGTAGCGTAGGTACGGTCAGAGATGATATTACTAGGATCATCCACCAGAGAAACTGTGAGACTGAAATCCATAGTTGAAGGACATATTGCTGAGCAGCTGCATCAATTTCAATCGATGATGAGGTTGTTATGTTGTCGTGTGTTTGATTCTCCATTGAAGGGAGGGTACGACAATGGTGTAGAGTGATGTTGGATCTTGTAGTAGTATTGTATGTACTGTTTCTAATTCATAATATTGTAGATAGGTCGGGACTCTATAAAGAAATATTATTTTTCGGGCAAATGGGTCTTACCACGATTGTTTTCGCGGTTTAAAAAAAGATAGGTAAGGTAAGGCAAGGTAGGGCATAATGGGGGTAATAGAGTAGGGTAGAGTAAGATCGGGCAAGATAGGATAAGTAGCTAACAGTAGAGTGGGGTAAGGTAGAGTAGGGTAAGTTAGAGTAGAGGAAGGAAAAGTGGTAAAAAATAGAAAAAATTAATGTCATTTCTATTCATCTCCCCCCCCCCTTCCTAACAAAACATTAAAAACTTCATAAGTAAAACACTTGTAAAGGATATACTTCTGCACAAATTAGTGTTATCATGAGAATTACGTAGAATGAAATCTCGACTTTATTAATTTGTCATACAATTCTGCACTTTCTCGATAAGCCAATACATCCAGCTTTAGTCAGTGATAAAATAAAGCGAATAAAACATAGCAAAAAGTCATAAAAAATACAAAAAAATTTTAGGTAACAATAATTTCTAAAGGGACGTAGAGTAGAGTAAAGCAGGGTAAAATAAGAATTAATACTACGGAGTAGGGCATATGAAGGAAAGAGAAGGTACGGTAGAATGGGATAGGGTAAGATAGAGAGTGTAGGATAAAGTCAGACATGATAAGGTAGGCTACTTTAAGATAGATCCCTACCCCAACTACCTTGCCATGCCATGTCTTTCCTTGCCTTATCATAGCTACCCTACCATACCCTATCCTTCACTACCTTCACCCTAATTTACTTTAAGTTACTCTTTTCTACCCTATTTTCCTCTACATAAAAATACTAAGCCTACAACAATCCCATCAAGCTATAGCTGATATGATACGACATAGAAACCTAAAAATATTGACAATCTTTGTCCTCTAAAGATACTCCAAATTGTTAAAACGTTTTCCAATTCTAAAATGAATACAAATATCTTGCAGCTGCCACTACGCCTACTCCCATGATACCACAGAAAAAGCAGGCAGTAATGTTTAAAATAGTATTATATTTTTACTACAATATCTTAATTTACTATAACATAGCTTAATAGATACTGAAAGAGATTTTCTACTTCTGCCTTAACGGACCTTATCTACCCTACCCTACCCTACCCTACCCTACCCTACCCTACCTTATCCTACCTTACTCTACCCTACCCTACCCTACCCTACCCTACCCTACCCTACCCTACCCTACCCTACCCTACCCTACCCTACCCTACCCTACCCTACCCTACACTACCCTATCTACAGAAACTAAACTCGTCCTGCCATACCTTACCCTATGCTACCCTAACCTCCACTAATTTTGTCCTGCCTATTCCTGAGCTGGCTTTACCTGTCTTGCCTTATTCCCGCGCCCTACCTTACTCTTCCCTACCAAATATATTTTACTCTACTTTATCTTACTTTACCCTACTCTATTCTACTCTGTTTTGCAGAAGCTTGACTAACGCTGCGTTGCTATACCTGATCTTCTGCGACTCTGAACTCAGTCTTGCTCTTGCCCTACCTTACCGTTCCTACCAAATTGAATACCATTTTTAGTGCAAGCCTTAAACTAAATCCAAAAATAGAACAAGATAAACGTAGTAATACCTTTTTAGCTCGCGGAACTCGGAAACAACCACAATTTCTAGAACTTTTATTGTAATCCAGCCCAAAAACCATAGCCTACGCCTCGATATTACACATGTAACCTAATTTAAAGCCAATCTAATAATACGACAAACATACGCAAACACTATTAAAAACCAACTACATCACCAAAATTGGTTTAAAACCCGTTGTAAAGATTTGTCCGTGTAATTATTGCCAGAAACGTGTCATTAACAATGTTTTACTGCGTTGTAATTAGGTAGTGAGATATGGATATGGCACAGACTGTAGCCTATTGCACTGTAATTACTGAAACTGAAATTTTTTAGGTCTAGAGTTAATATTAATTGACTTTTTTACCGCGTTATCGCCGTAGGGAAAAATAGAAACATGTTGCCAAAGCGCAGGCTGCAGCAGAAAAACAAGTCGTGGGCGCAAGTTGCGTATTATAAAACTTAAAATTTTAAACATAAAATTAATATTCATTTTCATATAAAAAGCATATAAACCAATATATATACATTGAAATTGAACTAAACATAAAAATATACATTTGATCGTATAACATGTCCCGCGCAGTCTGCAGAAGCTTAAAAGCTGCCATTTTAAACCAAAAAAGTTTGAAACTATTAAAATAGCTTTAATTAGCATTATCACAATATAAACAAAAAAAAATTTTTTTATTCCGCCCAAAAATTAAATTAAATTTTAAACATTTTTTACCTTGCCCTAACAAAGCCAATTGTAATAATGTCTCGGAAAAGGTATAATTATGCTTTCAAACCATATTAATTTTAAATTACCGGTGTGAAGCGTTGGCAAAGGTTACATGCGAAACGCGATAAACGTGTTATATGAATAATGAAATGAAACACGTCAGTTGTAAGCACAAGGTAGGTAGGTATCGGCCCACACAATATTTTTTTAGTAATGATTTTTACAGGGTTTTAAAAATGGCGTTAGGAATAGGGCTGGCAGGTTATTTTGGATTACTACCCTACCCTATTTTACTCTACCCGATCTTAACCCTACCCTATCTTACCCTACCCTACTCTACTCTACTTTATCTTACCCTAGGGGTACAAAAACGAGCCGAGCCATCCTTGAACTAAATTAAGTTTGGGCCGGACCAGAAAATCAAAGCCCGGACCGTTTGCGCGTAAAAAAGTTCGGGCCGGGCCGGTCTGAAATAAAAATGAAAACGGGCCAGGGTTAAAAAGTGGACCCGGTTCGTTTTTCACCCCTAGCTTTACCCTACCCTTGAATGCTGAGCCTAGAATTAGACATGAAGAACGGGCCAAGCCGGCCGAGCCTGAACAAAATTTTAATCGAGCTTGGTCTAAAAATCAAGCCTCGCGGACCGCGCCTGAAAATTAGACCTTACCTTGTCCTATTTTACCCTGCTCTTGCCTACCTTACCATAATTAAATAAACAAACAAGATTTTAGTTCCTCAACTCCAAACAACCCAACTCGCTCTCAATGTACCTTACCCCACCCGGCAAGGCCTAAAACCTCAAAACAAAACACAAATTGGGCCAGCAAATTCGCTTACTTAACCATCTGCCTTTAACTTATTATGTAGCCGGCCGTTGGCTAAGTATTCCTTCCGTATCACGATGCAAAACAATGCAAAAATAAGAAAATCCGCCAAAATCTGTCGAGTCAAAAAGAAAATAACAAAAAATTAGCGACTTTCACACAAAAACATACCACTTGAAAATAACCGGCGGGGTATTTTAGCCTATTACAATTTCTAGGCCAAGCGCTTTGAAGAGGAATGTGCTTACGCTGTTAATACAGATAGATTGGAACGGAAAGGGCAATGTATATGAATTTTAAAAATTTTCATTTTTTGAAAAAATTAAAATTTTAAAAGTTCAAAATTTTTTTTTTTAAAAATAAAAATAAATTCAAAATTAAAAATATTTTTAAACTTACAAAAAAATGTTAAAACCGGTCAAAAAGTGTATAGAAAAACTCAAGAATTACCTAAAAAAGCCCTCGGTTACGCCCTTGCACTAATAACCAACTATATCTCTAAAAATCGAACATAGCCTCCGGCCGCCCCTTACAAAACAAAAAAATCTCCTTCAGATGTCCAGAGATAGACCAATACAACTAATAAAACAAGAACTTGTGGTTCAAATGTTATTCCTCTCAAAATTTAAAATACCAAGTTAATACATTAACATTTACTGTAAAAACAACATGGCACATATGGGCACGCAAACGCAACATGTACTCGGTTTTTCTTGATATTCGTTTTCCTGAGATTAGCAATGTCATAAATGGCAACAAAACAGGATGCCAAAGATAATTAATAATAATAATATATAAATAATAATAGACCTAAGGTTAAACGTGAGATTTGTCACGTGGACTAGGGCTCTGGGCAGGGCTCTGGGCTAGGCCTCTGGGCTAGGGCTCTGGGCTAGGGCTCTGGGCTAGGGCTCTGGGCTAGGGCTCTGAACTAGGGCTCTGGGCTAGGGCTCTAGGCTAGAGCTCTGGGCTAGGGCTCTAGGCTAGGGCTCTGGGTTAGGACTCTGTGCTAAGGCTCTGGGCTAGGACTCTGGGTTAGGGCTTTGGGTTAGGGCTGTGTGTTAGGGCTCTGGACTAATAAGTCCCATTTTACATTGTAAAGCAAAATATGTACCGCAGCAATTATTATCTAACTTGCAAAATTGTGCTAAAAATTGTTATCTTCTAGTATAAGTCGGTTTATCTTCTAGTATAAGTCGTTTTTGTAAGCATTTATGAAAAAAAATACATAAAATTACGCAATTATAGGTATATCGTACTCAGCCTTCTTTTTTTCTAGCACTAAGGTTTAGTATCCCAAATCTTCTCTCACTCTTATAAAAACAATGGCTAAATCTTCCAGTCTTAAAGCAATACTGCCTTAATTAAAAAACCTATTGATCTGGAGATACCTTCAGTATTAAACAGCCTCTGTCCCCCTCCCCCCTTTCCTCATAACTCTAATTCTCTTACTGTTCAACTTCTCTCCCTTGTTTTCACACACCCCTTTTCCATTATTTTACCCCTTTCACTGCTAAACCAAGTAACCTTGACCACGTACCTTTTTTCTTACCCCATCCCCAAATTCTAAAACCCCCTTCCTAACTACGCCCTGCCCCCTCCAAAAATTCAATTTTCTACCTCTGCTACCATACTTTTGTGAAGCATTGGACGAAGGCAGGTGCTACCAAAAGAAATTTCACCGGTTTAATTTCAAGGTTCCCACATTTTCAAACAAGAATAATCATTGACGTAGGCTGGGTTGAATAATTAAGGTTGGCCGTAG